TGACCTGTCTCGCAGAGTGGAGATGACAACACTGAACCCCTCCTGCAGTGCCACCTCGCCAGGAGCTAGTCAGCGACTAGGTACCAGGAGACACCAACCGGAAGAGGAAAGCCCGACATCAGATCATATCAGATTGATAAGATCCTGGTCACTCCGTTCCCTTCCGACCACAAACATCCTTGTCCCAGTCCAAGGATTATGTCCGAGGACAAATTGAGATATGGGTCACGCGGAGATTTGTTCCAATCACTGCATCGGACGAGGGAACCGAGATTTGCTAGCGTGCTCGGATTTTCAATCTGATAAGATAATAAGTGGGCCGTCAGCAGTCAAGGGCCCGACCCAACCACGGCACATAAATATTGGCAAGAATTTCCTGTCCGGTCAAGTCTCTAACTGTTCAGACTAAGGCAGAAAGAACCCTAGGCAGGGATGGGTGCTTTTAGCTAAGCAGAGAGAAGACACCTTGACCAATTGTTGGCAGCTGGTGCCGCTCCATGCAACCCACTCAACGACTCGGTCACTACATCACACCAGGGTTTGTCCCTGCGACCGCGAGCTTTTGCCAGGAGCCTTACCACTTCTGTAGGCACTAACAGACCCTTACCACGGACCCTCACTCACCTGCACGAAGGATCGGTCCTCGCGACGGAGTCCGGATAAGTATTTTCAAGTCTAGCACTAGCATTTGGATGAGTGGCTGTCGGTTCTGGCCTTCGAAGCCGAAATGGCTCCGACCACCGACGCCCGACCTTTTCAGTCTATACAAGGTATGATGTAACAGACGCTACTGCTATAATCATAGCAAAGGATCTTGAATCGAAAAAAAAAGATCCTACAGCACGGAACTGGCCTTTAGCGCCGTTGCCTGCGTGATTAATTTATTGAATGCGGTGGAATAGCCAATCCATGTAGTATCTCGCTCAGCGAATCCACCAGCTGCAATACACAGGGCATCGGGCTAGCCTTCCCGCTAGAGCTATAGTAGGCGATACTTGCGAGGTTGCCCGGCGGTCCTGGGTACTGGAAGTATCCGGATGCAGGTGGTCCGACAGGTCCCTACCACCTCGCCCGAGGTGGAGAGTTCGTGATGCAGCAAGCTTGTTGAAGTTGAATATAAGGGGTCTGTACCCTACGCTTCCTTATTCCCCAAATTCACAACACCACCAATTTTACCCCATCTCGTGTCTGCCATTGTTGCACTCATTCCTTCTCAATCACTCACCCACCGTTGAAAACAACTGAAACCCCCACAATGCACCGCTTCATCCTATTTGTGACTGCTCTAGCAGCTCTATTCACCTCAACCCTCGCATGGAGCATCTCATCCAGCTTCCCCCTGTTCATAAGAGAGGACATCTCGCCCGGTAGTCCGCTTTACGAATGTCACGCCGATTGCGGTACGTCCTTGCGCATTGAGCCACTGCCATCCCCATACATCCTAACCCAAATCACAGGCGGAGTGATCCTCATGTCCCAAGACGACTCCAACTCCACCTACTGCTCCAACACCACGTACAAGACCGAGCTCAGCGGCTGCCTGGAGTGCGCCCTGACCTACAACATCTGGCAGTACTACGGCGACGACGTCAAGTCCGCGGCGGAAGCGTGCGGCGACAGCGCCACGCCCAGCGCCTCGTCGGCTACAGCGAGCGCCACGGCGGTTGCGAACTCGGTATGAGTCCCAGTATAACTTAATCGACGAAGCTAACGTGCATGTACGGGGTGCAGACTGCTGCTAGCTCTGGGGCGAAAGCCACCGGTTCTTCCTCGGCCTCGTCCAGTGGCTCCGCGGCTTCTGCGTCGGCCACTTCGATGTCTGGGGCAGCGGGCGCGTCGATGAGCGTGGGCGGGATCCTTGTTGCTGCTGCTGCTGTGGTTGGGGGGGTTGTTATGGTTTGATTTGTCTCTTCTGGATGAATAGATGGAGGCATGTTGTGGAGTGATGGGTGGATGGTGTACTGCCTCGGTCACGCTGTCCCTCACCCCGGAGTATGCTGAGGAATTAATTGCTGTGAATGAGATAGATAGGTTGTGTGTACTATAGTGCAAAGATTTAATCGAGCTGCTTCGAATAAAGATATCTTGTTCTTGCTCCAAAAATGTCTCTCTGCTCTCAAGTCAATCGAGGGAAACTGAATAGCTATGCGCTCCAAAGATAAAGATAGTGACAATGCTGGCGTCTCACCATCCATAACCTTTACATCCCCCTGCCAGACCCGCTAGTGAAAAATATATATATAACATGATCTATCCCACGACCCCGCTAAGCAAATCTATAAATATGTATGTAAAGAACTATATACAACGAAATGCCGAAATCTATACCGTGGACATTCCGATACTGACAAAAAAAGACCCTCACCCCCACCGCGAATAAGGCGGCGGAGGCTCACTCGGCACGACCACCGCCGCGGGCGCCACGGCCGTCTGGCTCTGCCTCCCCTCGCTGTCGTCCGCGCCTCGCTCCATCGACCCGCGACTCGGACTCTCCCCCTCCCTCCGTTCCCCACTGCTTACCGGCCTCAACTCCAGCGTACTGTTGTCCTCGCCCGTACTGGCCGCCGTACCAGCCCCGACCGCCTGCTTCCCCTTCCGCTTCTTCTTGGCGAGGGCGTGTCGGCGGCGGTAGATGGCGATCCCGGCGACGGCCAGCAGCAGCGAGGCGCCGACGCCGACGCCGACCCCGATGCCGATGTTACGGGCCAGGGTGGATTTCTTGGCGGGCACGGCGTCGCAGTGTTCGTGGATGACGCTTGTGTTGGAGGGGAGGACCTTGTCGCAGTTGAGGTGCTTGGAGGAGCTGAGGGAGAAGGTGTTGACCATTTTAAGGGAGGAGAAGTCCGTGCTGCTGGGATTAGTCTTGATCGAGGGGGAGGGGGAGGGGGGGGGGACAGGGACGGACCTGGTGATCTCGCCCGTGATGGTGATGTCGTCGGCGTACTCGAGGCTCGACAGGTTCACGGCGAGTGGGGTCCAGGCTTCGATTAGAATGTCTGCTGTGGCGTTTACCAGAGATGGAGCGGATATGCTGGGGGGGTGGTGTTAGTGATCATGGTGACGGTGAGTATCGAGATGTAGAAAGGGTACGTACGTATCAATAACGCCCCGCAGTGAAAGGCTGCCGTTCATGTAGCTGAGCTCCGGCACGGAGAAGTTGAGGTGCTGCGTCGTGTGCACGGTGAAGCCCGCGTCGTAGTCGCCGTAGCCGCTAGTGGTCGCTTGGGTGATGTTGCCGGCGGATGCCAGCACCGGTAATGACAGACTGTTCGGTGTGAGCCAGATGGTCGTTTGTTGCTGGAAGTAGAAACATACCTGGAAACGTTCCCGCCGACATACAGGCTCGCCGCCTGCCGCAGTGCGGGCAGGTCGATCTTCATTATCTGGCTCGACTGCGTATCACATCCCGACTCGCCGCAGATCGAGGATCCGGTCGTGATGTTCTCCAACTTCGAGAAGTCGAAACTAGACACCCCCACAACGTTACCAGCTGGTTCAAATCAACAAGTCATGTGACGGGAAACCCACCTGATGGCACTCCCCAACAAGTTGAGGTAGCTCACATTCCGCAGATTCGGGGCCGACACGGTCAGCGGGGTGCGGCTCTTGACGGTGATGACCTCGGCCGTCTGCAGTTGCGGCAGCGAGATCGACCGCAACGAGGAGGCGTAGCTGAAGCCCGCCACATAGAGGGAGATGAGATCCGGGGCCTCGAGGGAGGTCAGCCCGGTGGAGTTCTGAACGGAGATGCTGGAGGTGATGTTGGTCAGGTTGTGCACGATGAAGCTCCCCGTGTAGTTGGAGCCCACGACCAGATCCCCATAGAGGGTGGTGCAGTTCTGCGTCAACTGGTCCAGCTGGTCCTGCGTGTATATCACAGTCCCCTGCCCGTATTCGTCCTGCTGGGCGTTGCAGTCCTGCGCGGCGATGACTAAAATCCCGAGCAACCAAAATGTCAATCATGTGACCTTTGACCCAAAAGTGAAACATGGGCAACAAAGAAACGATAAAAAAAAATAAAATAAAAAAAACACGTGGATCATGATCGAGCTTGCTTACGGTTCGCCAAACCTACGGCCACCACCACCACGAGGGTGGACAGCAGATTCATTTCTTCAGTCGGTGTGTTAATTTCATTCAAGATTGGATGGATCGATGGATGATGTTGTTCATTGCTTAAAGGGAAGGGATTGGGGAGGGGGAGAAAGGTCGAGATCCCGGATTTTTCGATTTTTTTGACGCGCGGCTCGGGGGCGGACCCTTTATGTCTGCCTAGGCCCTGAGGGACTTGGGGGGGGGTGGTGAGGGAAGGCAAAAGAGGAGAAGGGGGGACAGAAGGGCGTTTCGATTTTCGAGCCACTTTGATTGCGAAGCGGGGCGGCAGGCGACAAGAACATCCTGACTTGGGTTTAGTCGGTGCTGGATTACTGTGGCGCAGCGCATTTGACTGGTCCAGGGGGAGAATACCGGGTGGGGAGGAGGTGGGAACACCTGCCTATCGGTCGGCTAACGATGGGCCAAATCCAATAGTTTGTTCCAGTTGGGAAGACGTTAATCCCTTTCAAGCCAGTAGGCAGTCCCTAATCCCTCGTGGGGTTTCCCTGGCTGGTCTGGCAGGGCTGAAAAAGTTTATTGGAAGGGGGTTCAATGAAATCCCTGAATCTGGTGCCGAGTTTGTCGGCCTGACATTTTGGGCCAAGAAGACGGTGATGGTGTGGTGGTGTCTCAGACGGGCGGCTGTGGCTGAGGATGAGGCTTCGGTCTCCGGAATGACTCGGAGTTAAATACCTTATCCAGTATTGCTGGATGATCTCATCAGCGTAGACAGTCGTCATCAATTTTCGAGCAACAGGGCTGCTGCGACGCATACTTATCTGATTGCTGCGGTCGTCCCGACCCTTCCGAGCTGAAGGTTTTGTGGTCCACCCAGACCTAGCTTACACAAGTATACCTACTCCGTACATACCTACCTTACCCAATATTCTACCATCAACCACAAAATGCAAGCCGCAGTCAACTGGCCTCAGAAGTACCACCCGGGTACAACCGACAACTTCGTCTCCAACGAGGTCTACGTTCCCGGCACCACCGTCGAGCGCGTCTGGGACTACCTAGCCACCATCACCAAATGGGAGTCCTACTACGATAACGTGGGCCAGATCTCCCCGCCAAGCTCCGGCCCTGTGCTGCACGAAGGGGACAAGTTCTCGTTCTCCACTTTCGGATTCCCCCCGCTCCAGGCCGAAGTGCACGAGTCGGTGCCGCCGACAGACAACAAGCCGGGAAGACTCGCGTGGCGCGCCTGGCAGGAGGGCGACGAGGACACCGCGCTGGATATCTACCATGCGTGGATCGTGGAGAAGACCGAATGGGGGGTGGTTCGCATCCTGACGCAGGAGTCGCAGATCGGGAAGCCCGCCGCGCAGCTGGCGACGCAGAAGCCGAATCCGATGTTGAACGGGCACCAGGCGTGGTTGGATGGGTTGGCGGAGATTGCGCGGTCGGGTTGACGGTGAGAGAGCGCAGGATGGTTTTTGTGCTTGTTGGCCATGTTGGCCGTCTGGCCTCTACTCTGCGCTCAGACCCTGCCTTCATAGATGTCCCAATCTAAATAATGTGTAGTATGATTATTGTGGTCTTAATCCTCCTGTGTATATGTTTTAGAATGTGCTCGTTCATGTCTAAAAACATCGTCTCTATTGAGTGTGAACATTTCAAATCCCATGTCTCCACCAGCGGTGCTCTGCAGAATTCCACCTACAACCCCAGTCGTCATCTTGTTCACACCCGATCCTCCCGCACCATGTTGCGATACGGGTTATTCGGATCCTGCTCCTCCTCCTCAGCGGAGGGGATCGTCTTGCGCACGCGACAGGGGTTCCCGACCGCTACCGAGAAGGGAGGAATATCCTTGGTGACAATGGAGCCGGCGCCAATCGTCGATCCTTCCCCGATGGTGACGCCCGGGAGGATGACCACGTTCCCGCCGATCCAGCAGTCGTTGCCAATCGTGATGGGGTGGCCGAACTCGACGAACTTGCGGCGCGACAGCACGCTGACGTCATGGCCGGCCGTGTAGATGTTGACGTTCGGGCCGAATTGGACGCGGTCGCCGATGATAATCAGGCTGGTGTCGAGGGCGGTGAAGCTTTGGTAGAGGTATCATCAGCGATAAGAGGTAACCGGACGGAGACAGTCTGGGCTAACTTGAAGTTCATGAAGCAGTCGCGGCCAATGCTGATGTTGCAGCCGTAGTCGGGCATGAAGGGCGGCTCGATGAAGGTGCCCTCGCCGACCCGGCCGACGATCTTCTGGAGGAGCTCGAAGCGCCGCTCAGCGATCTGCTCGAAGGGGACGGATTTGGCGTCGAGGTTGTTGTAGTCCTGGGCCACGCCGCGGGCGCGGTGTCGGCCTTCCAGAAGCTTCGGGACGTTGGGGTTGTAGCTGAGCCGTCAGCGTCTTTCACCAATGCGCGATCTGCAGCCCGTACGGTATGCACACGACACACCAGGGAACTTCAATGTGTGTGTACGTACAGCATGCCGGAGATCATCCGCTCGTACTCTTCGCACATGGGCACATGGTTCAATCCCCGGGCGATCTCGATGATCTCGGGTCGTTTTTCGGACGCAGCGACAGACATGGTGGCGGTGATCTAATGAACAATGGACTGTCTGGAGATGAAAGGGAATACCCTGGTGCTTTATCTCGTGGCAGCGCGCCTATTTATGGAGGATGGTCAACCGCGGGGTAGCGACTCCGCAAAGCGGGCATCGCGCCTCTCGATTCCCGATCGGGAAATACTCCCAACTGCTGGAGTCGCGGAGCGCTTGGCGCCGATGTTTCGCCGCCTCACCGCCTAGTATCTGCCTTGGTGCCTTGAGGAACAGGCTACGGGCTAGCATCCCTCCGCTTAGTACATAATGTTATGTGTGCATAACTTCCCGCAGCCACAGTCATCCATGATGCATCACAACCATACCTCTCTTATCGCAAGTAGTACTGGTGTTGGATTCAGTCGACGAGTGCGCCCTTCTAGTAGTAGCGAGAGGTGCTGAGAGACATCTTGAAATACACTGATCACCCATGGAATAATTACACTCTATTAACAAAGCCACTCGGTGAGGTGTGTAATCAACAATAGAGATCGTCAGTCCAACAGTGTCCTCCGAGATACGTAAACAGTCATCATCTATAATAAATAGATCTACTCCACCAAACCAGCATTCTCCAACTTTTACTCCTTCCACACCAAAACCCCTCTCTCATACAAGCCACTGACTACCCCCAACCCCCTCTTCACATCCCTCACAGCGGTCGAACTCGTCCCGAACTCCTCTCCAACAAACAAATCCTCCACCCGCCCCTCCACGTTCCCATCCCACTGGGCGACCCAACTCGGTGCCCGCCCTCTCTCCGCAACAGGCTTACCCTTCCCATTCCCCTCGAAATCTACCGCCCAGTTCGTCTTAGCCACCTTCGCCACCGCCGGGAAGAACGGATGGCCCGCCAAGATCAGCTTCCCCTTTCCGTCCGTGCTCAGATTGTCCACCAGGCACCTGGTCCGGAAGGACAGCGTCTTCTCCAGATCCTTGGTGGCAGAATCGATCCGGTACACCGTCACGGAGGGCGACGTCGTCGACGCGACGGCCACGTGGGTGTGGTTGAGCGCTGCGATGCCGTTCGCGTAGGGCAGGTGCGCGACGACCTTGTACGTGTCCGTCTGGAGGTTGGCGTAGACCACCGTGCCTCCGGGGTAGGCGGAGTAGGTCTCCAGGGCGGCGAGGAGCGGGGAGGCGCGCTGGGTGAAGCGGTGGTCGTTGGTGATGTAGAGCTCGTGCTCGGAAATGGCGAGCAGGGCGTTGGGGCCGTGCAGGAGCGGGTGGGTTATGGTCTTTTCGTGGCGGAGCGACGGGGCTTGAGAGTTGGGGTCGAGGGTGAAGAGCTCGATGGCCGAGCCGGTCGGGGCGTGGTTCGCGACGAAGAGTTGCAAGGTCTTTGGGTCGTAGGCTAGGCCCAGGGGGTGGAAGGTCTGGCGGGAGGTGGTGGGGAAGTTGGTCAATGGGAGTGGGTGGAGGTTGTTTTCGTCGGAGGTCGAGTCGAAGGTGGAGGCGTAGTTGTAGAGGTAGAGGGTTCCCGGGTTGGTGGCGTTGATGAAGGTTCCCTGCGTTGTGTGGGGAGTCAGTCGGTGGGATAAGAATGCGGGGAGGGAGGGGGACCGACCATGACGGTGTTCCAGGTGTCGCGGCCCGGGTCGCAGCTCAAAATGGCGAAGCCGCGCTGCGTGTCGAGGTGGACATCTTCGCAGTTACGGATCCGGTCCGCGAGCACGATTTTTTGGTCGGCGAATTTGGAAACCTGGGGAAGTCGGCTGGGATGGTTGTTCACCGTCAGCCAGATGAGGGTGTGGCGGTCGGTCAACCAGCCCAGCAGTACAGCTAGGCCGAGGACGATCTAGGTGATCGGATTAGAGTGAGAACGGCCCTTCTGAGTGAGGGGAAGGGGATGTACTGTTGCTATACGTGTCGACAATCCCATGATTTTGAAAGAAGGCTGACAGGTGATAAAAACATGAAGAGAGGGGTGGGAATTGACTGCAGATAAATAAGGTTGTTTTGTTGGGAAGTTTACGGGTTCAAGGCTGATCGCGTCCCCACTGGGCGGACTAGCCCTCCGTATTCCGCCCACGGCCAGCCTATCGGACTATCCTGTCGGGCCATAGAGCTTCCGTTTGGCTGGAAGATGACATGGTCTGAGGTGAGATTGATTTCTTTGATGCTGGATTGCTAATCCGCAGATACGCAGTGGGGATACCTGGTCAACATCGTATTATGAGTTTGTTTATTATGTTCGTATCGATTAGTGATCGACTTGCCTTGGCTCGGTGGGTCCCTTCTGCTGGCGGGTATCGATACGGAAGTCCACTGCGGCGGTTCAGCAAATGGCAGTATGCCGGTAGAATAAATGATAACGTGGTATGAGTGAGAAGATCAAATAGTAGATCCCTGGTAGTACTAGTACATCATACTACATAGTCAGTAGGTCCGTAGTCTATAGCCCTCTAGGATTATACGTAGAGTCCTGACTAAATGTTCTTGATCTGCTGATTTTAGTCTAATTCTTATAATATTCTCACTGGAGAGTTCATCCAGAGAAAGCGACAGAGCTTTGACAAGTTTGAGTGTTGAGATAGATAGGGGTACAACTTATCTTGAATTGTTCTTATACCGATTACAAACTGAGGTGTAGATGAACCCAGAAATTGTAAACAAACGTGCATTGCACAAATTACGAATGCCCCAGGCAACAAGAATGTGGTTCGTTGCTGGAATGGTCACATTGATGCACTGAAGCAAAATGATTGACACAAGGGGATTCCAGGTTACCTGGTTTACTTAGTGGTGATTTTGAGTCGAGCGTACTGCTACATCCTCGAAGCACTATTGACATGCCATGACCAAATTTGCCGCATCAGGAAAGAAGAGCGATCCGACTGTAAAAATTCGCATCGAGTGGATCAACCAGTGGAGCCCTTCTTAAAGTGGATGGCCGAGTCTCAGGTACTAGTCTAGTCGTTTAACATCATAAAAGTCAAGGTCACAGCCTTGTCCCTTAGACTGATTGAAGATTCTGCCTTCTTTCTCATCGCACATCTCTCTCTGCACTGTTTTTCCTGCTACACACTAATGCCCTGGGAACATCATGGGTCATGCGGGTTTCTCCGCTGCCCAGTCGAGATCCTGGACCTAGTGTTTGACTTGCTTTCAACAGCTGAGTTCAGGGCACTAGGCCTCGTCAATAAGTATTTATGCGCACTTGTTGAGCCATACGTCTATTCTAAAATCGACTGGATCTGGCGAGAAAATCACGACCCTCCCCCAATCATACCGCTGTTACGAACAATCATCAGCAAACCTCAGCTAGCTGCTCACATCACCAGTTTCCAATTTCATAGCCTGCCGGCCTACCGCTGGCGGTGGAAACAATTTGCAGCTCAAAATATTTCGGTCCCCGTTGCTGAATTAGCCGGACTCATTGCATTCGTTCAGAGGACAAGAGTCCCCTACAGTGACTTCTGGATAGAGGAATTAAGCAAGGGTACTCCAGATGCTCTACTTGCTCTACTTTTAGCACAATTATCGAACATGAGACGTCTGTCCCTTGACTATATCTTCTGCCAGCAGAGTAAGATAATTGGGATGCTTCTCCAGTCGGCCATTTGCGAGCCTGCGATGTATAGGTTGCCCGACTTTTAGCATCTCCAAGCAGTATCCTTCCATTCCTATGACGATTCCGGCGCCCCGTACACAACACTAAGGTTTCGAGGTCAAAGGCCACTGGGCCAATCACTCGTCCTACCGTTCTTCTACCTGCCGCACGTCAAACACATTTCGGCTGCAGTTGAGAACACAGGTACTTTCGCATGGCCTGTAGCTTGCTTACCTGACCCATCCAGCCTCACCTCGATCTATCTCGCCGACATACGGGAAGCAAACCTCGGCTCTCTGCTGTCCGTCACCCGCAACCTTCAATCACTTCGTTGGACTTGGTATTACGATTATGGTGTTCTCGACGCTATTGTTGTACCCATTATCAACCTTGATGGGATCGCGGCCGCATTATCCCATGTTCGAGATACTCTCACAGACTTGACCATCTTCGCCGAGGCTCCCCTAGGAGGTGGTGATCAATTCCACCCAGCCGTGAAGACAGAGGGCTCTTTACGTACGATGGTCGAGTTTGACAAGCTCAAGAGACTTCAAATTCCGCTGGCATTCCTGGTAGGGTTTGCGCAAGACACCACGAAGCGGTTGCAGGATGTGCTCCCGCGGAACATCGAATACCTGTCCCTCACAGACGAGTTAGGCTTTCAGAATAACGATGGATTTGTTGAAACCTGGCCGATGTATGAATGGCAGGACTTTGCTCTTTTGATCTTATTGCGGACGTGGCTGGAGGATTGGAGGACCTACACACCCCACCTTCGAGGCATTTCGTTGGTTTATGAAGAAATGGATACTAATCAAGGCGAGTGGCCTCCCGAGTTAAGGCACCAGCTTACGGAGCTAGGCACTCAGGCTGGAGTACGGCTCGAGCTGGTCGAGTGGAAACGGGATTGGTAAATCAATCGATATGCTCGGTCATTCACAAGCCACTTCCCCACTTTCAACTCTTAGAAGGATTGGGATTTATCTCACAAGCAAGCCCTTCAATAGCTCGCTTTCCCTGTCGCTGCTTATATCAGTGCCGTCGTTGCTTTCATCAGGAGAGTAGCAGAGTTGAATTTGACTCCTCTCTTCAATACCCCCAGCGATCTCGCTTAGGTCGAACGTTTTGTAGGCTTGACTTTTATCCAGAACTTCGAAACCATACTCCTGAACGAAAAGGTTGCAGCCAAATGTTACCTTTCAGCAATTTCATCAGTAGAAGTCGCGAGATGAGTGGTGAAGAGGTTGAAAGAAGACCCGTCTAGTCTCTCACTTACCCCTCTGGAATCCGTACAAGGATCCTCTTGGTTACCGCTGACAATGGTAGCAATTCTTGCCTTTTGACTGCTCAGTGGCGTGGCCGGATGCACTAAATAATACAAGTGAGCGGCCATTTCCTCACCACACTGGCCTTGCCTTCTGTGGATCGCCTCTGTCTGGTAACTGTTGCGCCACATCGTCTGGCAGCGTGCCAGCGCCTTGGCCACCGGGGTATCTAGATAGTGATAGGAGAAGGACGCGCCCTTCTGCGACGAGGCGAGGATGACTTCGTGATCAAAGGCGAGGATTGTCATGGCCGTGGGCCTCTGGGGTCTTGGCACCTTGTACGCTTCCTGATTCGCGAGCATCTCGTTGTATGCTGTGAGGGCCATCTGCCAGAGCTGGCCGTCCTCAATGCCATCAGTCTCGTCGTTGACAGGGCTCTTGAAGCGGAGATGGCTGCTAAACAGCTAATTCCGCCGCACGGTCGGGTCCTTGGGATCCAGGTCCGGCCAGGTCCTTGCGAAGTTCAGGTCCATCTTGACGCCCAGGGCCGTAGGGCCTTCATTCTGATAAGGCTTCTCGCTGCTGAGGTCGGCGGCCGCGTTCACGAGGGCAATGAATGCGCACAGTACCACCAGGGCCAGGCAGGAAAGACGAGGGATAATCATGTTCTGAGTCCCTCGCTTGGGGCTTCTGGCAACATCAGTATAGTCAACGAGAGGAACCGCGCATAGTGCATTTTACCCGGGACGGAACGGAATAGGGATGCGCCTACCAACAGAGCTATGACAGCAGAGGGAGAATCCAGGGTGTGGAATGCTCCTGGTCTCTGTCTTTCCAGCAATCGGCCTGAATTTAAAACATCTGCAGATTTCTCGCTACACCTGCCTGTCCTATCAGGTCCCAAGCAGAATGGGCCCCTTCATCTCATTTTACAATAGGGGTAAGCACTACTAAGTGCGTGAATCCGGTGAAGATTGGGTCTTGCGGAGTTACGGATTGGCAACATACAGCAGCTCCTTAGTGCTGATTGAGCGGATGACTCGGAGCTGACAGATCTGGCCGTTTGTACTAAGATCCATATCGTGCTTGATAACTTGAGATCAGCCCACATTTTGACCACAGAATTGAACCTAGGACTAGGAGGTGGAGGCACCGATTCAATTAGTGCGAATTGTCTACCATTGCTGTACAGGACCGAGAAAGAACTTGAGGCATATGACAGAGTGATGGTGATAGCACGCACCCAGTCTCTTCCATCTTCAGAGACTCCTTGCAACTTCTGCGTCATCTGCAGTGCTAGAACCTCAATCGTTCAGGCCCACAACATCTGGTACGAATTTCCAGTCCTCTTGGAATATATGATGGGCAATTCTAAGTCAGATCTTGCAGCTCATTGGACTAGGGATCTAATATTATCTTCCAGATCATCGAATGGATGAAAGCAGATTTTGCTCAAGCGAATGGACCCAGATTTGCGCATGAATATCCACTGTTCGCCCCTTTTTTGTGGCCATTCTGTGCATGCAGAGACTGCACACGAGTAAACACCATCACTCTCAGGCCAACGATGAGTGTTTGTATTGATTTTTTCTTCGTAGGGAAAAATGGGTCACCAAGATTAACTGGCTCTGGATACAGTAACAGGGCTCTGAGAGAGGCCCAACATACATCGCAGCGACCAATCAGCTCAAAAGCCGGTATACGGTAGTTCTTCGGAGATTCTCTTATTACCCTAGGCCTAAGCGGACTTCTCCTGTCAAAACTCGGAACACTAAAGCGAGACCAAGATGCCTCATCTCCGAGGATATCGAAATGTCTTAGGTGTATGGGGTAGAACCTAGAAGGGCTAGTTATCAGTGGCTCAGGGACTGCATATTTGTGAACCTGCACACTAAGCTTAGTGGCCGGTGCCCTTGAAGTGGGACTCCGGGCCGGACCGTACCTCATCACTGCTGGGGATTGTCAAGCATTCCCGGCAATTGACTATCAAGTTTTGAGAGGACTTAGGGCTAAAGGTCAAAAACATTAGAGCTTGTTACCCGAAACTACGGTATACAACCGTTTACATGAGAGTGGATCATTTTAGGTTAAAGTGGTCGAGCATGGGGTTAACAAACTCTTGATTATAGGAAAAAATAAGTGGGAAACGGAGTCATGACAGATTAGCGCGAGACGAAGGTCGGGGCCGAGGCGGTCGCGAAGTTGTCGCGCAGGAGGCGGCAGCTGGACGAGGCGATGGTCAGGGCCTCAATGTTGTCGAGGAAGGCGGGGAGGAGGGCGAGAATCTCGTTGGGGAGGGATTAGATGGTGGTGTTCATAGTTGTAGACATCGTGCTGGGAATTGCACCATGCTGAGGGGATATTGTAGCTTCAAGGATGAGCCATTATCTTTGTTGTTACTTATATACGAAGGTCTGGGTATTGTTTGTGTCATGAAGTTCTTGTCGATCACCAAATTAGTGTTAGTATTTCGACAAAATTACATTATAGATTCGTTCTGATCTCATGAAAGCTTGCAAGACAAGACTTGGATTTATTGTTTCGACTTCTTCCTTCTGAAGAAGTAAATTGCCTGCTATGCTTCTAGCAGCAGTGATACATACTAATCATGTCCATATCATTGGAATCCAAAGTCTGCTTGATCTAGTTGCTACATCGTTGAGAACCAACCCACATTCAGCAATAATCAAAAGCTTGCTGAGGAAACTTATTGCTTGAGATCTTTTGCACAGGCTCACAGATCACAGGAAACAATTCTGGTTAGTACTGTCATTGGCAATTCAAAGTGTTGCAATCTAGGGTCGCTATGTATATACAAGACTCTGGGGTGACTGATGGACGATGATTCACGGTCGCTGTGTAGGCTTATTTAAGTACTTGAATAAGATCCGGCGGAGTGAACGGTGAGCGGCCTAAACACGGAGACCTCATAACCTCTTCTAGTCAACGTTTCATCTTCTGTACGATTCTCTCACAAGCCTTCGACTTCCATCGCCAAATACACATAACAATGGTTTTGCCAACGAAGGGATAGTAACAAAGGAAATTGAAGTAGACAATGAGCATTGTTTGTGTCAACTACTTACCCATACGTCACAGTGAAAGACTTGAGACAAAGAAGGGAAACAGTCCACTTCACTGGAAAAGTTATCTTGGCAGCTAAGTGAATACTCGTTCACCGACTTCTATACTGATTTCTCTGAAGAAAGAAGTAGTCTTGTGTTTGGTTGTGTTGATCCTATTTAAGCTACGGCATGCCCGAAGTCTTCTAGGCGTTGCACCTCGAACACACACTGCTCAACTCCAACTTTTCATCATAATTCCTTTTAATCCTGGCCCAAATCTTCAAAGTGTACGACCGCGAATAGAAGTCCTATAACTACGACAATGTCTGACATCGGGGCCTACTACAACATCATCGTGTTTAGCCTCTCCGCGGGCTACGTACTCATCAGCGGGTTGGGATGCGTGTGCTACTTCGAAATGCGGGCCCTGGAGGACCGAGTGGGCGAGCTGCGCGACGGCGAGTGGAGACTGCATGCGCGTCTGCGAGAGTACAGAGAGTCTATCAAGCATGACGAGGAGCGGTTGCAGGAGCTCGAGGAGCAGGTCAAAGAATTGAAGCAACGGCTAGCCGAGATGAAGGCGACCCAATACCCGATCCGCGTGGCGGAGACCGATGAAGACATGTTACTGGATATCAGCTCAGAAATGGAGGAACGGGCAGCAATTGAGAACTAAGGCAGTGCCATTGATCCTTCTCTACCCTATTTATCGCCTGGATGCGCTTAGTGCCTTGGTTCGTTGGGACTGCCTGGCAGGTACCGCAATCCGCAGCTTGCTGTGAGCTGTGCTCCAACCACGCTCTTCTAAAGTCACAAGAACATGTTTACACAAGTTCAACCATTCGACAACATATTGGTCCTTGGTATTTTCAAAGAATTTTTTGACTATTTTTAGTTATTCTTCTGTCTCTCAAAGAATCTTCTTTGCTAGCCTACATACAGTTATAATCCGGACGAACCCGCAGGTCATAGGTATGATGCTCAAAATAGCAGTGCCCTTAGTTACCTGCCCGTTTTATGGATTAATATCATATAGTAGGCAAAAGGTCGAAGGTCATCCTTTTTCATTTATTCCCTCGTGTCTATCAGACTCGCTTCAATGCTTCCGCAATCATGCCATGAGCCATGAGATTTAGGTCCCAAGGCTACGCGTCCTCAGAATAATCTACCATAATATACACAATCAACTCGCAAAAGCTTTTCTTTCTACTACTGTCATTGCGCCGCACGAAAGAGGCGAAAAACTCTTAACTGCTCAAGCCAGACCAGCCATCACCTTGACTGAGACATCAACAGACATCAACATCAGCTCCCTCCGACAGCCTCAGGCAGAAAGCGGGTAGAGCCTTGATTCGGTCTCCCGAGCATTCATTCCTGGATTTCGTGAACCCTGATGTTCTCCCTCACCTAAGATTTCAGTACTTGGTGTCCACCGAAGTCGAAATCCTTCTTAGCCGAGCTTTCGCCATCTTTGATCTGTCCGGGCAGGGCACAAAGAATCATCCTAGTCAACAATGACCGCACAATTGTCCGTACATGTGTACAGCCTATTTCCAAAGAAAAATTGAAAATGAAGAGTATACTTCCAAGAGCCTCATAACCAAGCAACGATGACCCGAAATCCTTCTATAACTCATAAAGGAGCCTACAATCGCTTTATCTTCGCTCACGGCCTCATCCGATTATCCCCGTCATCTCAGCATCAACACTCAGTCCCGGAGACAAGTATCTCAGTCTCGCCTATAAAAGCGACGCTAACCACCAATGTTCAAATCCACATCCATCCCCCATCGAGGACTCAGCCAACCTGACACCCCTCAGACAAACATTCCATCACCCAACCAACCCACGAGCCAGTTTGACACCGCGGTCCAAAATGGTACTGACAGAAGTAAACGAGGCCATGGATCCCCTCGAGGAGAGCCTCGAGAAATTTGCCGAGGCCTGCTTGCGGGTAATCTCGCGGTACATGCACGGCTGCGATGCTCGAAGCGTGTCTCAACTCAAGGAGCAGATTGAGGCGACCCTGAGTTTATTGCAATTCTCGTCCCAGTATCTCAGGGAGCTCGCTGCTAAGGTGGATACTCTGCCTTCGCCCCGGGAGAATCTGTCTTCCCCCGAGACTGATACTTGGTCTCTGCCCGCGGCAGATACTCAGCCTTTGCGCCGGGTGACTCTGCCTTCCAACCAGGAGATACAAGACTCGATGTTGCCTGACTCGCTGGATCGTCGGCGTGGCGAGGAGATCGATGCCGCGGTGGACGCCGCGGCGGCATCCGAGGAGGACCCTTGGTTCCGCGCGGAGGAGGCACGACATCGTTACCCTCCACCAAGGGTCCACAAAATGGGGTATGACGTCTTCGACCGCCGCCGCACGCAGGGGGAATTCTGGCCTCGCGGGTCTGTGCGGTGATGCCGCCCCGTTAAAGGAGTGTTCCTTACGCTAGTACCTCGTTGCTATCATGGCATGATGAACTAGATTTTCAACAATCAAGAAAAAAGAAAAAAATATTTTCCATATGCCAGTCTATCTATCCATTTTTCATAAGCTCGGTCTTCTTCTAACACTCCAGATTGTGGTCTAAATAGGGCCTACAATAATACTAGCGCTCTATTTAATTATACGTTATGTACTTCAATGTCATTGCATTAGGACCTTCTCATGATGCCTAATCTCATAGTCGCAAATCTGTGATGCGGGCACATACTTGTGTCCCTTGTTGCAGTAATTGAAGTGCACCTATAATCTCCTTTATATCCCTTGCACCCGGTCTACAAAGACTGTCAAGAGTATCCGGATAATTCAGTACATACACTACCCTTCAATCAATTTGAATTAAGCGACAAACTCGGAGATAAACTTAACATTGGTCTCTTATCAAGAACGGATCTTTGTATAAACAGACGGAGTATTTTCCAACATAAGCCTAGAAGACTCTTTAGGCTATCGTGGATCAGGAGTTTATCCGTAGACGCTCGAGACGAAACAAGGCCGATGCCGGGATTTTTGCCTAGCAATAAAGACCCGCTTGGGCATCAAAGACCTTAAGACTTCTAGTTACGGTTTTGAAATCGTAGCATATCCATACTCTCGACTATTTATAAAGCCACCACGCAGCCCAATTCGAACTCTCTATTCCCACCCCCACCCAAAATAGCACCGAGTTCGACCCCTTGCCCCCACCCCATTCTCGGAAATCTGTCATCGTTGCACCCGCCAAAATGCCAAAAGGGGAGAACCTAGCCCTGAGCTCGGCTACCAAAGACCTCGAGCAGGCACTCCTGCACCTGCGTCGCGTCCATCTGGAATTGCTGCGTGAGATCAAGCCGTGTACCCCGAAGGCGCGCGAGTTCCGGAGGCAGATACAGCTGGCCCGGGCCATCTTCGAGAGGGGGCTGCACCAGACCGAATCTGTGGAGAGGGCATTGAACCCCGCGCCGGTCAAGCCTGCCGGTGTCAAATCCCCGCGCCGCAGAAGCCTGCAACGTTCTAACAAGCGTCGTGTTCGGTTCTCCTTTGAGATGTGAGGGATGCCTTTGGAGCTGCCCTTCCATTAGGGTTTTATTATCCTTGCCCTCGTTCATTGGTGTCTTAGTATGACACTGATGGGATAGGGCTTTTACAATCAAAAAAATATATGAAATATAATCATTTGTGCACAGTAACGTAACGCGATCATCGAATGTAAATCTTGCTCAGACAGTAAAGACTCATTCCAAGTGTCCAAGAAAATTGGCCGTGATGATAGGCCTGTCAAGTTGTACTATGGAATCTATGAACGTAGTGGTCAAATTCGATATCCAAAGTCTTATAAAGAAAGAGCCAAATATAGCGAACTGGTTTGCCAGTCGCTACGATCCTTCTTTCACGCCACAAGCGATTGCTGAAGTTCCCCCGTAGCGTCTGTAGCAGTTGTACTGTTCTTCCATGGAAAGCCCACCAATGCATTGTTCTAGTGTATTACAAACTCCCTATGACCCAAGCGTACAGTTCTTTGATAATGACTCGCCTCGGGAACTCGGTAAGATCTATAAAAAGGCTCACGACACCACCCCGCCAACCCATCGGTTAACCATCACCCTCAGAACCCAATACCACAAGCGCAGCGCCCCCCAAATCCACTCAAGATGTCCGAAGCACAGACCGAGAACCTCTACGCCTCCCTGCTCGCCACCGCCCGATACTCCGTGGACACGGTCCTGTTCTTGGAAACGATCCAGCAGGAGATCGAGACCGGGTACGCATTGCGCACGGAGCTCCGCAACGAGAACGAGCGCGCGCTGAGCTCGCTGCTGGCGGCGATACCGAAACTCAGCGAGCGGAGTGCGTCCGTTCGGCGGCTGGAAGAACAGGCCCAGCAGCTGACCGCGGAGTCAGCGTCGCTGCGGGAAAAGATGGTCCATTCGCGGCGACAGCTGCCGTTGCTCAGGGCCCGCACGGAGGCGTGGCTGTGGACGAACCTGCGCACCGCTGATGCGAGCGAGCTGGCTACAAAGTTGAACGGCGGGGGCAGGCAGCCTGGATTGTGATGGTGGTGGGGATGATGATAAGAGGTAAGTTACCTGCTGCCCACCTCCTAGGTCTTACTTCCCCTTCCCTTTTCACGCCCTGGTCGCTAGGAGGTAGTACCTTCTTCTCATGTCATATATTGATTGCGTGAGACGTGCTCCTACGACCATTTTATTGATGTTATAAGATTACATTACAACTTAATCCAAATACAATGTTGTGCAGAATTAGAAAATCAGCCCTCAATATTATCGAGTTAGTCATTATATAACTTCACTGACTACCTTGAAAGTTTTCCCCTTCCTACAGCCTAGGACTTCTCCCAACTCGTCTATAGCAAATGATCTGTTCTTCATCTCGTTCACATAGCATCGAGTAGATTCTAGCCAAGTTCGAGAAGTCTCACAGAGGCCTTGTCCCAGGGACAATGATACAATGCAAGCCGAGCCTGAAGTCTCCATGAAAAAATCCACCAATTCATTGTTCCAGTGCGTGACAAAGCCTTGTGGTCCAAGCTTACAATGCTTGGTGAGTGACTCGCCTCTCAGACTTGGTCAGACCTATAAAAAGGCTCACGACAACCTACTTCGGTTGAGCCATTGGTTATCATCAACAACAACAACAACAACAACAACAACAACCAACCGATTCTCTCAATCTCCACGGCACAACAAGCACAACCTACTCCAAAGCCGCCCAAGATGTCAGAATTAGAGAACCTCTACTCCTCCCTTCTCGCCGGAGCCCGACAGTCGGTGGACCACATTCTATTCCTGCAACAGATGCTGCAGGAGATAGAGCTCGAATCCACGCATCGCACGCAGCGTCATATCCAGACCGAGCAAAAGCTTTGCGCGGTGCTGGCGGGGTGGTCAAAAATCGACCAGCCGGAGGCTTTCCTCCAGCGGCTGGAAGAGGAAGCCCAGCAGCAAAGCGACGAGTCCGCGCCGCTGCATGACGACCCGATGCTCATCTCGCGGGAACTGATGCGGTTGATCAAGGCTCGCGTTGAGGCATGGCTATGGGAGAGCTTGTGGCCTTTGGATGCGATGCTGCTGGTTGCTAAGTTGCACGACGGCCCTGATCATAATGCCGGTGGCGGCGGTGGTGGTGATGGTGAGCAGCGGGGAGCGGTAGATGGCGTGGAAGGAGATCGTCATGTGGAAGCGCGTGATGGTGAGGGGCAGTAGCTACTCCCCCCTACATTACCTACTGCCTACCTAACTCCGTGCAGAATCCACCCTCTTTTCCCTTTCAAGCCCTGGTCACTAGTACCCCTCTTCTCATGCGATATATCAATCGCGTGATAAGTCTTTCTAGGGCCTTTCATGAAATAATCATTTCTGATGGGAGCGCGAAGATGGTGGAATTCCAAGCTATCTGGAAGAACTAACTACAATCGGTGGCCGAGTCAATTTCATAAAAAATCAATTCGAATACGATGTTACGCAAAATCAGAAATTCAGTCCTCAATATTATCCAATTAAATCACTACCTAGGTACTTTGAGGTAAAACTCCTCTTAGCTTAAAACTTCTCCTTGTGGCGCGCCACAAACTCCTTCCACGAAGTGGGCTTATCACTCTCATCCAACAGCTCACGCGAGGGCGCGAGCGACTCCCCAGCATAGTACCCGGGATCCTCCAGCAGCAGAATATTTTCCAGCATCTCCTGCGCAATCGGCGCCGGCAAGAACGACTTGAACACCTCCTCGGGGATCCGTGCCGTCTGGACCTTATACCCGGTGACCTCGTGGAACTCATCCACAATCCTCTGCGGCGAGTAGTAATCGTCCGCGGCCAGGATACGTTGACCCACCGAAGACGGGAAGTGCTTGATCGCCGCCTTCACGAATTTGCCTATCCCCCAACCCTATTAGTCCTCATTCTCTTGGGGGTTGCAACAATCATACCTGTATCCTCCGCAGGATCGAACAACGGCACCTGCGCCTGGGTCATATCCACCGGCCAGGCCAGCGTATAGGTATCGCCCTGCTTGTTCAGCATCTGGAAGAAGTTGGTCATGTACAGGCCCGCCAGCACGAACGAGGCCGGCACGCCGCTGTCGCGGATGTACTGCTCGATCTCGGCCTTGCCGTCGAAGTGGCTGACGTGGGCTAGGCGGCCGTCGCTGATCTGCGTCACGTCCCGCAGCGAGGAGAAGATCAGGTGCTGCACCCCCGCGCGCTTGGAAGCGTCCGCCACCGCTTTGCCCTGCGCCACCTCGGTGGTCCGGCTCATCGTCTCCCAGAAGTTGGTCACCAGGAACACGGTGTGGGCGCCGGTGACGGCGGGGAGGGCTGCCTCTGTGGAGGACATGTCGCCCTGTTGAGGGGGGAGGTTAGTCATGATGGAGTGTAAGTTAGGGTAGTGGAGTGGGATAGACTTACGGTGACGAGCTCAACGCCCTGGGCGGCTAGGGCCTGGGCTGCTGGCTTGGTGGGGTCGCGGGTGACGGCCCGGATCTTCCACTGCTTGGACAGGGCGGGATCGGCGAGGATGGACTTGATGACCGAGCCACCTTGGTTGCCTGTGGCTCCAAAAACGGTGAGGATTTGAGACATGGCGATAAGATAAGGGAAAAAGGAGAAATTTGTTGATAGATTGGATGAAAGTTACTATTGAGGTAGTAGAGTGAGACTGCAGTGTTACTTGTGCTGGTTGCTTCTCTGGTCAAGCTGACCCAGACTGACCATTTATAAGTTCCGTCCTTGGCACTGACTTCCCCTCGCGGGGTATTGCCTGAGTCAGCTCGTACTCTCGGGGGGCCGAGCTCATGTAATCGCTCGTATCGCCGTAAGCCCGCATGGAGTGGCTGCAGCACTTTTCCTTAATAATCACGGCGCGGCGGATCTGAAATCAAGCCCGAGGAATTTAGTCAGACACGCACACACACGCGCCCACACTGATTCGATACGTCATGACTGATGCTTACACCATACCGAAACAACCCTGAAATTGAACCCCCCTGTTTCCCCACAGCACACACATAATCACCTTCCTACCCCTAGAATCCCCCAGAATCAACTAACAAAAACAATGACCACAAAACTCGCCAAACCCATCGCCATCATCGCCGGCGCCGGACCCGGCACCGGCGCCTCCATCGCCCGCCGCTTCGCCCAGACCTACCCGGTCGTCCTCCTCGCGCGCCGGCAGTCCAGCCTCGACCCGCTGGTGCAGGGCATCAACCAGTCCGGGGGCACCGCCCTCGGCATCCCGGCCGACGTGACCCAACCCGGGGCGATGGAGGCCACGATGCAGCAGATCGAGGGCGCATTCGGCGCCGACTGCACCGTGGCCGCGGCCATCTTCAACGTCGCCAGCAAGTTCTCCCGCGCGCCGTTCCTCGACTCGGGCGCCGAGTTTTTGACAAGCCTGGAGGCGACCGCCCGCGGCGCGTCGAATTTCTCCCAGGCGGTGTTGCCGTTCTTGCTGCGCGCTGCGGGGGAGACACCCCCGGCGCGGTTGGCGCCGACGCTGATTTTTACGGGTATGTTTCTCGCGTACCGTTGCGGTCGCAACTGGGGAATTGGGGCGTGCAAGCGCGATGAGGTATGGGGATGACGCTAATGCTGTGCTGCTGTACAGGGGCAACGGCCTCCTTGAAGGGAGGGTCCGGGCTGGGCTCCTTCGCCATGAGCAAGTTCGCCGTGCGCGCGCTGGCCCAGTCGCTGGCGCGGGAGTTCGGGCCCAGGGGCGTCCATGTGGCGCATGCGATCATCGATGGGATCATCGCGACGGAGCAGACCAGGGAGTATATGAAGGATAAGCCGGATGCGAAGATCGATCCTGATTGGGTGAGTGCATTGCTGTGGTTTGCGCCATAGTTTACCTAGACCTCAGATGTAATTTTGAATGCTGATTGGGATTAGATTGCCGAGTCGTATTGGTTTCTGCATAGCCAGCCTAGGTCTTCGTTTACTCATGAGCTGGATCTTCGGCCATATTGCGAGACGTGGTGATGGGATTTCTTGAGTGTGGTTTGTACACCTTCACAACCATGAAGTCATAGATTAATCAAGATACCTCCCTACGATGCCTAACCCCCATAAATCCCAAGTCCCCATCATCCCATAGCCCTTCAACGGCACAAAAGCCCTAAACCTTCTCCCCCTTCACCCCGCCCGCAACCTCCCTCACCACCTCAACATCCCCGACACCCACCCCAACCCCCTCCTGCACCGCCATCTCATCAAACTCATCCCAATAATCCCTCGGCTCCAGCCACCCCTTCAGCCCGCGATCCACCCCCCGCGGCCCCCACACCGCACACAAGCCCGCAAACACCGCAAACGCCACCAACAGTCCGACCGGGTACGCCACGAAATAGAACCGCTCGATGCCCAGCGGCGCCCGCACGCCCATCTGCGACAGGAACCCGTAGAAGTTCGGCGCCACGGCGATGATATACGCCCCGAAGCCGCGCGGGTTGATCCCGTACAGATAGAAGTAGATGCCCGATGGGTCGGCCGTGTACAGCGCCGGGACGTGCAAATGGCCCCGGCGGATGAGGTAGTAATCACAGATCAAGATTCCGGCGATCGCGGACAGGAAGATCTGGTAGGAGGAGAGGAAGGTGATGAAGATTGAGGCCGTGGCGAGGAGGTACCAGGGGCAGATTGCGAAGGAGAGGACTTGTGTCACCCGGAAATTAGTTCGGTGCGGGCCTGTGGGTTTGGGAGGGTCTGGATGAGAATAAGGAGGGGCTTACTGGCGCAGATGAAGAAGCCGCGTTTCACGGTGATGTAGCGCGGCCAGAGGGCGGCGATGTCGTTGCCTGCTCTGTGGGGTGTTAGTGGGGGTGTGAATGGGTAAGACAGGGGGTGGCATACGGGATCGAGTTCTCGAAGATGGCGGAGAAGACGGTCGAGTAGATGAAGGCTAGCGAGATGAAGGCGCAAGCGGTGCGGTTGCCGTGCGTGTAGCGGTCGCCGTCCATGAGTTTGTCCAGGAAGGTCAGCGGGTTCCAGATGAGCTGCAATGGTCAGCACTAACACAAGGTGGCATCTACCGGAGGAGAAGCACCCACCTCGCCGAATATGCTCTCGCTCGACCCTGCAATCACATTGCCGATGACGGCCACCAGCAGTCCCGAGACCGGAAAGCTGATGATCTGCCCCAGAATCACATCGCTGGGTTTACGTGCGTATCGCTGCAGATCCGCTGCGTTCGAGATAAAAGTCCCGCAGCTGGCCAGTCCCAGCCACAGAAACTTGCAGATCAGCCAGCTCTTCTCCTGTCCGTGCACGGACGAGGACGCCCGAAGTGCCGCGGGCGATCCCCCCGCCAGGGAAACGACCCACGCCAGCATCGCTAACGCGCCGGCATAATACACGACCACTTTGATGTAGACCAGCATCTTCATTTTCGGAACCGGTACCACCAGGAAGGCGCAGTTGATCAACCTTCTCATGTTAGTGAAACATCCGTCCATCGATGCGAGAACATACCAATACACCACAAAGCAGATCATTTGCGCGGAGGTCAGAGCCGACTTCGGCCCCATTGTGTCGGGAATGTGCGCGATCGAAGGGAAGATCGCATGAAGAAACACACTGCGTGCATCAGCAAGCATCATGCAAGGACAACCCCGACACACTCACTAGAGACACTGCGCACCCTGCGTCATATTCACTCCGTTCCACACAATGGACATGACCGCCCGATTGAAGGTCGGCCACAGCGCGCCCCAGACGCCAAAACTCGAGCGACAGAGCACCGGATACGGGATGCGATACATGGCCCCGGCGCGGCCGTTGATCGCCATGAGGCATCCCGCCATGAACTGCCCGCCGAAGCTGCACGCGATACTCTCCCACATGGTCAACCCCATGGTCATACCCGTGGAGGCCGCGTAGAGGTTGCTGACGTTGGCCACCGCCGAGAACCAGAACATCACATATGTGAACTGCGTCCATGTCCGATCTTTGGCGCGGGTGGGTCGGATGGAGTCATTGTCGAGGGTCTCCACAATTCGCTCGTTTCCATGCTGATCGAGGCTTTTCACCAGCAGGCGCCTGTGCAGGATCGCGAGTATCGACATCTTGTTGTCGTTCCTGTTCTGGTTGTTCCCACCCTTGCGACCGCGAGAGGGGTTAAATACCAGCCCGTAGCCACTCTCTGGCCAGGGGTTGGACAGGGATGGTAATACGACCGTAGATAAGAGACGGGGATGACACCCTGCTGGGTGCAACGGTGATAAGTGGCACACGCGACCGACTTCACTGAATCGACCAACACTTCCGGCTTATCTGCTAGTGCAGACGTAATCAGCTTATCTGCCGCCAAGGTCGGATGGCGTTTCTCTTGGACGACCGAGAACCAGCGATAAATTAATCTCGCAGCCTTGCGGAGTGGTGACTTGGCGGGGCGGGGTTCCCCGCGCGAGTTTCTCGAATCGGATAAATACAGAACATACCTACCACCAGCACATGCATGCAGACCTCAGCGTGGCAAATTAACTAACTCGAGTACCACAAAACAGATGAGATTCCCTTACCAAGCCGAGGCTGACCCGAACTTAATTCACTGTAGTCTCACAATGACGACCGAATGTGAATACACCCATGTCGAGTTGCTGACCTTGAATGGGCCAGAGTACCGCCGCGTGTCGACGGCGCCTCCCCGCCTCCCGACCAAGGATGAGATACCCGTGATCGACCTCAACCCTATCGATGGTGATGCACACGAACGCGAGCTGCGAGCTGCAAAAGTGCGCGCTGCTGCGGAAAACACCGGGTTCTTCTACATCAAGAACCACGGCATTCCCGACGAGCTGATCCAGGAAGCCCTCGCCCAGGCACAAGCATTCTTCCAGCAGTCGGAAGAAGACAAACTGAAAGTCGCCTCCGCCAAAATGAAACTGATGGACGGGTTTCATGGTGTCGGAAGCACGCAGATCAACAAGACCGAATCCAGGGGTAACCCCTCCCCCTGATCACCACTTTGGACGTACTGTACACTAATCCAACCCCAGACCGCAAGGAGACCTTCTCCCTCCGCTACAACCCCCACCGCGACCCACAAGCCAACCCCGCAAACCTACCCGCGGACGACGACGACGACCAGGACCGCGCCCTCTGGGCCGGCACCGCCCACCTTCCAGGCTTCCGCGAAACCACGACCGCCTTCTACCAAGCCCGACTAACCCTCGCCCGCAAGATGATCCGCATCTTCGCGCTGGCCCTCCACCTCCCGGACGACTACTTCGACGAGCTCGTCACCCACCCCGGCGCAGACGGTCTGTACGTGCATTACCCGGGCACCCCGGACGGCCCCGCCACCAACGACGCGACCCTCGAGGTCGGGATCGGCTCGCACACCGACATCCAATGCGTCACCCTGCTGTGGCAGGACATGTCCGGCGGGCTGCAGGTGCTCTCCGCGCAGGACGAGTGGCTGGACGCCCGCCCCATCCCCGGCACCTTGGTCGTCAACATCGGCGACTTCCTGCAGCGCCTGTCCAACAACCGCTTCCGCTCCACCGTCCACCGCGTCTTCAACCGCCAGCCCGCCTCGCGCTACTCCATGCCCTTCTTTCTCGGGTTCAATCCGGAGGCCGTGTGTCGCGTCGTGCCTTCGTGCGTCGACGCGGCGCATCCGCCGCTGTATGAGCCGATCTCGTGTGGGCAGGTGAGTTCAAGCTTCTCCCGTGTTGGTTATGTGATGAGGACTTTGCTGAGTGATGTAGTGGCATCGCGATCGGTTGGCGCTGGCGCAGGGGTTGCTTGTGCGGCCTTGATTTTGGGGCTGGGGGGTCGGTTAGCTACGAGGGTTGCAGGTAAAAGCTGGGAGGGGCGGCTTGATCTACACGTTTCATTTGTTGTAGTAAGGGTTTTTGGGGGTATGTCCTCTGCGCTGAGCTGGTAGTATGCTACCTACTTTTCGGGTGCTATAGTCCATACTATCTGGTAGGCACCCGCTCAGTGCTTCATGCCTATCTACGATCGCGAGCCATACATAGTAGACTGTACTCTAACCATGCTGATTGGACGCGATCGAAATTGAGAATAATCTTAAACTAACCCCACTGTATCTTCTCCCAGACAGAGTAGGCTAGCCCATCATGGAACCATCGGCGACATCCGAGAGATCGCAGATAAGGGAGATACGAATACGCCACCTGGAAATCCATGTGGCACGCTCAGGGACTCGCCAAGCGCGATTCTTCCGATTGGTCGATAAGCTTGCATTAGTCGGCGAGCGACCATTATTCCAGGAACGCTTGTGGTGGTGCCGAGTCGTGTGCTGGCTTACCTAGCAAGACAGCTGAGGTGCGATAGACTACATTAGGGGATATCAAGTGGTTGTGTAGCCCCAGAGAATCATGTCTGACGGGGGTTGTTCTGTGGTCTTCTGGGGCTACTGCGCTATCTCTGGTTAATCTGATGGCCCCGGGGGAAGGTTTTCATATCTTCTGTGGTGTGTTAATCCATTCTGTATGATACATCTCGAGTCAAAAAAGCCCACACCATCGCGAAGAGAATACTTCTTCTCTTCTTCCACCGATAGTCCGCTTTGTGCTATTCGTACTGGACGCCTGCTCGGCTATTCTGGTCATTTATGCGTTCATATCTCTTGCAACCTGATGGGATTATGTCTCCGTTGACCGGAAAGTAGTAGATTATCTTGGGGGACAGTCTTCTTCGTCAATATGAAACGCAGAGATTTTGGAATCAAGGTCTGTCTCGGGGCCCTTGTTGGGAGAATACAGAGTGGAAGATGCTGTCCCTTTCTGGCTATGTGAAGATGGGAAGAAGGGAGGTCAGACGGAGTTTTGTAGATACTGTGCATTGATTCAGAAATGTAAAAAAGTTGACGGGTGATTCTGGTCGTCGTCGTCGTCGAGGCATATTGGCAGGTTTTTATAGAAGTTGATTGTTAGGGCTATTCCTTCCCGTTCGGAATTGCGGTCGGCGGATCCGCCGCGGTAGGCATAGACGTATAGTACAAAAGGGAGATTATGCGTTAAGAATCTCTGGACTACATTGCGTCCTACAGGAACTTTGGTTTCTACTGGATGTATGATGGGAAGCTTGAAAGGAAAAATTCATAATCAGAATCCGGTCCTCAGACTGGGAAATAAAAGTCCAGGTCCTGAAAAACAAAACACCATCATGGATCTCAACACTGCTCCCCCAGGTTAGTTAGAGCCAGTGGTCTTGCATCAATCAGATGGGCCCCCCTTCGTTCATTCTGGCGGCATCTTCCCGGGTGTCATCTTCCTGGGGGGCATCATCCCGCTCTTCCGCCCCCTCGACAGCCGCTCGTATCCGGGCAAAAAGATCCCACGGCCGGTGATGGCCCTCTTTCATGGCGATCATACACATCTCGCAGAACATGGGCTCGTCAGGGTCGATGATCCGGTTGAACAAGCCCGGAAGGTCCCGCTTGTTGCCGGATGCGGGCAGGCAGAGCTCCTTGTTCGGGCGGGCTTTGGCCTTGTCGCACGACAGCCATCCGGCGCGGTAGAGGTGCCAGCAGCCGCCGTGGCAGCGGTAGATTTGGACGCACATTTTGAATGGACGTGTTGTTGGGGGGGGGTGGGTCAAACTTCGCTATGGTTTTGGTCGAACTTGACTATGGTGACGGCAAAGTGGCTGGTGTGGGGATGGTGTTTCTGTAGCTTCTGCAGGTGGAAGAGGATCTAAATAGTCTCCGCGACTGGCAGTCTGGGAAGATGAAGTGTACAAAGAGGTTCTTGGTATAAAGAGTTTGGCATTCGTTTGCCGGTATATTTCAATCTGGACGGTCGGCCGTGAATAGCGTGTGAGGATTGACGGAACATATTACGGAGGATGTTTCTTTGTCTAGGTAACGGGCGCCCGCATAGACCCTACGTGTTAGCATTTCACATAAGACGCAACTCCAGGAGTGGTGAACAACTGAGGAGCGGGGATATATCTCAAACGCACGGGTAGACAATTTGTGTGGCTTGGAATTGAATCGTCTTCACCCAGTACTTTTTAAACCAGCGAAGAATACAGTGAAGTTTTTCCTCTAATTCCAGATGTACATACATAGTCATGCAGTAAACAGCAGCTGGACCATAATAATACCATCTGTAGTGTTCATAATACCTGGCCTGGTGACAAGCTGTGATATGCGGGTTGCAGTCTCTGTAAGACTGACATTATATATACGTACAGTAGCACTATTACTCAATCAAGGCAAGATGGCCGAGCGGTCTAAGGCGCTAGGGTCAGGTATCTGATCACACATACGCTCATACGAGCAGTATTCCTAGTCACGCAAGTGGCGTGGGTTCGAATCCCACTCTTGTCATAACTTTTTATTTTGTTCCAGTATTGTCTTGGATCTGACTTTTGATGTGTACTGTCGCACATGTCGGCATTCTAATCCTGATCTGGATTTTTAAATGTTTTATGAAGTGGTAGCCTAGTTTCGTACCATACTATCTGTACTTGGCTGTACTTGATCTGGGTGTGTTGTTCGCTGCTGGGTCCTTTGGCGCGACCGCAGCAATTACACGGTCGCATGAAGTTTAACCACGCAGCTCGATTGGCTAAAGCTCACCTTTGTAGCTACAGCGAGAATAACTGACATGCTCCGGTTTTCTAGTTGGCTGAACTTTCTATTGGTGGTGCATATGTACTTTACATACGAGGATAACTGCAGCATTCACCGGTGTGCCGTGCCGACTTGTGGTTTGTCCTTCTTTTCGGGGAAATTTCTAAGCACGAAAGTTTCACGACAACCAGTACTTATTTATCGTCGATCATCGAGGTTGAAATCGTCCAAGAGGCACTGGTGTACTATCCTCAACTCTTCTCGAGTACGGCAAATTCCATATCACTGACTTTTGACCTGATGTCCAACCATCTGGAAGAAAGTCTTAGCAAACAGGGTTCCGAAAATATATAGCAGCCTTGTTGACTAGCAACAAACCCCTCCGACTTTCCTTCAGGCAAACCACCCATACCACAAAGCAGACTGCATACTGCATGTTTCCCCCCCCCCATTCTGCTCCGAGTCTGATGCCATGGTCCAGTCTTTCAAACATGATAAACTATGTCGATCTTGCAGCAGTATCCGAGGCCCGCCCGACGATCATCTCTAAGGCGTCTTGAACTGTCGGACCCGCACACATGCAGCAAACCTGCAGCTAACAATGCAATTGCTACCTAGCCCTGAGCCAAGATCAAGACACACATTGTCAAGCTAGCTTTTGCCAGACCGTCCAATCGACATCAAAGGTGACGCCTATGGGAGAGATCCATAAAAAGTCCTTCACATGGATTGTGAAGGAGAATGGACAAAAAGATTGACCTACGCAGGGCTCGAACCTGCAATCTCTTGATTCGTAGTCAAGCGCCTTACCATTGGGCCAGCAGGCCAGCTGTTGAAAGATGGCAGGTAGCTTGTATCTATGAGGCAAAACTCAACAACAACACTATACATGTGGGCGACTAGGTCATTCCTGCGCACCGGAAATGGTTGGTATGTACTCCGCTCCGACAGACTCCCCATTGTTCAATATTTCACAGCAATGAGGTATGCTTGTCATAAACATTATCAGCCTCGCTCATATACACCTTGAATTGCCAGCCCCTGGATCCGAAGGCCTTTACGCATACTGAGCAGGGGTAAACCTTTTCGAGGCTTCCGGCGAAGGATCAAGGTCACTACCCTAGGTTGTCGACTCAACAGGATTTGGAATGGATAGCTCGTGGAAAGGTTAGGACGAAGTTAACTCATATTGAACGGACTTACTAAGCGGCAATGAAATTAAAGCCATAGCATCCTTCATCGAACTAGCGCTCTTGCTATATTATGGAGCACTACAAGGTACCCCATAGGTTCACCCATCCTTATCGAATTCCCTCATACGATATTTGTACCTGCAATGATTTTGTGTACAACTCACCCATGACTCATACAACGAGTCGAGACCTCATGTCGCCGATCACTCCCCAAAACGACTGGTGTTGTGCTGCTCTAGAGCCTGGACCTCATGGCCATTGCCACACATTTGGCTTTGAGCTAGGGCGCTCAAGCCTGCCCTATCGAAGCCAGGATTACTGTGTCCTTCTTGGATCTGACCATTCCCAATCACGGAACGTCTGCCCTGGAAAACTGAAGAATCATCACCTCAGCATGACACATTCTCCACCCTAAAGCTACGTTGGATTTAGCATCTTCATAGCGCAAATCCTGGAGCCTCGTGCGTTCGTGCTGCGGCTCAAGGTGGTCTCGCTGCACTCCACACTTCTTGCATGCTCAACTCACTGCATAGCTTGAGGTAACCCTGTCTGATATATGAAGGCTCATAGATGGTCGCCACCTCTAGTAGTTCAGCCTCACCTTCTTTACCTTATTTGATGACGCTGACCCGCTAGTGATGGACTTGTGCTGTGGTGACTTGAGTCGTGACGAGGGGCAGGGCACCTGCGAGTGGAGCGCCCGCCAAGCACGGCCGTCTTTAGCACTATCCCAGATAAAGCTTGGGCGCCACGAAGCATACGTATGTCGCCAGGCTCAATCGGGCTATTCACTCGGCTGAGCCTCTGATTTGGTTCCTGCAGAGAGTTCCCAACATTCCTCAGCAGAATAAGGCCCTGAGAGTGGACACAGCCAGGACTCCGGCGGCCTTAGCCGGGGTATGTACTTCCTCTGTGGGTCGGCACGCTTCTGCAGGCTCCTGCTGTATGGTTCGAGACCACCAAAGGATCAGTAGTAGATTCCATTCTTCTGCTAGGCTTTGCTCGGGCTATTGTGCCTACCTGACTCTGTTGCTTGAGCTAACTCCGAGCCGTGCGAGGAATCTATAGATAAAAGCGTCGTCCCTCTATCGATGATCTATTCTTTCCCAAGCATCGCAATAGCCCTCCACCACCACTCGCACCATGAAGTTCACTCTTGCCTCCACCCTGGCCCTGGCCACTGCAGCGCTGGCCATGCCTGCCGCCGAGGCTGAAGCTAGCCTCGAGAAGCGCAACCCCAGCGGTGCCTTCAGCCTCTACGCCTGGGGCGTCACCAGCTCAGCCATGAAGCTCTTCTACTCCGATGGTACATACACTCCAGCCCAGGCATAAAGGCTCAAGCTGATAGTTAAACCTCCAGGTCTCGCCTACGCCGGCGACTCCACCGCCTGGCCCTACGGCTCTGTTACCACCGATGTCACCTGTATTCCCCCCCTGATTTTCTGCCCTACTTCTTTTTAGTGTACCTAACCCCCCGCAGTCGAAATCGCCGACACCGAAATAACCACCACCGCCACCACCGACGGCGTCACCCTCGACGCGGACACCCTCTTCTACATCCGCCCGACCGCGGACGAGATCACCGAGGTCGGCTTCACGGGCAACGGCTACGACACCCCCTCCGATGCGGCGACCGACAACTTCATCTTCTACGGCTCGTGGCTGATGTGGGAGGAGGACTCGGGCGTTCTGACCGATAGCTTCCGCCTCAAGGAGACCAACGTCTCGGGTATCTATCAGTTCTACTTCGATTACTCGAACCTGTACCCCAGTGGGTACTCGACGCCCAGTGTCATGGACAAGGCGAGCTGAGTTGGGGTATAATCTTGGGGCCCAGTGAGAGGGGACAATGGTGCTGGTTGGCGCTGTTGTGAGAATATCTATGTGATTTGCAGTCAGCGTTAATATGCAGTTTGCCGGTCGCTTATTGTCAATGAATGATATATATGCTGCTATCTGCTCTTTTTGCTACATAGCTGATTCGATGACTTCATCGCTAGACTTGTAACCAATCACCTACCTGCAATGAGTATAGTGTGGTAGCATGCTGTAAGCCCCCAGTAGCCCCTAGTGGGGCGTCGTTATACAAGTCAGCAGTAAACCCTACAGGGACTTCATTCTCCGCGCTAGCACACACTGTTGGCCTGGACTTATCCCCACCATGGCCTCAGTCTGTAGGCCATTGGCAGCATGAAAAATGCAGAAATACGACTGCCGACTAGCAGTCCGTGAATCTCAAATCCTGGATAATGTGACCATAGCTGATACCCAGCTCGTCCCTGAGTATTAGTCCCCAATCTCGATCCATGGTACCCTCCCGGCCCACTCGCCCGAACCACAGCGCACTGGAACTGCAGAATTCTAGACCCCGTTCCCGGGACTTCCTCTTTGGGTATTCCGAGCGTCTTTCGGTTCCTGGCTGGTGTGTCGATTTTAGCTTGCAGAAATTTAGTTCTTGCCCACCGGTCGATGTTTGAGTATGTAGCTAACCTCGACAGTGTGTGATAGAGCCTCATGAGCTTGATTAGTGTTTTTCCTGTCATCAGATTCCTCCAATATCAATCCAAGCAGCGTAGCCAGCTATATGCCCTAAGCCGACTCTTGGATAGAGTAACTAGGTACTAGACAGTTATCCCGGCCGCCCGGGCCTTCTAAAAATCTATGGTTTCCCTTCCCCTTCCCCTTCCCCTCGGTAATGAGCTGTCGGGGAATCTCCCGGTCCACCAGCGGGACCCGCGCGCCGTGGACCGTGGACCCCGCCAACTGATTTTTTTGTTTTCTTTTTTTGCAGTCTGCCAAAAAAACTAAATCTGCCCTACCACCAATACAACCAACTAGACTCAAGTTGTTCATATCTGTTAGGTAAGTAGCTAGAATACTCACAACCATCACGCCATCATCACTATATCTATTCAGAAATAAAAAATCGCCACCGTAAAACTCCAACTCCATCTATCGTACCCTCATCGCGCCATAACGACAACTCAGGGAAAAAAAAAAAAAAAAAAAAAGACAGCATCGTGAGACCCACAAGTCGAAAGTTTTACATAACCCAACATGGCCAAGAAAAACTTAGATAGCGCAAACAGAATCCACCCGGTTCTCGGGCGCGATCCCCCTCCGGCGCACAGAGAACAGCGCCACGAGCAGCCCTAACCCGGCCAGGCCGGCGGAGCACCACAATCCTGTAGAATACTGGTGGGCGAGGTCGTGGCCCTTCTCGATGTCGACCGCCTCGGTGACGGCGGCGGAGATGGCGAGGGCGACGCCGGAGCCGATCTGGAAGGCGGTGTTGAGCATCCCGCCGCACAGGGATTTGACGTTGATGGGGACGGTGGTCAGGATGCAGGTGCTGGTTGTGACGAAGATGAGGGAGACGGCCGTTATGCTGATTAGGGAGGTGGGGAAGACGTTTGTCCAGCTTTGCGTTGTGTTAGTATTCGGGATTGAGGTTGGGAAGGCGGGAGGGGAACTAGACTGGGTCCCAGGGGGCACGTACAAGCTTGACTCAGGGCTCGCGGTGATGCTGCTCGGGATCGGCGCCACCACCGTCAGGACCAGCCCGGCGAGCAGGGTGTATTTCCCGTTCACGTACTCCAGCGCCTTGCCGGTGCCCATCGAGGCGACGAAGCCGATCGCCCCCATCGGGAGGAAGCGCAGCGCCGTCTGGCCCGCGGACAGCTTGTCGACTTCCTGCGCCATTAGGACGATGTAGTAGATCACGTTTTGGTAGCTGCCGTAGCAGGCTGTTTCTCGTCAGTAAGTCATCGTTAGAAGAAGGACGAGGGAGGCTCACTGAAGCCCGCGATCCACAGCCCCGCAAAGTTGGGGATCTTCCACAGCCCGAGCGGCATCAGCGGGTAGGCGATGAACTTCTGCAGCACGGTGAAGGCGACCAGCAGTGCGACCGCGAGGATCAGCAGCACGATGATGAACGGCTGGCTCCAGCCGTAGGTGCCGCCGCTCGACAGGACGAACTGCAGCAAGATCAGCCCTGCCGTTGACATCGATGCGCCCACGAAATCCATCTTGGGCTTCTCCTTCGGCATGATGTCCCGGGGCAGAACCACCGCCCCCCAGGATGCACAGCGACCCCGTGATGATCACGATGAAGTAGTAGATGTACCGCCACCCCAGCGATGAGGTAAGAAACCCCCCGAAGATGAGCCCGACGCAGAACCCCACGGTTCCCGAGGAAGCGTAGATGGCAAGGCCGCGCGTGCGATCCACGCCCGTGAAGTAGGCGCTGATGATCCCGATCGCGGACGGGACCGTCATGGCCGCGCCAATGCCCTGCAGGCCGCGAAAGATGGTGAGCGAGATGAAGGACTGGCCGAATCCGATCGCCAGGGTCCAGACTGACAGCCAGAATAGGCCGATGCACAGAATGTTCTTCCGGCCGTATCTGAACACGACACAAAGGTTAATTAAGGGTTGAATTGGGTTTCGGGTTACTGCTGGGATGGGAGAGAGTTACCGATCGGATAGGACCCCGGCAAGAAGCAGGAACCCGCCAAATGTCAAGGTGTATGCAGAGATCATCCATTGCAGGTTGGTGCTGCTCACGTCAAACTCCTTCTGGATCGAGGAGAGCGCGACGTTGGCGCTCGTCATGTACACATTGTCGAGGAACTGAGAGCCGGAGGTCACCAACAGGATCAACGCGCCTCGCCAGGAGGCCAGCCGACCGATCTCGGGACATTGCCCCAGCGGAGCGAGGCTCTTCTCTTCTGTTGGAGTTGTAAAGCCGGATGAAGTCTCGCTGTTAGGTTGAGACGACTCTGGGCTGGAAAATACAGTGAAGTGAGGGCCCTTGGCCTCTTCGTCGACGATTACCGGGGCCTCTTGGCCCTTGTTTCGAAATACACGGTCAAAGATGGCCATGGTGAGTGTGTATGTTTTGGGATGAAGAACAGAAAGAAAGGGAGAGGGGTCTACTCCTCTCCTGACAGGCAATAAATATATGCGCTAGCTTGAAAAGACAGAAATACTTAGTAAAAATCTGATTCTTGAGCAGCTTAAGTAAAAGAGTGGGTATCGCTCGACCGATATGTGTCCCGCCCATAGAGTTTCTCGCCATCCAGACTTGCGCTCGGTCGGCTGCCGCGCGGCCTGGGTATCGGAATTGTAGCAGCAAGATGTATGCTGGGTTATCAGCGTGCTAAATTATGTGATCCCCTTCCTGACTGAACGATGATCGTCGAGGGGTTATTTGCATGATCAGTGAGTTGAGACGCATGCAGGTCCGCGCGCTTACTTCATTGGACATGTGCGACCGCACTGGGGTCGTTCAATTATATCAGTAGTAAGGCCATGACCCCAGTGAGAGACTCAGAGGGGCGTGCTGATTTAGGAAGAATTTTCATATCCGTCATGCCTTTTTCCTTTTCTTTTTTTCTTCTTTCTTCTGTGCATTGGTCCCAGATGGCTACTTCGTACATGGTGGCTGCCTTAGTAGCCCTAGTTCGGAAGGTGTCTTATTCACCCTACGAAGCTCCATGCATTCATGCAGGAGTCACAAGGGGAATGGGGCCAGTCTGATTGGCGGCATGAAGCTTGTGCCTACATCAAGCTACAGCTTGTATCTATGATCATCCCGCCCAAAATTCCGCTATGACAGTTATCAAGAAAAGGCTGTTGCTATTTTGATGAATGAGAAAGCTACTGTTGCTCATGCAGGACCACTAGATGGGTACCCAAATTGCCACGAACCTGAACCGGTGGAGAGGAATCAAAGGACAGCCCTGAGGGACCCGTTGGAGGTCCGCGGGATCCACGTGCAGTCCCAAGGTTCGGGTGGATCGCTTTTGACGCTGGCCCGTGCTTCTTGCCTTACCTTCTCGCCCAAGGTTTTTTCTCCCCTTCTTGCCGAGAAGTTCTTATTATGGTTGTGGCTGCTCGCTAGTCTGTTTTGGGTAATTTTCTCGAAGCAGGTGCTGAGAGTTCCAATCTACGAGTTAGCGAGACCCGACGATGCGATGCTTTGACGGGCTATCTGCTGGTTGTAGATGACCAGTGATGCCATCTTGGCAAGAAAAATTGATTGAATGTCCTCTGCTCGATCGAGACATCAACAAAGGAGCTGGGAACACCCCTTGGCCGCGTAATCATCTTGTCTTGACTTTCGGATGATCTTCGTCGATATTGCATGAAACAACCAAAAATTTGCAGCTCGACCGGCTGTTTAAGGGTTTGGGTGGGGCCGACCTTTATTTGCGGGTGGCCGGCTTGGCGCCCGCCCTTCCCTTCCTGTCACCATGCGAACCCGATTCGCCTCTAGGGCAAGAATCAACAACTTCGGCACTAACATGTCTGATCTTTGAGCTCGATCATGACATCACTAACCTTAACTGAGTAGATTCTTGCACGATGAACCCCTCCCCTACCCCGAAGCTCGTCATCTGCGAACCACGGCTGATGACAACAGTCCTTATCATTGTGTTTCGAGATGGAATGCAAGGAGCGCGTCAGATCCCTCTCTCCCCCTTCAATGCGTCTTCAGCTCCGGTTCACCATTGAGGGGGCCAATTGCCGGTCGGCGAGTGTTAAAGAATCTGGAGTCGTGACCTCCGCAGTATGGAGTACGCAATACCGCCTTCGACGAACATGCCCTACAGACGTTCATCCAACGGCTCGGATCAAGCACCCCTGACTCCAGAGATGATCCTGTCACATGACGTAGATCATCTCCATCGGTCCGCAGCACCGGCAGCAGGAATGGCTGGGCGGCAGGGCTAGAGGACCTCAGGGAAGGTGTTGCGAGCTCTGCGGATATATTATCACAGGCTGGCGCGCAAGGGGCATGATCAGTTATTCAGCCACGAAACAAACACAGCCCTGATTTCGTCGATGCATCACGGAATTTCTTCGCCGATGATATCACTTTATGGGAAGGGAGGACGGAAATGCGATATCATATGTGGAAGGTTGAGCGTGCTGACATATCGTAATGAACTGACTGGATTAACCCTGTCTTGCTCCGGCTGTGCCTGGAGATGGTGACTAATGACTTGAGAGGAAGAAGCAGGTAGGCTTGTCGAGCGTGGAGTTGTGTAGCTTATGCGCGGTCGCATAAGCTCTGTGTACCTTGCACTGTTGTCGAGCACTGTGATGAAGGCGATTCGTATGTTTATCCCCATAATTGACTTGTGTGTTGCAGCTTTGTGCGGAGTGTCACCCGAGAAAGATATAGTGCAAATGCGCAAAGCTGAAGAGCATCGACTGCTGCTAGCGACTAAGATGATACTTCCTGCGCACCAACTCACCAAGTTACACGAGCTCAGGAGTGTGTCTATACAGACTCATTATGAGCGCAACAAGGCTAACTTGCCTCAAGAAGGCATTGGTTGTACAAGTGGGGATCTCAAGTCCATAGCGTGATGCAAGCTAGTCCACCTACGTCAATGGCGTTGTATCCTCTTTATAGGATGGTTTCTGGCCGGACTTACTATCTATTTATTTCAAAACCGGCTTCCAATACAACGAACAGCAGCTTGCATTCAGCATCTTCATCCTCATTGAGTAAGGGCACTGACCTGGAGAAAACACTCTCCTTGAGCTTCCGACCGAGAAAATATGGTAGATAATTTGTTGGAGCAAGACTGGCGGCGCAAGTACTGTACGACCTGCCATGCCATCTTCACTATGTGCGTATCAACTCACTACGCCTCGGTTTGGTAGGAATGATCTAGTACCACCGCCTCCTCGACACAACCACTGCGTTCCTCGCAAAAACGATCTTTGTTTCACTTCTCTCGCGGTCATCAAACACTCACGTCTCTTTTGTGTCTCATATTTAGACTGCGAGAGGCAAGCAAACACGCGTTGCAGAGATTCCGACGAGGTCAACCACTTGGGTGCGTATTATCTCGAACAATAGTGCAGGACTCAGGTTTTATCCCACGACGGCCGCAATCGCACATCCCAACTAAAACAAAACACTCACTTACTGTGCGCTCGACAATGGGATACCAGCCAGTATAATGACTGCCAATACCTCGAAAGCGATTGATACGAAATGTGCACTGCTCCGGAAAATATCTGGTCGTGAAAGTCCGGCAGGTCCGTTAACAGCAGATACACAGCAAAAACAAGAGGTACGGAAAAATTACAAACCAAGTCATCGTCCACCAGGAGTACCAAACAACCATGAAGTGCTGGAAAGGATATCCAACCGGAAAAATTACCAAAGATGACTACTTACATTCGCCAAAAGACACAAAGAGCATGAGAAGCAGGAAACAAGTCACAAGCAAACGCAACTGACCCAACAATACGAGAACTCCAAGTTGCACGCCCCGACCCCCAACCCACCCACTCACCCACGGGGCGCGCACCTCTCTACCCTACCCGTTGCGCAACAGCTCGAAAATCAACCTCAACTGGAAGTTCTCCGCGCCAAACCTGCGCTCCAGCTCACCGATGCTCTTCTCCAGATGACCGTACAAGATCCCCAGCGTATCCTCGGTGAACTGCAGGCTTCCGTTCCGTTTCATCAGCTCCAGGATTGTCTCCTTCTGGGCGTGCGTCGCGGTGCCGCGGACGCGCCGCTGCATCCAGACATTCCGCAGGACATGGTTCTCTGGCATGGTTTGCAGGAGGTGAATCAGTGGGAGGGAGAATTTCCCTTCTTCGAGGTCTTCGCAATAGCCCTTTTGCTTCGTGTACTGTTTTTTTGGTCGCGGTGGTTAGTCAGCTAGTTCCCCAGCATGTGGAATGGAAAGGAAAGGGAGAGGAGAGGGGCCCATACCTCAGCAGAGACCAAATTCTGGTAGTCGTCCCGGGTCTGAAAGTACCGTCCGAGGCGGTTGGAGAAGTCGATCATATCGACTTTGACGGGATTCGTCGAGTGAAGGGCCATGAGGCGACCGAAGAGGCGGACGAGACCGCCGGTCTCTAATCCAGGCGTTAGAGCCATGCGTTGCTCTCAATTGGGGGATTTCAGAACTCACTGTGCTCAACCATCCGGAAATACTCATTGATAGAAGGACAGATAAGATTACTGGTCCAATACAGGTCCATGGACTGACCCACGTAGAGGTAGTGCAGCTCCTCTTTAAGATAACAAGAGTCAGCTGTGGCCCAGTTGCCGTGAGGGGATTCGTGACGCATACCGGTAAATACAAGCAAGCTTTTAGGACCCCCCAGTTTCTGAATCTCTTGCAATGCGCGAACGAGCTGATAGTTGGCCGAGTTGATCGTCTGACCGAGCCCAAAGATCATGTGGGTTGATGCTTTGCCCCGTCGAAGCTCCGATCCGTCTTCCAAGTCATCGAGCCTGGAAATGGTCAGACATGTGGCACTAGAGATACGGAGTAAACAAAGAAAGAACAGACATTAAGGACGCATTGTGAAGAATTGTAATGATGGATTTGATGATGGCTAGTTTCTCGGCCGGCACGCGGAACCAGACATTCAAGGCATCGATTGCATGCTCCCGAAATCCCTTGGATGGAAGAGCCGTGATATATTCGTATGGGGCCTGTAGAACCTGTTGATCGGATTCGTCGAATCAGCAAACTGCGGATGCCTCGAGAAAGAAAGCAGTAATGTCTCATACCTTCGCGTCAAGATCTTGCCCTTGGAGCGGTGATTCTACCTCTTTGACATCATGGCCTCCATCCTTGGTTGATTCCAATTTCCTGTCATGATCTCCAAGTTTAAAGCCATCACGACCGGAAAGGTGCTGAGTGATAACCGCGCTAAGCAGGCTTGTGTCACTGTTGCTAATTCCATTGGTAGTTCTTCCCGGGATTGAAGCATCCCGGCTGTTGTTCTCATGGGCAGTGCCATCTCCATTAAGAGTGTCATGACTTCCGGTGCCAGTACCATTGCTGGTCACCGCGTGATGTCCATTAATAGTGCGATCGTGGATTTTGACCTCACCTTGATCCACACCGGACGCACCACCCTCAGACGTCTGTGCTTTGGGAATGCCATTTTTCATCCACTCCAGCTGGCGCTCGCTGAACGATGCGTCAGTGTAATATCTCGGGCTGTGGAAGCTCCAAACCACGTTTCCGCTCATGCTGTACAGGACCGACTCCAGATACCGCTTGGTATCAGGGGAGAGGTCGTCGCGAGCTTTGACCTCCTCGAAGACCCGCAGGTAGTCGACGGTCGCCTTTTGAATTTCTCGGCGACATCGTTCCTGGGCCTGATCCTCGGAAATCGCATGTTCTTCCATGGCAACGAAGATGAAGTTGGTCACGTAATCCTTTCCCAAGGCGGCGGCGCTCTGGCGTTCCTTGTCCCAGGAGACCAGATCGTTCACCAACGCCATGTGAAGGTACGCAGTGGTGGCAAGCTGATGACAGGTGTCCAGTTCATTTTCAGGGATGGTGATGGCTTGCGCGAAAGTGAGCAGGCCATACCAGAACCTAAATCTCACCAATTAGTCCCAGTCTAGCATTGATTCCCAAGCGAAGAGTAGGAAACACGGTTGAGAAGGAAAAAAAGAGAGGGAGAGAGAAACTGACAGCATCCCGACATCATGAACCCGGTATTTTAGGTAGTCGTCTTCGGACTTGAACCTGTAGTCCTCCTGTCGTCCTGCTTTCTCGAGGAAGGTCGACCAGGCTTTGAGGGAAGTGATTGCGCGGTCATTATCAATGCTCAGCATCCGTTTTGCAACGTACGCCTGCAACGCGCGCTTTCCAGACCCGGCATGCTTTATAGTTCCGGTGCTGATCACCTGATCGAATGCTGCTTTGAGATCGTTGTTATGTTCGTCGCCCTGGTACTTATTGTTAGTCCACCCGTTGTCCTCGTGTCTGCACGGGAGGGGGGATTCATACGTATTTAGCAATATCGGTGACATCTGACCCAGAATTTGTCAGTCTACTAGCAGCAAGCAACTGAAAGACATGGCATAGACATCAGATCTCACCATCATGAAGAAACGCAAGCTCATTCGCGTACGAGACAATTCCGAGTCTTTCTGGAAGGGCTTCAGGGATAGCAATGCTCATCCCGCTCCAGGGGTGACCCAATCCGCCCCTGTAGAGCCCCAGCGGCCCGACTTGCTCGCGCCAGTGCTCTTGACATCTTAGACAATCGATTTCCTCGAGCTCGGTGTTCTTGTGATATCTCACGGTGAGGCCATCGCACAACCCTTGGGTTTGGTAGGTGCTAGGGTCTACCACCGCAGAGAATTTGAACTCCATGCTCCGGAGAGAATGAAAGAGGCGAGGCAGTAGAAGAGAACGAGGCAGAAATGGACGAGAAGAATGTAGCCGAAAGTCGGGTGAGCTGGGTCAGTTTGGTGAATGGGACGAGATGTGTGCTGTGGCATCGAGAAGATAGAGATGTGACAAGAGGAGGATGCTGTATTTAAAGATTCTGCCTTGTGAAGCTGATTCTCCTTTCGGCATCGATAGTGCGATGAACTATCCTAGAGGGGCAAACTCTACCGGAGCGAGCTCAAGACCCCAGTGGAATATGAGTGCCAATGCCCTTTCTTACTCGTGAGTTAGAGGAATAGGATCTGCGCTTCGACATGCATCTCTTCAGGGGTTGAATACGGTGACTCCGTGCACTGAGTCGCAGAGTGATGACATCATACTCCTCTGTTATCACCCACTTGTATGGAATTCAAATGATATTATCTGATGTTTGATAAGGCGGCGCGAGCAGTAGCAGTTGTAATCCAAATGAGTGGATATTGATTTGTGCTGACGGTTCCAGACGACTAGGTGAACTGGTGGGGGGTCGGCCTGACATGCAGCAACTGAGGGATCTGTGAGCAAGAAGTGCTGTCTTTTGTTTGCGATCTTCAGCTTTGACGACGATGTTTGTTGGTCGGCTTCATCCTCGGGTATACTCAGCTGCGGCTGGCTGAGGTCTACATCATAGATAACGAAGCGTCTTCCTTGAATAGAATAGGTACGCACTGTCTCATCGGCCAATCTAGCCTGCTATACAGGCTGTGATGATAGAGAACTACTTGCAGCATGATGTGTTATCATGCATTATCACGCAGTACCACAATGTCAAACACATCGGGCTCTGGATATACTACGTGTCATAGGCACGGAGCCCGGAGTTTCCAATTAGACTAGAGTGGCTCGCTTATGCTATGTCAATGTGGGGATACTGGCTACATTCCCATGACCATATGCAGGCGAACCTATGACCAAGGTCGCCACCACGACATAGTTGTCGTTACCTATTGCCTTCCTCCGGACCCCGCATCTCTTGCCCCCAACGATTCCTCTCTTGAGTGTGTATATGTTACTACAAGCATAAGTTCTATATTGGTTTGAGACTCATTCAGCTTCCAAATCTTGCCTATCGTCTAAGCTTCAGAATTAACCACAAGATGACAAATTCGGTCAATTTTCAGACTGCCCACACGCTCTTTCTCAATCTATATGGCATGTATGGGATTTACGGGCTCTTCTTCGCCGCGGTTGCTCTGTATAGCGTGGCACTTGTTATCTATCGCCTGTACCTGCACCCATTATCTCGATTCCCCGGGCCCAAGATTGCTGCTGCGACCGGATGGTATGAGTTCTACCACGAAGTCATCAGAGGTGGAATGTACATCCATGAGATTCAGAGAATGCACAGAGAATACGGTACGTAGCCCAATTTCCGGCTTCGATCTGCTCTAACCCTCCTCTTCAAGGCCCTATCATCCGCATCAATCCCTATGAAATTGTCATCAATGACCCGGACTACTATACCACCGTCTATGTCGCCTCCAACACCCGCCGCTCAGAAAAGTGGTACACCCTTCAAGGGACAGGGCTTGAGGGCAAGGCATTATCCTTCTTCTCTCACTTTAGAACTTGTCGTACGAGAATGCATATGACTGACCAAATCGTAGGCGCCATGGGTATGACCATGGGACACGAGTTGCATCGCCGTCGCCGCAAGCACTTCGACCCATTCTTCTCGCGCCTGGGCGTCACGCAGATCGAGGGCGTGATTCTGGATGAAATCCAACTACTCACCGATCGACTCGAGGGTAACCGGAAGTCAGGCCGGACCATCCAGATGGAACATGTGATGGCTGCGTTCACCGGTGACATTGTGACAAAGATCTGCTCGGAGAAGTCCCCCGACATGATCCGGCACCCGGATTTCGGCAAGGAATGGTAAGTCAGGCTTCGTCAACCCATTTTGGAAACCGGTGATGAATGACCTACTTACTGCAGGATTGTGCAGGTATGTCACGATCCACACCTACCAGCTACAGGTGCACCTTTTCGTCCAGTTTCCTTATTTGATCTCGTGAGTAACCTGGCCAACTAGCTTCCTTTCTCTTCTGCTTCGGAAGTGCTTCGGAAGACTAACGCAATAGCCAGCCTCACGCAACTCATCCCGCGGGGACTCGTGATGCACTTTTCTCCGGGAGCCGCGGCGTTCAAGAGCCTGCATCAGGTAGGTCGCTTCCTCTTTTGTCTTGCTTGAAAGCTCCGTTCTATTTGCTAAACTTAGACCAGTACGCCTTCGACCACATCACCGAAGCCAAAAAGGACATGGGTCGTGCCGTCAAGGTGCAGCAGGAGGCCGGCCGCAGCTCCGTCTTCCGCCATGTGCTCTCCAGCGACATGCCCGGGACGGAGCGCGAGACCGAACGGCTGGCGCGCGAGGCCTTGCAGCTGTTCGGCGCGGGCACAGCCACGTTGGTCCGCGCCTTCAGCATGATCTTCTACCATGTCCTGTCCGACCCGCAGATGCGCGGACAGCTCCGGGAGGAGCTGAAGGACATCATGGCCGGGTATCCCGCGAAGCGACCCACTTGGCAGGAACTGGAGCGGTTGCCGTACTTGCACGGGATTGTCAAAGAGGGGTTGCGGTATGTCTAATCAATCTCCAATGAACTCCTCTTTTCAGCCTGGATTTCAATTAGCTGATACGAGGGGATGCTAGACTAAGCTATGGGGTCATGCGTCACCTCGCCCGCGTCTCGCCCGATCAACCTCTGCAGTTCAGGGAGTGGACGATCCCCGCCGGCACTCCCGTCGGCATGTCCTCGCACAGCCTCCACTCCGACCCAGAGACATTCCCCGAGCCGGCCAGGTTCCTCCCCGAGCGGTGGATGAAGGACAGACATCACCCCAACATGAACCGGAATTGGGTTCCCTTCGCCCGCGGTTCGAGGATGTGCATTGGCATGAAGTAAGAGATCTTTCCTTTGAACCTTCCCTCCTCAAAGGTCTTCGGAATCCTGGCACGTAGTCGAGGATTTCTTTGGCTAACTCGCAAAAATTAGTCTTGCCTTGGCTGAGATGTACTGGGTGCTGGCGGTTTTGTTTCGCCCGGGGGCGCCGCAGCTGGAGCTGTTCGAGACTACCGAGGCGGATGTGGTTCCCGTGCGGGACTACGTGGGAGGGATTCCGGAGTTCGGGACTAAGGGGGTGAGGGTGAGAGTGGTGTAGATGAGGTTTGTGAAGGGGAAGAGGAGGAAGGTGACAGGGGAGGAGTTAACATTACAGTATTGTTGGGGGAGGGGGGAGCAAGATTGAATCGTGTAGCTAATAGAGTATGTTTTGTGGCCTTAGCTACTTGGATGGAGACAGAAATTCAATTTGCTGACGCGAAACATCTAACTGTCAAAATTGATCATCGTTTGCTAGCACCCATTCGGGGCTACTTCTTTCATTCACTCTGACCGCCGAAGCATGAACCAAGGCAACTACCACACATATCTTGGCTAGAAAGAAAGAAGGACTTGAGAGGAAATCGCTGCGGTGAAGTCCTATGACGTTCTGCCGGAGAGCCCGAAGGATCCTGCTTGACTTGCAGAAACGATTGGTTGTGGAATGCACAGTACTACTGATGGAAGGTTCTCATCTAGTACGTCCCTAATCGTGTCGCTGAGCGCGGTAAGGCACGCGCCAGGATGGTCCTCACCGCATGAGAATTATAGGACCTGGAGCTACGTTAAGAAGAAAATAACGAGTCTAGAAACAGTAAAACAGAGTTTCTTAAAAGGTAAAGCGAGGCCCAATCAATGACTAGCAGAAGGGGTTACAGGTGATCGAGGTATGATTTCGAGAGGAGAAAAACAAAGAAATTGAGAAATTACAAAGAACACAGAAAAGGGGGCCTGCGGATTGGTTTGGTCGGTGGATTCACCAAGATGGAAAAAGAAAGAATTTCTTCACGGGAAGCAAACAGATCTGCGCAGCAAACACCTTCGACACTGTACGGGAATGTCAGTTTTACGACATGGATGTTGTCAATTTTGGGAGGTGGCGAATGCGGGATAAAATTCTCTCTCCGTGCAGAAAGAGGAACAATTCGATGAGGACGCAAACATCGAGACATAGCAAACACTGAACGCATGCACGACATGGATGTTGATGGAAACCCGGAGCCCGAAGATCGTTTTGATTCTGGCTGATGGCTGACCTTGGCTGACACTGGCTGATTCTGGCTGATCCTGGCTGATCCTGGCTGATGTTAGCAGATAGGTGTTGGCTGACGAGAGCCACACTGGACCCTCGAGTCGGCAGACAAAGAACATTGCTGTGGATCACGTTACTCAATATGAAAGTCAAACCTAATTCTTCAGCTGAACAGTCAACAGGCAGAGAAAGGGGCTCTTCTACAAGAGGAGAATAGGGCTGGGACCATTTTAGGTCCTCTACTCTTTTGCCCTTCAACTTGAGACTTTTCATCAACTACCCTGTCGCTATAACTTGTTCTGCGTGATCACGTTCAGATTGGCGCCCTCAGCTCCGAACGCTTGTAGTGATGGCCGACGACCATAAGGTCGAAAGTGGCCTCAATACTCACGTGGAGAAAAGGGCAGAGGAGGTTCATCAACTAGCCAGGCAGTTCACCGAGCAGAGCACTTTCTCTACTGCCGGACAGAACCCTTTTGCTGCCGAGCCAGGATCAGTCCTGGATCCCATCGGTAACAATTTCGATGCTTTAGCATGGTGCAAGGCCATGCTACATGTTCACACCGAGGATGAAAAGGCACATCCACTGCGAACTCTGGGGATCGCCTTTAACAATCTCTACGTGCACGGGTTTGGTTCCGACACAGATTACCAGAAAAGCGTCGGCAATGTCTGGTTTGAAGCCCTGGCCCTGGCAAGAAAGGCGCTCGGTACTCAGAACCAGCGCAGAATCCAGATCCTACAGAACCTGGAGGGCACCGTGGAGGCTGGCGAGATGCTGGTAGTTCTTGGTCCTCCTGGCTCAGGATGCTCGACCTTCTTGAAGACCATCGCTGGGGAGACGGATGGCTTCCATATCGATAAGGAATCTAGTATCAACTATCAAGGTATGTCCAACTAACCTACAAAGTAATTCGACACTGAATGCTGCTAGGTGTGAGCGCAAAGAAAATGGCCCACGAATTCCGAGGGGAAGCCATATATGCTGCCGAGGTCGATGTCCACTTCCCCAAGCTCACGGTCGGAGATACCCTATACTTTGCGGCGCGCGCCCGAGCACCACGGCACATTCCCGGTGGCGTGGATGTGGCCCAGTATGCCAGCCACAAGCGAGATGTGATAATGGCTATACTTGGTATCAGCCACACTAAGAATACGATCGTCGGAAACGACTTCATCCGTGGTGTATCTGGTGGTGAGCGCAAGCGAGTCAGTATTGCCGAAGCTTGCCTCAGCAGTGCTCCCCTGCAATGTTGGGATAACTCCACCCGCGGCCTTGACAGCGCAAATGCCATTGAGTTCTGTAAGGCGCTTCGCATGCAGGCAGATATCAACGGTGCCACTGTCTGTGTTTCGCTATATCAAGCCCCCCAAGCTGCCTACCACTATTTCGACAAGGTGCTGGTATTATACGAAGGTCGCCAGATCTTCTTCGGTCGGACAGACGCCGCGAAGCAGTACTTTTTGGACATGGGCTTTGCCTGCCCCGAGCGACAGACCGATGCAGACTTCTTAACATCTATGACTAGTCATATCGAGCGTGTCGTGCAGCCAGGTTACGAAGGCTGCGTGCCTCGAACACCGGATGAGTTCGCTGCACGATGGCGAGGCTCACACCAGCGAGCACGGGTTCTGCAAGACGTCGAAAACTACAACACAAAGTTTACGCTGAATGGAGAATTCCTGGGCAAGTTCAGGCATTCTCGTCGAGCTCAACAAGCCCGGGTTCAGCGTGTATCCTCACCTTATACTCTATCCTATGCACAGCAGGTGAATTTGTGCCTATGGCGCGGATACCAGCGCTTAAAAGCCGACCCCAGTGTTACAATATCGTCGTTGATCGGAAATGTCATCACTGCTCTTGTAATTGCCAGTATCTTCTATAACCTCCAGCCCAACACCAGCACCTTCTTTCAGCGCGGTGCCCTTCTCTTCTTTGCTTGTCTCATCAATGCCCTTGGTTGCGGTCTGGAAATGCTGACGCTATATGCGCAACGCGGGATTGTAGAGAAGCACGCGCGATATGCTCTCTACCACCCATCTGCCGAAGCAATTTCATCAATGATCATGGACTTGCCGTTCAAAGTCCTCAACGCCATTCTGTCGAATACAGTTCTCTACTTCATGACCAACTTGAGGCGAGAACCTGGGGCTTTTTTTTCTTTATCTTTACTTCATTCATTCTGACGCTGACAATGTCAATGTTCTTCCGGTCTATGGCATCATTGACAAGATCCCTGGTTCAAGCATTGCCCTTTTGCGCGGTTGTCCTTCTCGGTCTATATTCTTATACGGGGTTTGCAATCCCGACAGGGTATATGCTCGGGTGGGCACGTTGGATCGCATATATCAATCCTATCAACTATGGCTTCGAGTCTCTCCTAATCAACGAATTCCACGACCGTGACTTTCAGTGCGTAGCAATTGTCCCATCGGGTCCTAGCTACATGGATCTTCATTCTAGGAACCAAGTGTGCTCTACCGTCGGATCGGTACCCGGTCAAGCATTTGTCAATGGCGATGCCTACATTCAATCGGCCTATGACTACAACGTGTCGCACAAATGGAGAAATATTGGAATCATCCTCGCCTTTATGGTCGTTCTTGGAGCCATCTATCTGGTCGCCACTGACTTTATCACCGAGAAGAAGTCCAAGGGCGAGATCCTAGTGTTTCCCCGCGGGCATGGGGCACTCAAGAGCGGCAAGCCTGACGATTTTGAAGGGGGCAGTGACCGTAATGCGTCTCAAGAGAAGTCTAAGTCCGACCGTGACGACCTTACGGTGATCGAAAGCCAAACTGCCATCTTCCAGTGGCAAGATGTATGTTTCGATATCAAGATCGGCAAGGAGAGTCGCAGGATCCTTGACCACGTTGACGGATGGGTCAAGCCAGGAACCTTAACCGCTCTGATGGGGGTCTCTGGTGCTGGGAAGACCACGCTTCTGGATGTCCTAGCTACACGTACCACTTTGGGCGTGATCAGTGGAGAAATGCTTGTCGACGGTAAACCGCGGGATGAATCGTTTCAACGCAAGACTGGCTATGCCCAGCAACAGGATCTGCATTTGAGCACTGCCACAGTGCGCGAGGCGCTCGAGTTCTCAGCTCTTCTTCGTCAACCAGCTCATGTTCCTCGCCGAGAAAAGATCAATTATGTCACCGAAGTCATAAAACTGCTTGATATGGCAGACTATGCTGACGCCGTTATCGGCGTCCCTGGAGAAGGCCTTAACGTTGAACAACGGAAACGTCTCACAATCGGGGTAGAGCTTGCGGCGAGACCAGCCCTCCTTCTTTTCTTGGATGAGCCCACGTCGGGGCTCGATTCCCAGACATCCTGGGCTATCCTCGATCTCCTCAATAAATTGAGGAAGAACGGCCAAGCGATTTGTAAGTTCGGGGCTTCATGCATTCATCGATTTTCACTAACACGATCTCAGTGTGTACCATTCATCAGCCGTCTGCTATGCTGTTCCAGCGGTTTGACCGTCTCCTCTTCCTTCAAGCCGGGGGCCAGACCGTATACTTTGGAGACATTGGCCAGAACTCGCAGATTCTGATTGATTACTTTGTGCGCAATGGGGGCCCTCCCTGTCCCCCAGCCGCAAATCCCGCTGAATGGATGCTCGATGTGATCGGCGCCGCCCCTGGTTCCCACACGGACATCGACTGGTTCGAGACATGGCGTAATTCCCCGGAATACGCACAAGTCCAAGCACACCTCAGCTCACTGAAGCTCGAACACGCCCAGCAGAACCCACTGGCCCGCGTCAGCCCCGGCACCGAGCGCGAGGACCGAGCCAGCTATCGCGAGTTCGCTGCCCCTTTCTGCGCCCAGCTCCGCGAAGTGCAGATCCGAGTCTTCCAGCAATTCTGGCGCTCCCCCATCTACATCTACTCCAAGGCAATTCTGTGTGTCTTGCCCGCTCTCTTCGTCGGCTTCTCTCTCTTCAACACCCCCAACACCATCCAGGGCTTGCAGAACCAAATGTTCAGCATCTTCCTGTTACTCATCCAGTTCGGACAACTCATCCAACAAATAATGCCGCATTTCGTCACGCAGCGGGCATTATACGAAGTCCGCGAGCGGCCGTCCAAGACCTACTCGTGGACGGTCTTCATGCTCAGCAACATCGGCGTTGAACTGTTCTGGAACTCGCTCATGTCCATCCTCATGTTCCTGTGCTGGTACTACCCAATCGGGATGTATCGCAACGCCGAACCGTCCGACACGGTCCACCTGCGGGGCGCGCAGATGTGGCTGCTGATCTGGACTTTCTTGCTGTTCTCGTCGACCTTTGCCCATTTCATGATCGCGGCGCTCGACGCCGCGGAGAACGCCGGCAACCTGGGCAGCTTTCTGTTGTTGCTCTGCCTGCTCTTCTGCGGGGTGCTCGCGACGCCCGCCCAGCTGCCCGGGTTCTGGATCTTCATGTACCGCGTCTCCCCGTTCACCTACCTGGTGAGCGGGATGCTGGCCGTGGGGATTGCCGACACGACCGTCACCTGCGCCGACAACGAGTATCTGCGTTTTGACCCTGTTAATGATACGACCTGCGGCCAGTACCTGGCGCCGTACATCGCGCAGGCGGGCGGGTATCTGCATGACGAGACTGCGACGGCGGCCTGCCGGTTTTGCCCGGTCGCGGACACGAATGCGTATCTGCGCGGGGTCGGCGCGAGCTACGCCGATGTGTGGAGGAACTTCGGGCTCATGTGGGTGTTTATCTTCACGAATATCGTGGCTGCGTGTCTGCTGTACTGGTGGACGAGGGTGCCGAGGGTGAAGAAACCGGTCGTGGCTCCTCAAGCTTGAGGCTTTACGTGTGCTCTGTCGTCATGGTCGAGTTTGTTGTTGTATTCTTTTCCTTCGGGCTTTGACTTGTATTGATATCGTCTTGATGGATTAGGGCCTTTGCATGATGTTGCCGAATCAGCACTAATAGTAAGAACAGGGCTAGCACTGGAAATGGCTTTTTCAAGATCACTTACTCATGTTGATAGACGGTACACAAACTAATCCTAGATTCTGCATTACTTGAACATATGCAAAAGAAGGTCGTATAACTGTTGCACAATCCGGATGACTGCTCAACCTTCCCTGAGGCGCACTTGCCCTAACTCCGAGATCATCGCAATGGCAGAGGTATCAGGAACGATGTTTGGGTTTGCATGGATAAAATGCGGCACTTGCAGCCTCAGCTGATCAGAGTATAGCCCCTAGCAGGTTTTGACACGCTTAATATGCCGCATGCTGCATTGCTATCTGTCAAGCTATGGCCATCAATATCAGGGACCATTGTGTCTGGTCGGACAAGATCTCCGCCCGGTCAGATTCAGATGATTGTCGCTCGAAACCCGGGCGATTGAGCGTCCTGCGCTATTTGTCGCACCGGAAGTCTTCGATGATGCATATCCCGTCATTCTACTTGCCAATCAGGAAACCTTTTATACAGATGTCTATCCCAACAGCATTACTTTCATGAAATTACCCGACTCCAATAGCCTCGTGTCGGGCCTCTGAGCAAGATCTTCGTTACTCAATCTCTGTCCACCAGACTTCGCGGGCTACCTATTGTTGGTCGCCCCGCTGGGCGGTCCGAAGATCAGCCACTGTACCTTGTGGAAGGCCTCCGGGCCGAATGACTATTTCACCTCGGACGTCGAGCTGACCGCGCACCGCCATGGTGGAGGCCGGGGAGACCAAGGATCCCGTGGGACACACAACCACCGAGCCGATCAACGAATGCACCCAGAATTGTCAGTATTAGCTCCTCAACAGAGGTATCGAGATCACGGGTGACCCGACTTGCATGTGCTGGCCTCGATAGCCCCCAAAGGCTTCCCCCCTTGGGAAATTCGGAATCTCTTGGTTTGATCTGATCGTGAACCTGGTACACCGTGCGGTGCTGTTTGAGACCGACACTAGAAATGGAGTATGTGTAAGCCGCAGTCACCCAATGATCTCAATATTCTTCTTGATCCGTTGTGTGGCGCCACCCTCTGTCGTTTATGCTTACAAGGTTGCAGCGGAGGTGGATTACAGGATTGCCGGTGCGGCACCATGTGCGCTGTCAGCGTGGGGTCCGGATAGAAACCCCGGAGTGGAGTCTTGTTTCCTCGGTCTCGTTATCCCGGCCGCCCTCAAGAGTCAACTGGGTAACATGCTGCTAATCCGTGCATCGAACAGTCTTTTTTTACACGGAACAATCAGGTTATTATAATTCAGATTGCGAGGTCACACTACGTGGCACATTTCCTGTTCCAGGAGAGGACTCTACTCTTTTAGTGCTTGGTACATTTTAAGTTAGTAAGGATATCAGAGCCAGAATCAGTGAGGGAATTAACTTGTTATTTGCGGCCACTCGCTGCTCCTTGGAGCGGGAAGTGGGGCCGCGGAAAAGAGGTACGTAACGCTACTGCCGATCCGGCGCTAAATGCTCACAGTAACCAGCGAGTAAAGAGGCCGAAGGGGCTGAACGCTAACACGAGAAAGCGATATGCATAAGCAAATAAAACATGATATAGGAGAGGCTTCGATACAACGAAATTTCACAGGGGTACATCACGGCACGCCCGACTTGCTTGCACTAGTGCAGTTGAGCCATAAGATCTTTCCCCCCCATCACTCAAGGCGAAGTTGGACTCGACGATTTGTGGTCATCGCTGATGAGACCGATATTAGAATGACTGTTGATGTGCACTTCATGAAGTGCAAGTTCATCATCAAGCCGTTCGAATTCCCGAGTAAGATTGCCTTTCATCTTGCCGTTGAGCTTTCGACTCGATCGGCTACTATAGTTCCCCCCGCTGTTGGAACTGTCTTTCGTGCCCTGAAGCGTGCCACTATTGCGTGTCAGGTTAGAGCTTCCAATGGGGGATTCAAAAATCCTTGTAAGGCAATCAAGCACCACAGGAGAAGTACCTACGCTCCAAATAGCTCGGTGATAGCAGGTTTGATTGTGGGCAAACACGCGTTCACAACCCCAAGGGTTGGCTCCAATACCGAGTAAATGGCACCAGGTGTCACGGTGTATGTCAGGTCAGCTAGATTCCAAGTCCACAACCAAACGACCCTGAGTAGAGAAATAACACAAATCCTGGAAAGCGTGAACATAGTAAGTAACATATTTCTGCCAGCCAAAAGAGAACAAATGAACCGAGAGGAGCAAACTTACAACGCCCCGAGGCTGAACATTGCAGAGACGGCGATCTTTTTGGATAGAATCAGTTGCAAATTGAAAACCAGAGGCATCGGTAGTATCACAATGAAAGTGTCAATGGTGAGATTGACAATGCCAGCAACGAGATAAGCGATATTTTCACCAGTGCAGTGTCCTTCGATCGATTTGTCCCAGTTATACTGGACAGGTTTGCAAAGCGCGAAGGCTTCGATCAGTACCATCGCGAAGTACGCGGCAGTGATGAAGAGGGTACCATAGCACAAACGGCAAAAGACCTTGTTGGGAAAGAGGTCGATGTAGAGATATAATATTGATGCCTTGACACACGAGTTGGCTGCGGCCCACAGCAGCTGGGCAGGTACGAAAAGCTAAACAAGTGATAGAGGACAGTTAGCCGAGAGTGTACTGGACAGGGTTGAAATTTGTGTGATACCCATCAACCCACCTTCATGTGCAGAGCGAACTTTCGGGGCGCTGTTGCTAAAAGCTCATCTAAATGAACCCCCAAGCCAGCTGCAAAGCCAGCTAGATTGTGTGAAGCGTGAGTTCAGCTTTTTGTCTTTCAGTCCGAGCGGGCTCAATGTTCGATAAGCCTACCTGCCAGAAACACGGACAAAGCGGACTCAGCCAGTACCAATGCTACCAATGCCAAGTAATCATTTGAAGCCAGATTCCTTCCCTGAAGATACCTGGACCACAGTCTGAGTGCCACAGCGATGATAGCCATGGGGCCCACGATGAATGATACCACAGCTAGCTGCATGGCTCCTACTGGGAGTGTCATACTGGGGGAAAATGATATATCGGATCCATTCACCGTTTCAGAGGGAGTAGGGATCAACTGTCAATGAAGTTGAGTCTTGAGGTCATAATAAATCATTATGTGACTTCCAGTCTGAGAAAGCCCGAGTACAGGAGCTGTAAGTAAGAGAGTCTAGACGATCGTGGGGGCCATATGCGCAGCAATCACAATATTTGTCACACTTGACAGGGGTTAATTCTGCCTTGTCCAGCCTGCAAGACGAGCGAGCCCACTAAGAGCATCAATCTGCGGTACCGTGCATGTATTAAGATTTGAGAGGCCTGAATTTGGAGATGCACATTGCACACTTTCTACCCTCGCACTTTATCTTCTTCTTCTTCTTCTTCTTCTCCTCCTCCTCAGCTTAATACAAGCACGAACAGATGATCAACTGCTCTTATAGCAACACCGAGTGGCCCACACACACCACCCACAGGATGTATTTCAAGGCTCAACAAGCTCTCCGGGACTAGCCGAACCGCCCGCCCCACCCGCCCGCTGCGAACAGGCGCATCTCCTACAATTCGCTTAGGCCCATCCAGGGGAGGCACGGGCGCCGACCCACCCCATCTAACACAGCCCCCAACAGATTCTCAAATCTCCACCTCTCACCTCTGTACCTATTAGTCTAGAGCAGCAGACACAATCCGCACTTGCCCAGTTAACTAATCTCAAAGGGGTATCAGGAAAGAGAAGCAATTGATTTATTCTGAGACCATATTATTCCAAAGCAACGCATTCTCAAGCGCCCAATCACTCAAACGCTTCTCTACTGCAAAAAGTACCAGATTAGTCTCATTCAATATTCAGATCTTGAATTATTTTATAAAACCCTCAAAGTCTCTTAATAAGTTTGCTATATTATACTCTCCACTATCTAATATAAATATGTAATCTCCTGCCAAAGGGCTATACATAATCACCTAATTCTTTAATCTAAGTAACACAATCCCTACATTACCTCGCCTAGTGTATCCATATAAACTATCTAAAACGATCTCTAAAGAGTGATATTTAGAGCGTTTCCTAAATCAGATAAATACTATCTTAGACTAGAAATATATTGAATATACATTACTACAAAGAACAGATGAAGTAGAATAATGCCACTATTTTAGCACTTAGAAGCGATGTAGCACTTTGCGCGAGGGACGGAATGCAATCAAGAGATCAAGCGAGTTTACAAGGGAGTAAAACTAGTGAGTTTACACTTAACTAGCGCGGGATGCCTGATTCTCTTTCTAGTTCAGCCCGCACCAACCTACCTACTTTTCCTTATATCGTATATTCATTCTCTGTCTGGGTAGTTCCCACCAGTCGCCGGCTGGCAGTTTTACTTCCCACCAGTCCAGGCGTCCGACGGACATCGATGCAGCCGCGCAACCGCTCAAACCACACTAACATCCATGCATAGGGGTCGAGGTTCTTTGAAAAGTGGCCATCATGCCTCCTAGTCAAGGCAAGTAAGCCTTGGACTGCTACAGTTTGGGCAAGTGCTCCGTACTACACATACCTCAGCCTGGTACGCCTTATTGTCCAACGAAGGGAGACTCGTGCCAGGGGTGGGGACTCTCCCCCTCCCCTCCCTCTCTTCCCAAGACGTAAACCAGACGACTTGAGTAGACTCTACTTGACTCTCCAGCCTACCCTTCATTGTTTATAATCACCCTCCCATACCTATTATCACATCAGTGTCTGGCCTATTACAAGCTCCTCGAACTGACAGCTAAATCCTAAGTTAATGTATAATTTAATTTGTAATGCATTGACGCATCAGAACATCTGTCCTTATACACAATTCCCAGAGGCTACACATTTCATAGGAAGACAAAATTGTCCCACACTGAAGTGGCTTAGAGAATACGCAGAGGCATAACAAAAAGTCCAATGAGCCATAGTGGGTAAATCTTCCACGACCTCCGATCTCCCTCACGAGTTGTGTTCCAGTAAAACCCCCAAACCACTATAGTTCCCGCAACGCACGCGGGGATGCAGGAAAGCCATGAGCGTTCCGCCGAGCCCACATTCCAAAACCAACAGGACAACGCTGTCCACGCCATGATTCCCACTGCCAGGGCAGATCGAGCATTCTCGTCTCCGATCAACAGGGGCACTGTCCTTCGACCGGTGGCTCTATCTCCATCAATGTCCCGAAAGTCCTGGGCGTGGACAGTGGTCGTAATTGCCCCAGCGAGAACAAGGAGCCACGTGAATGCTTTCATGTCGCCCGAAAAGACTGAGCTTTTTGTTGCAACCTCCAGTGGGCCGGAAAAGAAGCACGCGAACCCAATCCCATTCAGCAAGTTCTTCAATAGTGGGTTCGATGCACCGTTCCATTCGTTGTACCACAAGCAGGAGAATGCCTCCAGAAGACAAGGCGCAACACCCCCCATGGTGCCTGAAATTGCAAATATGGCAGGATACATGCAATATATCAGCATTTTGGCTTGATGCGGGGTGATCCGGCCGGCTGAAAGAGGTCTCCAGGGCTTGTTGATCTTGTCCTCCGAGATGGCAGAGGCAGAGCGCTGATTATGGAGGGTGAAAAGGAAAAGATTACTCCATGACCAGAGAAACATTCGAGGTAACGACACCAGTATCTGGCGGAAAGACAAAGAGGCGCCCATGCCGAATTCAGACGCCACAGAGGCATTCAATGCTCCAAACAGAAGCCCCAGGCAAATGATATCTTTGATATTATCACAGACAAATAGATGGGCAGTGTATGCATGATAGAACGATGATGATAGGAAAGACGCCATGGTTGTAGATATGATGGAAGTCAGCGAATTTGAGAAGAGGAAAAGTGAAGTAGTGTCTCTTAGCCAGCCGTCATGTGCCAGTATCCATGATCTTGAATGCCTCTATTTATCCAGAGCCGCAATCAATCTCAGTGTGATATGAGGCTAGCTCGGAAGCTAGTTCGGATCTCACGCAATATACAAAACGTACACATACCCACTAACAAGGAGACAATCCTTGGGGGCGGATCTATATGACAGGCGGTTGATTCTATAACAGGCTGGGAACCATTCATCTCTCCATTTCATCTTTGCTTTCGTAGCCCACTTCCATTTTTCTTGCATCGTCAAAGTTAAGATAGATAATTTATCCATTTCTTTGAAATGTTTTGTCTTTGGGTAATGATAGCTTTGTCAGGAACCCTAACAAGAGCCCAACGCAGCTCAACCTCGGCCTTTGAAATCAAAGATCAAAATAGTCATTTTAATTTCTCAGTCTGTAACTCATCTGTACCTCTTTGCTACATTCAGTTAGGGTTTAGCCTGGGTCGGCTGACCTCAGCAGACCCATATTTAGTATTAAATCTGAAAGGGAAACTAGTATCCGATTTGATTCCTCGCTCGAGTGCTTACCTCTGATGCTAGTAATTTTACTAGTAAACATGTTTCTAGATCTTCCCGGAGTGCCCCGGGAATTCGTCCACAAAGGTCTCTAGCGGTCTTCTCCCGGATAAACCCCGCCCCCGTCTTTCTATCTTTCTTTCTTTTTTTTGGGGAGATATTCTCAAGACTTTTCTATAAGACCTCATTCAAAGACTTGATTTGAGGTTCTGTCTAGTGATACATCCGGCAATTCTATCAGTAATACCATCAAATGTCTACGGGGCCTTAAGGGGGTCCGTTATGGCGGTTCTCCCGGGGGGGGCTTGGGAGGGCTCGGGAGGGGACTAGGTGGGGCCGCTAGTAGAAATTAGAGAGGCAGGGCAGATAAAGCCACAGAGAAAAGACAAATCATTTCCCGAATAACCGTTTGTTTTTGTTAATCTTCCATCCATCAGGAATTATGGGGTCTATTTTGCGTATATCTTTCTGATAAGGAATCACTTGCTTACAGGGTGAAGTGATTGGCTATTATTTTTACCTATGAAGGTTTAGCTTATGACCTGAGGGGGACCAGAGTGCGGCAGTGCCACTAATATAGCTTAGTAGCAAGGCAGGATGATCGAAGAGGAAGGCACTGTTGGGACCCGCCCCACCTCAAGGCACAATCTCCTAAGCACAGACAACAGATGCGCGTCAAATTGCCGGATTCACAACCTGTTTACTCTGTAGAGGGGGCCGCGCACTGCTGGAACAGCTATATCTACTATCAAAACTCCTACACAACACATTCATCACTCAAACACCGATATTATTTACAAAGGTTATGTAATATAAAGTAAGTCTTTACTTCTATGTAAGAATCAACTACTTATTATTCTTGTTAATGTAAATATATAAAGCTTTTTACAACACCTCTGCAAGCAAACAAGTAAGCAAGACCTTTTAACCATGGTATGCAGATAAGTAAGCAAGTCGGCAAGGCCTTTCACAGCATACAAACAAGCAAACAAGCCGGCATGACCTTCTACAGCACACAGACAAGCAAATAAGTTGGCAAGACCTTTCGAGGCATCTCTGCAGGAAAGAAGAATAAGGAAAGCCTTATGCAGCAACTTTCTGTTCAATCAAATAATTTTGTGGTTTATATCTATACATTATAATTCGATTTCAAAGTTTTCGCAGTAGAAATAATAATTTTATTTGTAAGTTGTATGTAAAATCAGCAGCCGTTCCGGAACCCCTCTAGTTAGTCTGTGCTGATTCGGCCGGTAGGAGCCCCGAGTATTCCAACATTTCATGCATGGGGCCATAATGCAAATCACCAAATTACAGTGGAGTAAAATGCAAGGGGCCAAAATGCATGGGGCCAAATAAAGGCCGTGATTGTTGGGAGCCACAGGATAGTCTAGGCGACTGCATAAGGCCGGGATTCTGGGATTTTATCTGACTGGGTGAACACAAGGCCGAGCACAATTACCTAAATAATACTATTATTGAATTAATTTAGAGGTCTTGTAAGATCACTTTTGGGCGGCACAACTACTGACTCTCATTAGCTTACAAATGAACAAAGGTTCCAGTATTACAAGCCTCTAACTGCCACCTGCTAAGTAAAGCGCTTTCAATGGAATCTCAATCAGCACCGACATCTCACCGCCGATATTTCAGCTCACTTTTATATTGATAAATCATTATTGTCAAGTCAATTGCCTTGTAAGTGTTTGTATTACAACCCAAAATCCTGTAATCGCAAGGCGAAATAAGCTTTTATCGGAAGGACTTTTTAGGATTGTTCTTCTTATTATACCAAAGTCCATTTCCTTAAGTTATAGGTACTCTGAGTTTAGCCTTATTTATATTTCAATACAATCCTCTATTCTCCAGTTTTGTGGTTATCCTCTAGCACGGATACGGTAATATATCTGTATAAAAGCCCGCAATGTTTATCTCAGACTTCCGGTTTCATGTTACGTAACTAGCTATTAAAAGTCATAGTGGGGCAGAAGCGGGTGATTTGAGAATTGAGACCAGAAAGATCATACTCCGGAGTAGACATGATACACTGCATTGAGTGGCCGGTTCAATCCAGTACTTTTGGGCGGGGTAGAACTGGCATTTGTGGGACTAATTATAGCATCTCTAAGTAGTATCGCACTAGGTGGTGTTGACAAAATCTGTTTCCTTGTTCACTTTTAGTTAGTACTGATGTGTATATAGGTGTATATCTCCTGTCTCCAGGTATTCCTTTGCTTGGTAACAAGCCACTACTTGTTACGCTCACAGTCTCTTGCTTTCCATACTTTCCTCCAATCTTTGTCCAAGTTTGCACACATTACAGAATGGCTACCGCATATGATTTTGTCATTATTGGTGGCGGTACAGCTGGCCTGGTGGTTGCTTCTCGACTCAGCGAGGACCCCAGCCTATCTGTCCTGGTTCTTGAAGCGGGCGCCGACATGACAGCAGATCCTCGCGTGAACATCCCCATCTTTTATGCCGCACTCCTTGGATCTGATGCTGATTGGAAATTCCAATCTTCCCCTCAGGTAAGAACCGTCTCTGTCTTTATAAAAAAGTGTGCTAGAACTGATTCATCATTCTTAAAGCCGGGCCTCAATGGCAGAGTGCTTGGTCTCAACCAGGGCAAAACACTCGGAGGATCCAGTTCGTTAAATGCACACGTGTTTGTTCCTCCTTTCAAGGGAGCCGTTGACGCATGGGAGGAGCTCGGTAATCCTGGTTGGAATTGGACTATGTTAAAGGACTATTTCTCTAAGGCCTATAACTGTCCGACCGTAGCACAGAACGCGAAAGGAAATCTGGCGATTGAGGATTGGCCTGGAATGAACGAAGCGAAAGGTCCAATCCAAACGTCATTTGGTAACGAGACACACCCTATCCGCAGGGCATGGGCCGAACTGTTCCGCAGCAGTGGGCAATGCAATGCCGGTGATCCGTTCACCCACAGCTCTGTCGGCTCATTCAGTTGCCTTGCTTCTATTGACTCGCAGGGAAAGAGAAGCAACTCTTCCTCGGCTTATTATAAGCTTGCTGAGCTTCGGCAAAATCTCCATGTTCTTACGAACTCATTTGTTGAGAGAGTGCTATTTGATGAAAGCAAGCCTCCCAGAGCTATTGGGGTGCAATATAACCTCGATGGTGTTTCAAAGACTGTTCAGGCAAAGAGTGAAGTTATACTTGCTGCTGGTGCCTTCCAGTCACCTAAAATCCTCCAACTTTCAGGAGTGGGTAGAGCAGAACTTCTTGAACAGCATGGCATCGATCTTGTCGCGGACCTCCCTGGAGTTGGGCAGAATCTTCAGGGTATGTGAATATGTTCTAATCTAGCACCTGCTCCTAAGAAAGTCTCAACCATCTCGCTTTTTGACGCATGCCCGCCTTGGTTGAGAACTAACATCTACGATTTCTAGATCATATGATATCGTACACTGCATTCCATGCAAAGCCTGAACTCGAGACCAAAGACTCTCTTGTCAGACAAGAGCCTGAAGCCATTGGTCAAGCAACGCAGGAATACGCCGCCACGCAATCTGGGCCCCTAGCATCACTCGGAGTTCATACCTACGCCTATTTGCCGCTTCCCAAACCGGACAGAAGTGCTCTCCAGGCATTATTTACGAGCGACGCCCCTGAGAATCCGCAACACAAAACTACACAAGCCTATTATGACATCGCCAAGACCACTGTTCTGGATCCCAAGCAACCATCAGCTGCGTACCTGTCCGCGTTAGGGCAGACAAATTATTCCAAGGACCTCAAGGACGGGACTATTCCTGCTGCTTCGCCTGGAAAGTTCGTCACGCTTGGAGTCATGCTCTCTCAACCGCTTTCCCGCGGAAGCGTTCATATGTAAGTGATTGTTCTTTTCTGTTTTCTTCTTTCCTGGTAGAGTTCGTGAGAGTTATTCTTTACTTCCAACTTTTCTCATTTCACATTCTACCTTCCCATACCCCTCGCCCCCTCAAAAAAAAATCGTATATTCATCAAATCTGACGAAAAGAACCCAAGTACCTGCAACAACCCTGAAATGCCTCCAATCATTGATCCTGGGTACCTGTCGAATCCTCTCGATCTGGAAGTCATGGCACGACACATGCTCCGTATCAAGAAACTGGCCGAGTCACCTCAGCTTGGGGCGCTGCTCGAACAGCCACTGAAGTTCCGAGACCCAGATGCAGACTTCCAGGGAGACCTGGACGCTGCAAAAAGGTATGCTCGGGACAACTTAGTCTCCATGTGGCACTTTGCGGGGACCTGTTCCATGCTCCCTCGCGAGAAGGACGGAGTGGTGGACCCCAATTTGAAGGTCTATGGTGTTGAAGGCCTTAGGGTTGTGGATGCGAGTGCTATCCCGCTTGTAAGCACAGCGAATCTGCAAGCTACTGTGTACGCATTCGCGGAAAGAGCCGTAGACCTCATCAAGCAGGACCGGGAGAGCAAGTAAATTAGGCATGAGAATATGCCTACACACTGGAGATATGTGAATTGGACAAGGAGCGAGGGTGGGGAGACTGCCTAATCACCCAAGGTTCTCACCTTCCGTCGCGTACTTCGCGGGTGATCGACTAGTCACGCTTCACTCCTCCCAGATTAACTTCAAAATTTTATCATCGATACTTCTAGATCTGCAATCAACTACAGGAAACTCCACTTCGCCCTGAGACCTTTTTTAATTCTTCCGCTCAAGAGTGGATAAGATTCATGGCATATTTTGATGCTCTCGACTTGATAAGCGGCTCAAGTCCGGGATGAAAGCTTGTTTTTAGCTGGTTTATCCGCAGATAGAGACAAGCATTTCAAGACTTGTACTTAGGTTATACCAGCAAGCAAGACTACCCTAACCAAGCACGTACAACAATTAGACCAAAGGCTCAACCGGATTGTATATCAAGCTGCGAATGTTTTCGTTTTCACTCCACCACACTATTTTGACTCGTACCATTCTCCATCGCTTTTGCAATCAAGAACAATGATACATAGTCGAGGGACGGGTACAGAAGGATATAGTCTGTAAAAACAAATTCGCCCACTGTAAAAAGAAGTTCTGCCGGCAGAAGAACGAGTAGTAGAAAAATTCAATCTTTACATATACTCAGCATGGAAGAAGGGTCTTGGCTGGACGATGGGTATGGCCACACACACAGACATCCGACCACGACGACCTGCTGTGGCCGCAGGTGCCGCATCCGCTACCTGCCCAGCACTGTCTACTCCCTATAAAAGTAGCACATATATAATTTAACTGTGTTCCATTCCTACACTCGAGGTAGGAGAAACAAAAATGAAAAACATACAACAGAAGGGATTCGCTGGTGGTCACCCACCCAACTACTAACCTCCCGGCGTGTGGCTTAAGTACGGCTGAGCGGACGGGAAGCCCTGTTTTCCACACCCTGTGGTCGTATGTACCATTTACTTAAAGGACAGAGTCTATGTTGAACATTTTTACAATAGAAAGGACAAGGGAGTCACAGAATCACTCCGTTTTCGATGCAATCACTGGGTCGTCGGCGCCGGGTCTAGCCCGACCCTAATGGAAGATTCCTTGCATGAAGTTTAAGGAAATGATTCTATGCAATTACTGCTTTTCACTCTGAGGTCAGAATCAATTAGTACTCGATAGGGAAAGAACCTGACTTACTCGTCAGGAATTGGGGCGCCGGTGCGATGTCATCTATCTCATCTCAACCTAAAAGTCTGAACTCGGAGATGAGATTATCGATATGAAATAATGGATATTGTAGTAGCAGTGAAAGGATTGGGGACTGATCCCAGTTCCTTCAAACCAAGAATCGTATTCCTAAGATGTCTATCGTGTGAACGGGACCAAATGAGGATTGTTGGGCGAAAGTATATATGTCTTGTTACATCGTGCGCTTGAAACGAATGCCTTCCAAGTTGATGGGAATAACATGGGGTCCGCAAGGCACTGATTCTCGTTATGCCAAGGAGACTACTGATTAATCATCTTATTTACTGTTCTTATGCACTGTAGTTAACCTTGACAAATCTTGCCTACCTACAAGCATGCACCTACGTTCCGCAGACTGGTAGTGCTTATTGTTTAGTGTCTTGGCGCTGGTCCACATCTCTGGGGTCGACAGCCCTACTGCTGGGCTTAGGTCAGGCTTGCAGAGACTGTTTCTTATGGTCTTGATCTATTTAAAGCAGATGTTTGAATTCACTTGCTCGGAAAGGTGACGAGATGTAGCGACTGAGGGTCAGCCTATGCCCAGAGAAAGCCATGGGAGCTGCTAGGGAAGTAACAGTTTCTCATCCTCACTATTGATATTCGCCGGAACGATCAGTCGCAGGCATATCATGCACAAAGTACAACTACTCTCCTTGCTTGGCTGCCTATGCGAGGCAGATTTCGTTTTGTGAGAACTGTGCCATTCAAAAATATAAACTCGCGACTCTGCAGAGCAAAAGACATAAATCGACAAAAACACAAACTTATAACTAAAACAAGGCCCAAAATAAACACTCATAAACGATCGATCGCAAACTCAAACATGCCAAAGCATCCTTGAACATCCCTTATCCATCTCCTCCACCAGACAATCCACCAATGCGCGGCCTCTAAAAGTCCTTGAGGTAGTCACCGATAAAGTGCTTGAGAATGTCCTCGACCTTGGAGACGTCGGAGTATCCGAGGCTGATGACGAAGTCGGCGCCCTTGGAACCCAGGGAGGTCAGGGTGTTCTCCATGAAGCGGTGCTGTGAATGTGTGAGCATGTGTGGGGTGCAGAGGCCTTTTCCAATAAGGGCAACACCCACCTGATAGGGCTTGTTGGACTTGTCGTGGTAGACCAGAAAGCGGTTGGTCTGGTCCTTCTTCTGGCCGTACTGGAACTCGTCGCTGACGACGACGGTGAGGTCGTCGCCGTCGACCTTGCGCGACTTCAGCTGCTCGAGCTTGCTGGCCTGCACGAAGATAACGCCCTGGTCACCGGCTGGGGGAATAGGGGAGTTAGTCAGTTACCAGCGCCGGTAGCAAGGGCTCTGGGAGCGGGTTCAGGATTGAGACATACGGGTGGTCTTGTTGGTCCACTTGCAGATCCAGTAGTCCTCGTGGCGGTCGCGAAAGGTCTGCTGCCACCGGACGGTGATCTTCTTGCCCTCAGCGCCGCCGAGGAACTGGGTGGGGATGGTGATGGTGTTTCCCTTGGAGATAGGCATGGTGAAGAAGTGAGGATGCTGTGGTAGACGAAAGGTGTCTGAAGAGAGTAGATTTGACTAGTCAAGAGGATGAGATGGAAGCTGTTGTTGTTGTTGTTGATGATGAAAAGCTATCCCAATGCCGGGGAGTTTCCCCAATTTTATAGACTCATCATCCAGCTGGATTGAGAGAATGGCGTGCTGGGGAGTCGGCGATGCCGAATCGCACCATGCGTCCCTCGTCGTCGACTTGGAGCTCTGTACAGGCAAGTCAACCCGAGACTTTGGCTGGAAGGGAGACGGGAATAGCAAGCGCAGCTGAGGTTCAGCCGCAATTCAGCTGCGCCGTGTCGTGAAGCCATCGTGGGGATTGCGGGTCGAGGAAAGTATAGACGAGATGGAATCTTGGATTGAGGATCGGTGGTTACTGCCCGGGCCGGTGCCAAGATTCGGGGGCGAACCCTAGCGATCGGCAGCAATTTCAAGCGAGCATCACTGGGCAGCCCGGACACCTTAGCCTAACCGGGGAACCGCCGTGCGAACTGCAGATCCACTTTTCCGGCCGGACGATCGAGACGAGGTTTCCCCTCGACAGAATACCGTACCGCCACTGTGGATGGTCAGTCGGATGGCCATTCTTCAGGCAAGCCCCCCAGCCAAAAAATGGGCATACATGCCGACAGTGACTCGCACAATCGGCCGTGCCGTTCGTCAGGACCTGCCTCGGCCCTGACTTGCCTCCGTGGGGTCACAGCTGCAGGAACCATTGGGGTAGAAAGTGCCGACTCGCTCCTTGGCGCTGGTCAATGGTCAGCTGCACGGATCTAGCGTCGGTGCATGTACCAACATGCGTCGATATGGGCAGCCGAGCCCACGTGGTCACCTTTGCTACTCGAGAGAGTCGGTATCCACGTCTGCAAATCGATCGCTGCGCCCCTCGAGCGTAGGTGCTGCTCTACTGAACCGCGTCCGGTAAGCGAACACCGGCCAATCCCCCCTTGAGCGAGACAGGAGTTGGAGCAGCAACGGAGGCAGTCACCCGATGTCGCAGTGTTATAAACCACACCACAGACCAGTCGAAAGTCCACACCAAACGAAGGAGCTCTCGAGTCCCAGACAATCCCCGACAGCGTGATGGCGGGCGACGATATCTGGCAGGATGAGATCTTCGGATCCGTGGCTCGTGACCGATCCAACCCTACCTCCCGCTCTTCCTCCACCGTATCCCCCGCCGACCAGGCGGCCCCCTTCTTCCAGTCGGTCGGCGACGTCAGTCTCAGCGATGCCCACCTCGCCGCGGCCGGAGAAGAGGGCGAGCCTAAATTCACCGGCTGGGACGGGTTCTGGTCAGATCCGCTCTTTGAGAATGTCGCCGGTCGGCGCGACCGCGCCGCAGGGCAGCAGGACCGCGAGTTCTGGAAGTATGAGCTGGATGAGGCGATCCCGCTCCCGAGTCTTTTCCCCTCTCTCGACACCGATGCGTGGAACGAGCTGCGATTCCGCAAGTCGGCCATTGAGTTCTGGTCGCGGCCCATTGGGACGGAGCCCGCCGGACTCTATCTGCGCACCGAGATCGAGCTCAATGGAGCGCTGGACGGCGTGTTCCAGGTTTTCCGGACGGTCCTCGGGGAGGCGGTACAGCCCGTCCTGCGGCTGTCGGCCTATCTCGGGCTGACCATGGAGCAGGATCAGACCATGGCCATCGACGGGGTTTCCCTGTCCGGCAGCTTGATCGGACTCCGGACGCCCCTGCCCCCGGTGCTGGAGCTGGTCACCATCCTGTCAGTGGGCTTACGCCTCAACGTGGGCAGCACGACCAATGTGGTCGGGGAGACCAGCGCGGTGCAGGCCGGCGTCTTTGGCGATCTGCAGATCCAATTACCAGGTCTGACGGGGTCGTTGCAATTGGAGTATGAAGCGGATCTCTCCGAGAATTGGCTGGAGCTCAATATGATCATCCCGGGCAACAAGAAATGGGAGAACGCGCTGGGAGCGGACTCGTTCCATGTGAGAGGATCCCGAGACATGACCTTCTGTAAGGGTTTCCAAAGCTGACACCCCGCACTCACTAGCTGGACGAAGTCCATTTCTTCGCCAAGATCCCTCTTCAGACAACCACCCCAGCAGACACAACAACCACCTCTGGGGATATCAGCTCTGATGTTATCGCTCTCCCCGATCCGCAAGCTCTGCTTTCCATTGCCGCAACGGCCAGATGGAAGGGCTCCAATGGGGCAGACATTGGCCTGACGGGACTGATCGTCAAGGGACGACCCGGTGAGTCTAAATTGCTTCGAAACCTGGTTTGCCGCAGATGCTAATGTTCAGTCAGATCTCTCGTTTCTAGAAGGCCATATGGCAAAGGTCACGTGGTCCGACATCAAGCGTCTCTTCAGCGATGTGCACGGCCGGGATCTCGACGACACCGAGCATGAGATTACCTGCGAGAATCTCACGGTGCGGATCTCGCAGGCCCAGTTCCTTCTGCAGGGGTCCTTGACAATCAATGGTCGGGCGCTGGCCAAGGCCACGATTGCGATCACGCGGGCGGGCATTGCCATCACCGCCGAGGTGGACAAGTGGGAGGTCGGCGACGGCCTCGTGGTCATCGAACATGCCGCGCTGACCTTGCTGGTGGGCAGTCGCAGCGACCAGGACAGCAGTGCTCCGCGTCAACGGGAGGACGAGCCGCCCACCAAGAGACGACGGACCACGGGCGGTCCGGAGAAGGAGAAGAAGGGATGGAGTGGGTCCTTGGAGGTGACCGGTCGAGTGCTCATCCACACCGATGGACAGCAGGGCAAGAGTGGACAGCCCCCGGTGGAGGTGGATGTCACGCTGGCCATGGGCAAACAGAACCAGGAGTGGTTCTGGGTGGTGTGCGGCCACCTCAAGGCCGATCTCTCCTTGAGTCGGTTTGTGTCAGCCATCGACGAAAACTCGGACATCGATCTGCGTCTCAAGGAGATTTCGTTGATTGCTTCGAGCACGAATAGTCCGACTTGTAGTTTGGACACTAATGGCTATACCATTCAGCAAGGCAGGTCTTCTTACTTTCACACGTTTGTGCCGCTGTGAGGTGGAGACTAACACAGTGTCGTGATAACAGGATTCTTTCTTTGTGCCAGGTTGGAGCAAGTGCCGCTGCTGCAGATGGGCGACATGGTGAAGAAGCCCGCGGCGGGTGATCAATCGTACCTCAGCCTGGGCTGGGCCAAGGGGTCCAGCATTCCCTGCGTGTCCATCTACTTGCCTGAGTCTTTGAAGGTAAGGTGTTCAACATTACTACTCTGGCCCATGGCAGAACCAGAGGTGCCCCAAGACTAACACAGCGGTCATTCCGGCAGATCGAGATGGGGCCTCGGTTCCGGTCCCGTCGCTTCCAGCTTTCCCTGGGCAGCTCCGCGACCGGCGGGGTGGCGTTCGCATTCCGCGGCATCTTTGACGTCAAGGTGGGCGACGACAATAGCTGGTACAAGTTTGACCTGAAGATGGCCGTGGACCCGATCGGTGCGGATGGCGAACTGTAAGCATGTGAATCTGGAAGTTGTCCCAGTGCCCTCGCTGACCCTAATTCTCTTCCTATGCCAGGTTCTTCGACGGAAACATCAACAATCCATTCGGGTTGAGCAAGCGACTGACAATTGGTAAGCGCAGATGGTTCCTCTGCCTCTGAAAACCCGGTGGATCAGCAAGCTCACCAGACCTTCTGTATCTCCAGGACCACGACTGGGCATCGGACTGAAGTTCAACTGGGCCCAATTAGCCGCCTCGGGTATGCCTATCGGAGCAGGCATCAAGGGCAGCCTCTACCTCGACAACAACATAGACAAAACCTATGACCTAGTGCTCTACATCTGTGAGGATCCGCGGGACATGGTCATCAAGGCCGAAGCCCCGGCAATGGACTACACCGAGATCATCCAGTTCGTGGCCGCAGCGATGGATACCCAGATCCCGACGACCGACGTGACACTCTTCCGCTTCCAGGACGTGCTCATCTACGCCAGCATGGGGGCCACCTTTGGCGGAGAACACTATCCGGCTGGCTTTCGTTTCAAAGGCAGGCTGATCATCTGCGACCACGAGGCCGCCATGGACGCGTCTCTGACCACGGAGGGTCTGCGGCTCAAGGCGTGGCTGCAGACCTTCCGACTGGGGCCGCTCAGTGTCGGCGGAGATATGGTCCTGCCGGGCAAGGAGGGGACCTTCGCGCTGCTGGACATGGAGCTGACCCGGGAACGGCAGGCGTTTGTGCTGAATGGGTTCGTGGAGCTCTTCGACCTGCGCGCGGCGGTGGACGTGCATATCCAGCTACTGCCTGCCCCGATATTCTACTTCGACTTTGAGATGCAGTGGAGCACCTTGCTGGCCATCAAGGCCAAGGCCAAAATGGTCGGGGGCACCGACCTCATGTGCAATCCCCGCGAGGCCAGCTGGGAGGTCAGTGCCGAGTTCGAGCAGACAATTATCCAGGAGATGGCCCGGAGTTTGGAGCGAGCTCTCAAGGCCGTGCACGAGAAGGTCGAGGCCAAGATCAACGGTGCCAAGCAGGCGGTTGCGGACGCGGAGCGAGTCTACAAGGAGAAGATCGCCAAAGCACAAGCAGATTTGGAAGAGGCCCGGGCCAAGTACCAGGCCGAGAATGACCGACTAGACCAGGAGTTGGATCGTCTGGAGCGGGAAACACAGGCCCAGTCTGCCGTCCATCGCGACGCGGTCTTCGAGAAGAAAAAGGAGGAGTCGTCCGCTGTGGCAGAGGCCGAGACCGTCCGCGACCACACCATCCACGAGGCCAATGCGGAGGTCCAAGAAAAGGAACGGGCCTTGAACCACGAGGAGTCGCGAGGAACGAGGGAGCGCAACGACGCCATCTCCGACCGCGAACGGAGGAGACAAGAATTCATGGCCAAGTTTGGCGATGCCGAAGCCGCCGTGCAGCGCGCGCGGGACAACGTGGCTAATGCCAAACGTAAGTAGAATTTTCCCGGTTTCTACCTTGGCGCATTAGGCTCTAACCCGGTGTATCCATACTTCAGGAACGGTTGAGAATCTCCGCAGTCAAATTGGTGACCTGGAAAACAGACTCAGTGGGCTGCGATGGTTCCAAAAGGCCCTCGCCTTGGATACAGTGCGTCTTACCATAGCCTCCTTCCTGTTTGCCCTCTTGTATCTCACTAATGCTTTCTCGCTTCCAACAGCACCTTCAGATCGCTGCCCTCGGGATCCAGTATGGAACCGCCAGGGTAGGCCTCGGAGTGGCGGACGGAGCCCTCGAGCTAGCGCAGAAGATCATGCAATCTCAACTATTCCACGACCTCACCCAGGCCCTGCACCACGCCTGCGAAGCGGTCGAAACAATCAAGCGGCAGGTGGACAACGCCATCAACGCCGCGCGGGACCACCTGCACAACGCGCAGAAAATGCTGGATGTCGCCAAGTCCGCCGCACAGGGCAAGTTCGAAGAGGCCCGGCGGCAGGCGCGCGAGATGGTGGACACCGCGCAGAGGATCCACGACAACTACGTGGAGAAGCAGGAACAGGAGTCCAAGAAACTCCGCATTCAGTTGCAGCAGCTGGAGAATAGTGGCCTGAGCGCGGGGGTGTCGCTCGCTGAGGGACTGCTGGAGGCGGCGAAGAACAACAACGCGGCATTCCTCGCGGCGCAGGCCGGCCTCGATGCCGTCAAGATCGTCGAGGGCGCCATCTACGACACGCTGCGCACGATGATCGAGGCCGCAGCGACCCTGTGTGATATCCGCGTGGTCAGGCTCCGGGGCACCATCACCGCCCGACCGGAGGAGCAGTCCGCTTTCCAGATCTATTTGGAGGGCACGCTGGTCGGACAGGATTTCAATTTCGATCTTGTATATTACCCCGGCAAGACGATTGAGTTCTTGGAAGGGTTGGCCAAGGAGGCAATGGGGCACCTGAAGTTGACTTAGGGCTTGCGCTGAAGCGGGGACTGCGAAGGACCATTTTTGTGATTATCATGCACAGCTTTTTGTAGATTAGCACGGCAACAGGATGTAATATTAGCTTATTGCAATGTTTCTCGCACCACAGTGAGTATTGAAGTATGAAAGGGTGGTGCTAGTCGGACAACTTCTTAGATACCAATGGTGAGTGTGATAAGATTCACGAAAGGGCCCTAGAGAAAGGTGACATGTGAGAATAGGGAGCAGCGGCAACTCTACTACTTCATTATATTTATTGTTGAACTGAGAGAATAGGAATATATATTAATTAGACCTAAATTAGAGAGTCTTAATATAGTATTATAGCTTAGTACTAATAGTACATCATCCATTTTGTGCTAAATCAAGCAAACAGTCCCTTCTCAATAGAAAAGATGACGAAACTCTTGTATATTTGGAATACTTATTCGTTTTTCATATAATAGACTGATTCTATCTACCTTTAACTATATAGCTGTGAAGTAACGTTATCTACTATTTTACCCAGTCGGTACTTACTCGCTCAATTTAAGCAACACGCTAGGAGGTTAGCATTTGAGTAGATAACCGCTAGAAATTCCCTTCTGTTGTATTTCCTTTCTCCTAAAACAGTCGATTTTTCTCATCCTCTACCATCATCCCACTTTTTCTTGTTGTGTTGCAAGAAGTACATCTAATATTTCCTCGAGCAGCTGATTTGTATTCTTGATTCACAGCGTAAGACCTTTTGTTTCGGTTTCTCGAACAGCATAGGTGCGGAGGTACTGATCAGATGCTACAGCGGAGGATCTTACTGGTACAGCCTCGATCGACCCCGGTCAGGCCGCCTTGAGCAGTACCAACAATGACTTTGACTACTCATCGTTGGGTATCGACTGTGGCGAATACCTGCTAGATGAGTTGTCCATAAGTATGGCCGGCAGCCGCCGTCGGAGAGTTGGTAGTTTGCAGCACCTCCGTCTGCAGAACCATCAGCATCGATCTTAAAAGTAGACACAGATACAACGCACAGGGTGGAGGCTTAGTTGCTTCATGGCATTGGGTTCAGCTACTACAGCCCGCACGCACCCCAAATTGAGCACGTGTAATAAGTGATGTTATATGTACTGTACATCTTTCTAGGTTATTGCCTGGAGAATGCTAACTATCCAACACTGTAGTTGATGAGTTTTTTTTTTTCTCTTACGCAAAAATATCTGCTCACCAATCTAAGCGCGTTGCGTCACGCGCTCGCGCACAAACTTCTCCGTCTGCACGTAGCGTTGTCGCGGTGATGCGCGGTTGTTTTGGATGCGGAAGGCGCTCACGTTTCCGTCACCCTTGAACCACTGCTTTCGTCAGTTAGTCTCACTATCAGACAACGAGGGAGCGACCGAGGTGGGGAAAGGTTGTCCGGGATCGTCCTCGACGAAGGGACGCAGTTGCGGATCCGGGGAGAAAACGAATGGTTTGTCGAAGAGATTGAAAGTTGCTCTTGGTAAAAATAGAATAGAAAGTGTTGGCGAAGCTAGGGAGCAAATGCTTCCCTACGAGGCAATTTCAAGTCAAGTGCAATTGAACAGGTAGTCAAGCTACCGATCTTCGTCTTGTCTCTCGGTTCAAGAGACGAGATCATATTCCGGGTTCCCGGGCCGCTTCCGCTCTCTCCCTGATTTACACCCGCCGTACTTGTACTGTACATACTTACCCGCACACATCCCCAGGTTGGAAACGTTTCTCTCTCCCCTCCCCCCGGTCTAGCTTCTGGCTGAGAAAGTCGCCAGTTGATGGCTCGCGCTCTCTCTCCCGTTGCTCAAAATGCCCCTTTCGTGGAAACGCCTGATCCGCTTCGGCGCCCTCGACGGCCGCATCTTGCGCGGGGAGCCCATCCTTCCCGCAAAGCGCGAAATGGACCTGGGCCAGATCACCGAAGCCAATCAGCTACAAGCTCGAGTTCTCCAGGGCGAGGACATCTACGATACAACACCAGACCAAGGTAACGGACGCGATTGTCACGGTCCAACAGATTCTCTCCCCGCTAGCCCCCAGCGACGTCCCCATCCTCCGGTGTGTGGGCCTCAACTACGCCAAGCACAGTACGTTACTCATTTTCCTTCGTCTGATTACCCCCCCTACTTCACAAGAGGATAACACGAGCCATTGCCGCGATTAACAGTCAATGAAGCAGGACGCAAGCCTCCACCTTTCCCCTGCATCTTCTTCAAGCCCAACACCTGTGTACAGGACCACGGTGCACCCGTCGTGATTCCGCTCATTGCCCAGAACAACCAAGCGGACTAGGAGGGGCCGAATTGGTTGGTATTTGCTATTCTACTCAGTTATCTTCATTCTCAGGTTGTGTAGTGTAATGGTTAGCACCCAGGATTCTGATTCCTGTAATCCCGGTTCGATCCCGGGCACGACCTTTTTTTTTTTTTTTTAGTTCCATGTCAGATCCCGATCGAGTCTAATTCCTGCGGCACAATGTCTGGTCATCGGCAAAGACGTCAAAAACGTGCCTCGGGAGCGCGCTCTCGAGTATGTCGCCGCATACACATTGGAAGATGACATTCCGTCGCGGAAGCTGCAGCGCGATCCGGCCTACGCTGGTGTCTGCCGCAGTGGGGATTCTCCAAGGGGTTCGACACGTTTGCGCCGCTGGGCCCGGTTCTGGTCTCGGAGATCCCCGCCCCGGCGCAGCTGCATCTAAAAACAATTGTCGACGGGGAGATGTGCCAGAACGAGACCGTCGGGGATTCGCTGTTCGACTGCGCGTACTTGGTCTCGTATCTGTCGCAGGGCACGACGCTGCAGAAGGGGAGCGTGATTATGGCGCAACGGACAGGCCTACGCCGAGTATCGGCTGGTCTCGCTACTGCCCGGTATGTTCCTCGGCCCCGCCGGCTGCATTTTACTGGGGTTTGCCTGCCGGAACCAGCTGCATTGGAGCGCCGTCCGCCGTAGGGTTCGGGATAACCTCCTTCGGGTCCGTGTTCACGCCCAACATCGCCCAGGCCTACTTGACGCATCGGCACCAGCGCGAGACGGCGCAGTGTCTGGTGTTGATTAATGTGGTCAAAAAACTCGTCGCGTTTTTGTTTCTGTATGAGGTCCTGGAGTGGGTGCAGCGCTGCGGTTACTTGGACGTGTATCTTGTCATGTTTGCCCTCGGGGTGGTCACGATCGCGGGCGCGCTGCCACTTTTTCTTTTCTCTCCCTTTTCTATTTCCCGTGTTCTTTTCTGTTTGTGGTGGGGAGCCAATTTTGTTTTGCTTTGGCAAGCAGAAGCTCTATCGCCAACAGCATTTGTTTCCTGGCCGATTTCGCTGTGACGGCGGTCACTCATGGCGGGTTGTACCGTTCCTCCAGACTCGATTACAGGGATTCCGCATAGACCTGGGAGGCTTGGCTATGCGACCTGCGGGTAAAGGAAAATACATCCTGTAGTACTACATGCCGTCTTCGCTAGATCACGTTTTCCCCATGTCAACTCTGCAATAAGTCATCGTCTACTTCTAGGATAGTATTGGATGGGCGGCCAGGGTGGATGGGCGAGCTATGTCAAGGTCGTTGTGCAGCAGAGCTGACATGAGCCTGCCGAGGGTTCTTATCGATAAGTACGAGACATGGGTGTTCCGCTTAGCAGCCCATTTCAGCCTTGAAGTGTGCGATAGGAATGCTATGCTATTGATATTGAATAGATTTTCAGAGGCCCAACTGGAGACCGATCGCATTATAATGTTGTCTTCTTGTCTTTGTGACTGATATATTTAGCCGGTAGGACTGATACTGTGCATGCGATGAGGCTGCTGTTGTACCGCCGTAATGGTGGGTTCACCCTCGAACAGAAATTCCATCAGGAACGCAAGATTGAACAAAAAAGCTTCAACTGAACACCTCAACAATGTGGTGTGTATATGAGAGTAGCCGTCAATGCAGGCTCAAGCGTGTCGGTGTTGTGCGTATAACGCCTTGGTTCCAGAAAGGTCACATGATTTTAACTAAAACTGCAAGTTTATAAACATTGCGCTTTGAATACAGTATATTCTCAAAGGAGATAGGCTCAGATGTAGCAGACATCTTTGCAATAAGACATCTTTGCAATAAGAAAAATTAGCATATAATGATGATTTGGAGCTGTTTATGGCTTTAGAGATATAACATATAGTTTAATTAGAAAGACGGTGCTGGGTGGGAGACTTACTGCTTGAAGGATTCAAATCCCTGCATCTAACAAAATCAGCAGGGTCAACCAGAGCAGCTGCCTGCACAAGGCTCATTGCGGTAGCTGCAAACGCACTGTGCCACCCAACATTCCAGCAACATCGCAAACCATCATCCAGTCATGGAGCTTTACAGCCACAGCAGCTCGTCAACGATTGGAAAGGATGATTTTGCTGCCGGAGCCTCGAGGCGCCTCACCATGCTTTGATCTCTTGGGTGTATTGCGGCACAGGGCGGGCAATCTCGAATTGATCTTGCGACGATCTTGCTTATAAAATGCCAGCTCGATCCCGTTGATTCCTTCTTGATTTATTCTTTTTCATCCTTCTCAATAAGTCGTGATATTATCGCTCATAATAGACGCATATTTTTCCACTGAAGAAAAATGGTCGGCAGCACAAGCAACAGCTTGAAGACTTGCCATGAGTTCGCGAAGCGTGGATCTTGTCGCTTCAACCCCTGCAAATATGCCCATGTCCGGCGAAACGAGAACAAGGCCCGTGATTCGACCAACAGCACAAGCCATAAGAGTCATAGTCTTGATGGTTCCAACGAGCTAGCGATCTGGAAGCGACAAGTCGGCAGTCATCATCATAATCGTCCACTGGGCGGGCAGCTAGGTCCCATGTTCGCCAAGGCCAGAGAGCTCATCGAGCTCGATGAAAGCACACTCCAGGATGTAATCCGATGCCTCTCCAAAGAGAGCGGGCTGAGACGAATTCAGGAATTGGTGCAGCGTAACTTCGATTCTATCCCGCCATCTGCGAAACGTGATCTATTTGTCAAGCAGATGCTGCCCTTCATGGAGATTATCACGCATCCGGAAGTGCTCGCCTCCCTGGTGATGGAGCAAGCAGTGGGCACTATATACAATTGTCTCTACGGGGTTGGTGGGCGTCGGGGCGAACCTTTTCTGGGGTTTCTGGCGGGCGCTATACAGCAGGAGATTGAGACTGAGGGTAAAGCAGCACCCGCATACCTCGAGCAGTCTCTCCTAGTATTTTGGAAGATAGTCGAGCTGAACTCGACTGCATTTGTCCAAGAACCTTTGAAGGTCGTGGCTCTACAATTCGTGGACCTGTTTCTTATTCTTCATGCCTTGGACAGCTCGGACGCCCTTCATCAGTCGCGAGATTACCTGGACAAGCTGCAGCATCGGCTTGATATCGGGATTTCTTTGCCAGCCGTAACAAAGACCGCAAAGCAGCATGTTAATCATCAGCCCGTTGCATTTGTGACACAGAGAGATCCGCCTGGTGGACGCCATGACAATGACGACGCTGATATTTGCAAGATCAAGATCATGCCGACCTTCCAGGAGATTCTGTCTCCGCGCTCTGAGTATCTCCCTCCCAAGGATCCGCGCCAGTGGCATAAGTGTGGACTCGCCGGGCTATTGGACAGGAACTTCCGACTATTACGCGAAGATACCATCGGTCAGCTCAGAGACGCAATACATGCAGAGATTCAACCGGTCGATCGCAGCCAACGGTCGCGTCAGAAAGGGGAAACCAGGACGTACGTGTACAGACAGGTAGTCGTGCAAGGGGTGGAATTTCATCGGTTCGACGGATTACAGTTCCTAGTGCGCTTTTCTCAGCCGACAAATGTCCGCGGGGCAGCGAAGAAGAAGTTACAGGAATGGTGGCAGCTGTCGAAACGTTTACAGCCAGATGCACTTGTGTGTCTTGTTGATCCCCGTGGGCATACAATGTTTTGCACGGTCGCTGCACCTGATTGCCCAAGATCCGATGCCGCCCAGAAGCAACAGAAGAGGCTAGCTGGCTCGCTTTCAGATAACTCTAACGTGGCCTCTGTGCTTTTGAAGTTGGTTGAGTCTGGCGAGAGCAGCTGGCAGTACATCCTCGACTGCCATGCGTCCCAGCACAATCCGTCTCCTATCTCGCTCGTGGAATTCCCCGGTATTCTCTTGCCGTCATTCCAGCCCACTCTACTTGCTCTTCAGAAAATGCAGAAATCTGGAGATGTTCCCATGGCGGAGTTCCTCGCGCCCCAGGGTCAAAACACCTTGTCAGTCTTGGCTGACGTGCCCCCGCCTGTCTATGCAGCCTCGCAAAACTTCAGCTTCGACCTGAAATGTCTCATGAAGGATCGTTCCAGCCTGCAGCTGCACACCTCTCAGCCTTTTGATCTAAAAATGCTTCAGGATGGCTCCACACTCGATGATGCCCAGGCTTTGGCGCTGGCCAGCACCCTTCAGCGCAAGATTGGGCTGATTCAAGGCCCGCCAGGGACTGGCAAGAGTTTCACGGGCGTCGCATTGATAAAGGTACTGTTGGCCAACAAAGCGAAGGTCAAAAGGCGGCTTGGACCGATTGTATGCGTGTGCTACACAAATCACGCCCTCGACCAGCTCCTGGAGGACCTGCTGGATAACGAAATCACTTCGCAGATCATCAGAATCGGCTCGCAATCCAAATCCGAGCGCTTGCAACCACTGAATCTTCGTAAGGTTGTCAGCGGCGTTGAAAAGACACGCATGGAAAAAAACGAGCAATGGCGTCTACATAAGGCTCTTAACGACCATGAAGATAGATTCCGCAAGCTCAAGTTGAACGCGATTGGCTCAGATCATGGTCTGAAGTCGTACCTCGAACAGCACCAACCATACCATTATGCCCAATTATTTGCCCGAGACGCAGATGGTTTCCAAAGGCAGACAAAGGGGAAGCCCGCTCGCACTATCCAGTCGTGGCTAAAGGCTGGCAGATATAGCAGAGCGCAGCCCACCACCATTCAAGACCTCGCAAAGGTCCACGTCGATGCAATGACGGCCGCGGAACGCAAAGCTCTCCACGCTCACTGGATAGATGACTACAGACAGAAAGCCCATCTTCGGGTGCAAGCAGCCTTGCATGAACATCTAGAGACCAAAGCTTCCTGGGACAGAATCCGAGACGAACTGGCCTTGCGGTGTCTCAAGGCCGCAGACGTGATTGGAGTGACTTCAACAGGCTTGGCCCGAAACCTCGAGATGCTCCGTAGACTGCCATCCAAGGTGCTCGTGTGCGAAGAAGCTGGGGAAGTGTTGGAAGCGCACTTGCTCACGTCGCTCCTGCCGTCTCTCGAACAGGTAATACTGATCGGCGACCATCAACAACTCCGGCCCCAAATCCAAAACTACGACCTATCCCGAGAGAGCAAAGCGGGTGCCCAATATGCGTTGGATAGGTCTCTCTTTGAGCGCCTAGTGGATCCAGATGATGCGGTCGGCGTCCAGATCCCCTTCTGCACCCTGGAAACGCAACGGAGGATGCATCCCTCGATTTCCCAACTCATACGCGACACGCTGTATCCACGCCTGCAAGATGCGCCATCCGTGTCGACATATCCTGAGGTTGCAGGAGTCCGAAAGCGGCTTTTCTGGCTTGACCACCGTGTACCAGAAGGCCAAGCCTCTAACGAAGACGCGATGGCAACATCTCATTGGAACGATTACGAGATACAATTGACGGTTGCACTGGTGAATCACCTTCTCCGGCAGGGGACGTACCAGAGTGGTGACATTGCTGTTCTCACTCCTTACCTTGGCCAGCTTCATCGGATGCGTCGGAAGCTCAGCCAGTCTTTCATTATCACGGTGGGTGAACGAGACCAGGACGACCTGGACAATGCTGGCTTCATCGAAGACGAGGCAGAGGTAGCCTCTTTGGATACGACAACAATTGCCAGAACAACGCTGCTTCATGCTCTAAGGGTTGCCACAATTGACAATTTCCAGGGGGAGGAGGCTAAAGTGGTGGTGATTTCCCTGGTCCGAAGTAACAACCAGAATCGATGCGGTTTTCTCCGTACACCAAACCGAATCAACGTGCTTCTCTCCCGTGCTAAACACGGCATGTACATCATCGGCAATTCGGCAACTTCCAGGGGGGTTACCATGTGGGGGAGGGTGATTGATATGCTGGAAAGGGACGGAAATATCGGAGATGCTCTGGATCTGACATGCCCCCGACACCCAGACACTCCTATTACCGTTTCCGAACCGGAGCATTTTATCCAATACTCACCTGAGGGAGGCTGCAGTCTGCAGTGCGGCAAACGTCTTCAGTGCGGCCATCCGTGCAAGCAAAAATGCCATTCAGAGATCCTCCACGCCGCTGTTTATTGCCCGGATCAGTGCAAGCGTCCGCAGAAAGGGTGCGCGCATCCTTGCCCGAAGCCTTGTGGAGACCCCTGCCCTGAGAGATGCACTATAAACGTTTCCGATCCAGATCGCCGTCTCCCATGCGGACATCTAATGATCAATCTCCCTTGTTGGCAAGCGCAAGATCTGAGCCTGGTGAAATGTCTAACCTTGGTCGACCGAGAGATCCCCTACTGCCATCACACCACGCGTTTAGCATGCCACATCGATATTTATAGCGCGGACTATCAATGCAAACACCAATGTCGGAAAGTGTTGCCATGTGGCCACAACTGCAAACGGCAGTGTCTGTCGTGCATGAATCGCATCGCCGAGGAACCAAAGTTTGACCATGGCAAATGCACGCAGAAATGCGGACGCCTATATTCCACGTGCGCGCATGCTTGTAATGCTGAATGTCACGGGAACACTCCATGTCCGCCATGCACGTCGCCCTGCGATGTCCAGTGCGGCCATTCCAGGTGTCCGTGCAAATGCTCTGAACCGTGTGCCCCATGCGCGGTTTCGGAATGTCTGTCTTCATGTCCGCATAGCTCATGCTCGATGCCCTGCGCCGCGCCCTGCGATCATATTCCATGCTCTCTGCGCTGCGAGAAAGTTCTCTCGTGCGGCCACCAGTGCCCGTCTGTGTGTGGGGAACCGTGCCCTCCGAGCGCCTTCTGCCAGACTTGCGCATCGGACAGCGTGAAAGAGACCACGGTGGACTTTATCATGGGAGAGCAGTACGGCGAAGTCAATTTGGCCGCAAACCCTTGCATCTTCCCTCCGTGTGGGCACTTTTTGACCATCGAAAGCATGGATGCGCAGATGGATATCAAGAAGCACTATATCTTGGACGAAAATGGGCGACCCGTTTCGATTGCGTCGTCTTCACAGCCGTTCTCAATTGACGATATACGCACATGTGCGATCTGTCGGGGTTCATTGCGCCAGGTGGCCCGTTACGGAAGACTGGTGAGACGAGCATTGTTGGATGAGGCAACGAAGAAATTCATACTGTATTTGAACCAGGATTATGTTCCCATGGCGCGGAGCCTGCCGGGGTGCATTTCGAGGTTGCAAGACTATGAACCACGAGCGCCGGCGAACAAGACCGCAAGACACGTCTTCTGCGCTAATATTAAGATTCGACTCGAGGGGCCCCCACAGCATCAGGTGAAATTAATGAGGCAACATGTCGCCAAGTATGATAAGGAACGGTGGAAGGAGCTCATTGCTCTGCGGGAGAAGATTAATAGCTATAAAAAGAGGGTGCACGTGCAGGAGCAGCCGTTCGTTCGAGTCCGCAACATGGTAGAAGATGCACGTCGGCGAAAGAGAAGCCCTGGTCAATTCGACTTTGACGCCAATGTGCTTCAAACAAAGGGCTACCTTCAAGCGACGGCCCTCTTGCTGCGCCTAGACGCATCCCTCCTTGCGGACTTTCTCTCCCTGTGCAAAAAGGGACGACATGCCGACCTGTATGTCAACTTGGCAGGGTACAGGAAAGAGAGTAATCACCTCTTCGCCAACGCAGCGGCTTCCTCGCGTATCTTACAGCAGGTAGAGGGGAACATCTTCCTGGCCCAGTTCTGTGCACTCGAGCGGCAGAACTTGGCTGATCCATCCGAAGCAGAAGGTCTGCTGCAAGAGGGTACTGCTGCAATTGATGAGGCTGAGAGGCTCTGCAGGCTCCACGCTGGGCAGACCCGCGGCTTTCTAGAAGAAATCGAAGGCACAAGGGCAATGCTTCGTGGCTCGGAGTTTTATGCCCCAGTGACGAACGAGGAACGCATGGCGGTGTTGGCGGCCATGTCAGAGGAGTTCCGGGGAACAGGACACTGGTACTATTGCGAAAACGGTCATCCCTTCACAATCGGGGAGTGCGGTGGTGCGATGGAGCTTTCTCGGTGTCCGGAGTGCGGAGCGGCTGTTGGCGGCCAACACCATCAAACAACCGCTGGTGTGACCCGTGCCAGTGACCTGGAGAATGCTTTGCGGGAAATGCATCTATAGTTTGGCGCGGGAGTTGAGGGGTATTGGAGGCTTCAGAATGCTTAATATCCAATTATACTCACCTTCCCAGAGCTCTCATCAAAGCTGGATCAGGTTTGCAAGACCCATGCCGGTGTTATTCCAACTCATGATTAGCATTCGCGGAAGAGCTTCACATCTTACTGTGTAGAGGAAGCGGTAGAGGTAACTTAGAGCGGTGATAAACAGTTGTCACCGGCCCACATTTACGTTTTGAAGGCACCCAGCTATGTACAACTGTACGAGACTACTAGTAATGAAATCACACCAGCCAATTAAATCGCCAAGCAAGTACAACATGCAAGGTTATCTCCGTGCAACCTCCGTGCAGAATGAATCCCGCGTCGGTGCACTTGGGAGTGTTACCCCGCTTTTCGCCCTCGATTCCTATTCTCGCAGATAAACTACGATTGACTACAGCCTACGAGAACACCTACGTCTTTCCCCTCTACAAACTACACGTACGGAACAGACAGCACAAGAGACATCCACCGACAACAAGATGACCCTCCCCAAACCGATCACAACCGCCGCCCTCGTCCTCCACGAGCTCCACGGCCCGCTCGTCTGGGAAACGCTGCAGATCCCCTCGCTCGCGCCCGACGAGATCGCCGTCGACATCCACGCGACGGGCATCTGCCACACGGATCTGATGCTCATGAGCGGCGAACTACCCAGTCCCCAGCCCGGCGTCTTCGGGCACGAAGGTAGCCCCCTGTCCTCAGTGTTGGGAGACTCACCTCCCCCCCCTCCCCCTTGATCCAGCGACTAACACCCTTACCAATTTAAAACCAACAGGAGCAGGGACAATCCGCCAAATCGGCACAGCCATCACGCACGTCCGCCCCGGCGACCACGTCCTCCTCTCCTTCGACTTCTGCACGCACTGCGCCAACTGCACCGCCAAGCATCCGGCCTACTGCGCCGCGTTCGCGCTGCTCAACACGGCGGGCCACCGCGCCGACAACTCCTCACCTTTACAAACCGCAACCGGCGGAGCAGTCTACTCCAAGTTCTTCGGGCAGTCGTGCTTCAGCCGCGTTGCTGTTGTGGGTGGCCGCTGTGCGATTCCTGTTTCTTCGGGGTTGGATCTGAGGGTGTTAGCGCCGTTGGGGTGCGGGATGCAGACTGGGGCCGGGGCGGTGGTGAATGTCCTGCGATTGCAACGGGGGCAAAGTGTTGCGGTGTTTGGGACGGGGGCTGTGGGATTAGCGGCTGTTATGGCCGCGAAGATTGTGGGCGCGGAGGTGATTGTTGCGGTGGATGTGAGGGAGGAGCGGTTACGGGTGGCAAGGGAGTTGGGGGCGACGCATACTGTTAACCCTGCTGCGCTGCAAGAGGGTAACGGGGTGGTCGGGGCGATTCAGGCGGTGACGGGCGGGCTCGGGGTGCAGTTTGCGGTCGAGTGCTCGGGCGTGCCGGCGGTTGTGCCGCTGATGCTGGCAGCGCTGCGGACGCGCGGGCGCGCGGTCTCAGTGGGCGCGGCGGGGGTCACGGAGGAGGTGCGCTTCAATCTGTTTGCTCATTTGATGGGCGGGAAAGCGTATCTTGGCTGTATTGAGGGCGATGTCTATCCGCCGGAGGTATGATGCTCTGTCTGAGTGAGGGGGAGCGGATTGAATAGTAGTGAGGCTGACGGTGTGCTGACGGTGTAGTTTGTGCCATGGCTGGTCGAGCGGTATGCCCACGGCGAATTCCCCGTCGACAAGCTGGTCAGGGTGTACAAGGTCCGGGATTATGAGGAGGCGTTTGCTGATGTTCGTGAGGGGAAGGTGATCAAGGCGGTGCTGGATTGGACGGAGTAGGCTTGTGTATCGCGAGGATGGTGATTTGCGTGGAGTCGAGCAATCAGTCTCTTAGTGAAGGGTGGTGAAAGGTTGGGAACGTGTTGCAGTGTGAGAGGCGAGGGTTGATTCGGGGTTTTGCGCAGGTGGCATGATTCGGATGGCACCCACGGGATTTGATGATGATACGAGGGGAGGCCTGACAGACACGGCGGTGATTAGTGATTATGTATGCTGCTTCCACCTACTAAGATAGTCTTATACAGTACTTCGCAGCTTACTGCCCAGCCCAGCCCAGCCCTAAGTCTAGGAATAGCATGCACATACCTCCCGTGAATTCCCGGCCGGGCACAACGGCCCCGTTGCCTCACTGCGGGCCGGGATTTGAGTCTAATCAGCTGAAGAACCCAGGAAACCTGCCGCAGTGGAGTCAACTGCGGGGCCATCATCACTCTGCAGATCGTCACATCATTTTTGAATTGAAGACTACTAATCATTCACCTTCGAGAACCCGTCGATGCGCCGCGCCCGACGGGCTTGTTTCATCCACCCTTGCCCCACTGGCCTCTCCGCACTACCAAACCCCGGGTCATGGCACGATATCGCGACTGCTATTGCGCTGCATACTCCTCACGTACGCTGCTATCAGCAGAACCCGATTCCGCGTGAGCCGGATGGAGTGAGGATGGAGGACTTGGTTGAGATGAGTCGGCCGGGGTGAAGATACGGTGCCCTGCGAGGGTATAAGAAGGCCGTTGTGTCGCTGTCCATCTCCTCCATCACCAACAGCATCAAGCATTTCAACAATCCAACAATCAAAGCAAAAGCATCACTGCTCTTCGCGCCAACCTCTTCTACCACCACCATGGCCCCCGTTCTCAAGAAGTACAAGGCTGCCGCCGTCAACGCCGAGCCCGGCTGGTTCAACCTGGAGGAGTCGACTCGTCGGACCATCCACTGGATCAACGAGGCCGGCAAGGCAGGCTGCAAGTTCATCGCCTTCCCTGAGCTCTGTCCGTTCCCTTCCTCCCTTCCTCAACACCACAACCCACTAACCAACTACCCCAGGGATTCCCGGCTACCCCTACTGGATGTGGAAGGTGACCTACCAGGAGAGCCTGCCCTTGCTCAAGAAGTACCGGGAGAACAGTCTGGCCTCGGACTCGGAGGAGATGCGGCGGATCCGCGAGGCGGCACGGGCCAACAAGATCTTCGTCTCGTTGGGCTACTCGGAGCTGGACTTGGCCAGCCTGTACACGACGCAGGTGATGATCTCGCCCTCCGGGGAGATCATCAACCACCGCCGCAAGATCCGCGCCACCCACGTCGAGCGCCTGGTCTTCGGCGACGGCACCGGCGACACCACCGAGTCGGTCATGCAGACGGAGATCGGCCGCCTCGGCCACCTCAACTGCTGGGAGAACATGAACCCCTTCATGAAGGCCTACGCCGCCTCGCTGGGCGAGCAGGTCCATGTCGCCGCCTGGCCCCTCTACCCCGGTCGTGAGACCCTCAAGTACCCCGACCCGGCCACCAACATCGCCGAGTCCAACTGTGATGTACGTCCCCCTCGGATCAAGGTTTCTGTGGAAACGTCACCAGGTATAGTCGTGGGATATTCATGCTGATCAGATGGCCCAGATCGTCACCCCCGCCTACGCCATCGAGACCGGCACCTACACCCTCGCCCCCTGGCAGACAATCACCGCCGAGGGCGTCAAGCTGAACACTCCCCCGGGCAAGGAGCTCGACGACCCCAAGATCTACAACGGCCACGGCCGCATCTTCGGCCCCGATGGCCAGAACCTCGTGCCCCATCCTAGCACCGACTTCGAGGGTCTTCTGTTCGTCGACGTACGTATCGCGTGCTTCTACTGTCGTAAACAGAGTTCCAGACTAACTAAGGATTCAGATTGACCTCGACGAGTGCCACCTATCCAAGTCTCTTGCTGACTTTGTAAGTTTCGGTGCACTTAATTACGATAAAGGAGACTAATTGAGTTGATAGGGCGGCCACTACATGCGCCCCGATCTGATCCGCCTGCTGGTGGACACCAATCGCAAGGATCTGGTGGTGCGCGAGGACCGTGTCAACGGTGGAGTCGAGTACACCCGCACCGTCGATCGGGTCGGCTTGTCCACCCCGCTGGATGCCCCTGCCCCTGCTGAAGAGAACTAGAGGAGAGCTAAGCCGGCTTAGATGAATCTCTCCACTCTGTATTATATTATTGATTAGAAATTGATTCTTGTTGTGATTGTTTCATTGATCTGGTTTTGAGCATGGCTTTTTTTATTGACCGTCTTGATTGCAAGGGGACACCTAACGTTGAACTCCACGTTCACCCGCAGACACCTGAGGCATCAAGACACAATAACAAAACCTACCCCCCCAAAACGACACACTCCTCAAACACACCACCCATCTGTCGGCAATACCCATAGAACATAAGACAACTAATCGACTGACTATTATACGCCGTGACCTTGGGCGACCCTCCGCCGTCGTCTACCGGCTGCGTCACGGCAAACACATCCCGCCCGACCGCCCTCTGCCGGTTGATCGCTTGCACCACGCTGAGGGTCTGGTACACAGGGAACGCGCCTTCCTCGGTCGGCTGCAAATCCAGTAGCGTCTGCAACCATTGCTCGATCTCCAACCCCACCGACAGACTCCGACAACGCAGAATGCCCGCCAACAGTAAGCCTGTGAATCCGATGGTGTAGCTGTTGCGCGTGAGGGAGGTTTGCATGTCGGTTCCTTGGACGATACGCACAAGGGTTTGGACCCATGCGTCTTCCTCTTGGGGCTCGTGGTCAAGGAGGGTTGAGTGCGGGTTCTGCAGGAGGGTGAGAAAATCACTGCATTGCATGATGCGCGCGACGACGTGGTATGCGTAGTTCAGTGCTGCATCATGAGAGGAGAAGTGGATGGTCGGGCTGCCGGTCGGGTCACTAGGGCCGTAGATGGGCTGCTCAGCGGGCGGGAGGTACGCGAGCCACTCGTCTAGTTTTGCGGCCTGTTGGCGGAGACGCGAGATGCACGTCGCTGAACTTTCTCCGGTTCTCTGTGGGTTTATCTGACCCCGGCAATACTGAAACACAGCATTGAAGTTCAGGCGATGGGACTCGCACATGATGCCCAAGACCAGGACTCGGCGCCCGTGCCGAGTGTGTGGTAGATCCTTGACGAGTGAGACGGGCAACGGAATGGCCGGCAACTGCTGATGAACCTCTACCGAGCTGAAGTAGGCCCGCGCCCACCAGACCACATACCGGATTTGCATCCACGAGGCGAGGAGCGATTTGATGGTTGGGTCTGCGACGCCCTGTCGCCACTCCAGGAGATTCATGATCCCCTGCACGTGGCAACAGAAGCCCTTGAAATTACCCATGGCTGATTCGAGGTGCGCGAACAATACCAGCGTCGTGAGAATGACTGTGTTATTGTGATGAAAATCGACCAACGTCAGCGCGGCGAGTTTCCTGATCGCGGAGGAGTAATACAGATGGCTCGCGGTTTGGTGGGCTAGGCTCGGACTCCGCGGGCCCATCAATGCGGTCGCTGATACTTTGCGCTCACCGCAAAGACGGCTGATGTTGCAGGATGATAGAGCAAGCATCGCGTCCCTGATGATCGACATGTCGGGGATCAGGAATGTGGTAGAGTGGAAGACGGGGTGCAAGGCTGGTAGACAACGGTCCTCCCAATAGGTGGTGTAGAAGATGTCCCGCTCTGTCGTCTGCAGGGATTTGACCAGAGCGCTGGTTTCGATCCGAAGCCTCTGCTCGCCTTGGAAGCTGGATGCCTGGCCACCAGCCAGCTCTTGTGCTGTCGCATTGGACGGGGCCCCATCCTCGGACGGGGATCTCGATTTCTGGCCGGTCACGATCTGAAATCTGAATCCGAGTTTCAGGTATTCACATTCCTTCCCCAATCGTAAGCAGGTCCCACATGCTGGCTTCTCTTCATCACACTGGAATTTCGATTAGTGCTATCATTCTAGATTGTGGTGCTATGGCAAATGAACCTTTGTTCTACGCTTGCGACAGCTAGTACAGCCATCGCGCGAGCGTATGATATCAGTTTTCTTTGGCCTAGGCGGTGCAGGCTTGTACATGGGGCATCTGCAAGACCTTATCTCGATGATGCGATGAGTGATAGAGGGATGCTGACGGGTGAGTCAAGAGTGCGTTGTCAGAAGTGGCAAGGATCAATCACGTGCCTTCCAAATGTGCCCAACCGAGCCGTACCGCAGTTGGTTGAGGCTAAGCCCAATCTGGCAGCTATAGATCTAGCCTGCGGCGGGTAATAACGGCTCATGATGGATGATCCATCGAGATTGTTTTCGCAAACCATATCATAATGTGTATTGCATATAAAAATCCCCTTCCTTTCAGTTTCTTAGGAACGCTATAATTCTGAGTACTGGGGAAATAAACCGTTCCGGGTGAGAACCCCCGGCCCCCCCTTTCTTTCAGCTTCCCAGTAAAGCTCAACTGCAGTAAGCATCAAAATATGGCGTATTACTTTCCAGAGATTGGCCCTGATATGAGTACCTATAAACTGATTCGGCAAGGCTTTCCACAAGAACGCTACATCCAAACCACACACAGTACGCAGTATATTGCGCCAACCTAACTATAGGAAAATAATCCGAACAGTAACTCTAACCTCTATACCCCCGGAACTCTACAAATTACACCCCCTTCACCCTATCAACCATCGCCCCCCGCTCGCGCACCAACTCCGAAATCGCCCTGCCCGTCTCGCCCCCCAACCCCGCGAAACCCTGGACCACCCCCTCGCGATCCCCCTTCCGCATCTCCTGACTCATCTTCACCTTCCCCTCCACTTTACAGACCTCAATCTCCACCCCAACAATATTCCGCTGCATGAGCTCAATATACCGCTCGGGAGCATCCTCCACCGTCCACGGCCCCGCCCGCCCCCCTTCGCCGGTAAACCCCATGATGCCCCGCTCGCACCGCTCCGACAGATCCCGCATCTGCTTCGCCAGGAACGCGCCCGTGTCCGCGCGCCGGGAATCGTAGTACACCGAGAGTTTCCCATAGACCTGGACGGCGGCGTAGTTCCAGGTGGGCACGACCTTGCCGGTGTCCGGTTTGGTCTGGGTGTAAAATTTCGGGGTCACGTAGTGGTTGTGGTTGCCTGTAAACACGACGAGGACTTCTTGGGCGTGGGTCAGGATCTCTGGGGCACTATTGTTGGTGTCGGTGTCCTTTGTGGCTGTTTCGAAAAGCGCCTTGACTTGCGGATTCTGTTTGGCGATGTGCGCGCGGAGGCGGGCGGGTTCGTTCTGGGATGGTGGGTCGAGGACGAAGGGAACGTGGGTGCATTGCAGGAAGTCGTGCATTGAGGAGGGGATGCCGGTGATGAGGAGGCCGAGGGGATTGTCGTGGATGAATTGGAGGAGGGCCTCTGTGTCTGTCTCGGCGTGGACACTGGGGATGAACATTTTGGCTGTCAAAAGAATAGTTCGTTCTGGTAAGCAAGAAGCGGAAGATTTGGAATCAGTGCTAGAGCGAGGAGACGTGACTTTTATAATATGGTCATCTTCATCCATACCCACTCTCTTCGATGCTGACAATGAGAATATGAGATTGGGAGATGTTAGGTCTCGTGCACCCGATCGGGTAAATTGTGGGGCTCCACCCTGCGTTAGCATCGTTCTTGCTCACCCGATTGGGTTTAGCGTCTAGCCAGCCCTTGGAGACTTATCCGCTTGCCATAGATGAAGGGTGTCCGCGGAGTTGACCATTCCTTTTTAACAGGGGGCAATGAGTCACGGATGATAAAGTCTTAGGAGTTCTCTCAGGCCGAAAGCTGACGTACAGAGACCATCACGCACGAACCGCTCTAACCGTAAACGGTGCGCAGGTGCGATGGTGCCCCAACAAGCGGAAAATCTGTATATCAGACGAACCATGTAGAAGCCAGCACACAGCTATATAATCCATGTCAGATTCTCGTCTAGTGACTTCGTACGGTACCTTTATTCTTCATTTGGACTGAATCAAACCAACCACAAAATGAGCACCCCAAACCCCCTCCGCATCGCCATCCTCATCAACACACCCCCGGACACCGACTTCTGGCACGACGTGCACAAATGCTACCAGGACTCCTTTCTTGCCGTTGCGCCGGCTGCCCAGATAGACATGTACGACCCGGTCTTCGAGCGCCACTTCCCGCGCCCCGGGGATTACGATCTAGTCGTCCTGACGGGGGGCAAAGCGGATGCGTCCTCTTCTGAGCCGTGGGTGCTGGGGGTGTTGGAGTTTCTGAGATGCGCAGCGAAGGAGGCGCCCAGGACGAAGATCCTGGGGATTTGCTGGGGTCATCAGGCTATCTCCCGGGCGTTTGGTGGTGTCGTGCGCGCTGTGCCTTCGGGGCCGATTGTATGTATACGTATACCCTTTGATTCTTACCGACTAGGGCTGGTACTGGTACTTTAGGGCTAATGTTTACTGGGGAATGAGCAGGCTGGACTGGAAGATGTGCGATTAACGGAAGCGGGGAGGAAGTTCTTCGCGTGTGATGAGAACACTGCTATCTATGTATGTTGCCTGTACACCTTTCATTCAATTCGAACCCAACTAATCAGCCTGGCAGCGGTTACCCGAGTTCCACGTGCGGGAGGTGGCCCAGCCTGGCGACGGGTTCATCCACCTCGCGGAGAACCATGAAATGTTCGTGAACCAGCAGAACACGGTGCTATCGTTCCAGGCGCATCCGGAGATTGAGGCCGAGATGGCGAAGAAGCTGTTGTTGGAGGAGGATGATAGGTACAACGGGGGGCTTTCCCAGCAGGAGCTGGAGAGGCATCTAGCTCGCTTGGATCAACCAACGGATGGGTTGACAGTGTTGAAGCGGGTTGTTGAGTGGGTGAAGGAGTAGAGGATAGGGCTAAGTTCTGACTATTTTGTTGGAGGGTTTGACCCCTCAAAGCCACTTGTAATGTAGGAATACACCCAGAGAAATTTCATCAGCACCGCCCAGACATTGCAATGATCAACAGCACCAAGTCACGGCGAATAAACACTCATCTCGAACCCCCCCGTAAACGGCAAGGTCACATTCCTAAACCCATTCACCGGATCCCGCAAAAACACCAAAAGATCCTTATACCCCTCCGCCGCGGAGATCGTATTATCCGTCAACACCACCGCCCCGCGCCGCAAGCGAGGCAGAACCGTCTTGAGCGTGGGGAGCGCCAGCGCACACCATACTGTACACCTAACATTAGCCACGATCCCCTAAGGAGCAACCCGCTACCAGCACCAACCAGACAGGAACTCACTATCCAAAAGCAACACATCCACCTCCGACACCCCCTCCTGCAGGGTGACCAGCAAATCCCCCTCCCGCAGTCCGATCACCCGCTCGACCTCCGGCCCGCACTGCGCCCAGTACTCGCGCGCGATCGCCGCCTTGCTCGTCTCCTTCTCGGTGGCGATCACCGTGCCGGGCTTGCCCGTGCGGGCGGCGGTCTTGGCCACGGCCAGCGCCAGATAGATGGTGCTCACGCCGAAGCTAGTGCCCGCCTCGACGACGGTGGTGGCGCCCATCGCGGTGAGGAGCTGGTAGACGAAATGGCATTTGTCCTCGTCTAAGGCGATGAACTTGTCGAGCATGAGGCGGTCGAACTCGGCTTGGGGGACGGTCGAGGAGCTTGGGGGACGGTCGGTGTCAATATTGTCCAGAATGTCAGAGGAGACGACCTTGCCTGTCTCCTTTTTGGTGATGGCCGCTTCTTGGTCGAGGGACTTTTTGTGGAGGGTGGTCAGGAGCTGGAGGATGTGGGGTGGGGCGTCGAGGGGGTTTGGGGAGGACATTTTGCAGATAATTTGCTGTTCGGTGATGCAGGCAATTGTTAGTCTAACAGCATCCAAGGGATGATGAGGAGGATTGTTGTTATGACGGGAGCTTGTTGGTGTTTATAGTAGTTTGTGTTTGGGGATTTGGGGTTCGGCAAAAGGCACGGAAGTGACGGGAATGAGGGGGTGGGGTTTCTTGGCGTTTGGGGTCAGGTTGACTCAATCTTCCGTAGCAGCACTAGACATCGCTTATTGACTACTCGCGAGGAGGTCGTTCTCGCAAAGCCGTAGTAAAGATCAGATCATTGAGGCAAAAGTCAAGGATGTCAGGTCGCGACTGATAATACTGAAATTGCCTTTGGTTCTTATAGGTATGAGCTAAGAGGGCATGCTTTCATACGTCTTCTCTAAGGGTCTCACTTCCCAATCAACAGGCAATGAGAGGTGGTTTGTCCCGTAATTGTGAACAAATATAACAACTGCTTACACCCACTTTTTACCCAGGCTTATGACCCACAAGTTGAGAAGCTAATCAAATGGATGATAGTTGCGTTCGAATGGCCAGAAATTACAACTGGATGGACTGAAGCATCGTAGCAAAAGTAGAATGACACATCTCGAATTATTAATGCATAGCAAGTTCGGGGTGAACCACCTCCCTTCATAAATCGTTGCCTGAGGCAGAAGGTAGTCACGGGCGCATCCGGACCGGGACTTAACAGAATTTTGTGTCGTCTGCCGCGGAGATGTGCTTGAAAATACGTAGATCCCGAATTTGACAAAGCTTGTAGCTTGGTCTGGGTTTACTCAGTCCAATGCCTTTCTTACACAAACCTGTCCACCTAATCATCCGCTCAGATATTCCCTTGCCTTGTCCGACACAGCAAGTGTAACCATAGCAGTGTATCGTCCTGCTTTCTCGAAGGGATAAGAACCGTGCCGCGTCAGTGGCACCCAATAATACCTGCAAGCAACGGGTTTCCGTACCATCTCCTCGGGATTTGCTCGTGCCCCACCTCAACCACTCGCATCAAATCACCACCCCAAACTCTCCGATCATACCACCAGCGATCTCGGTAAGGATCCCGAGAATCTCAGAATTCTTGCAGATTCCAGTTATTGCGGGCCTCGCGTGGCACGCAAGTTCAAACCCCGAGCTAGAGCCACCGCCCCGTCTCACCCTCCTCGTCCGGGATTTGGTGACTGGCCGTGCGGGATCCTCTTGCTTTATGCTCCAGGGAATGGTTATATCCCAAACCTTGCCCTTAGTCATGTCTTCTGTCTGTCTCAATTTTGCCTGCTGCTTGTCGCAACACATTAGAGGACGATTTGAGCATAAACGAACAACATCGACCACTATCCAGAATGGATAATCCCAAGACAATACCAGACACCACTCGTCCGGGACATCGGAAATTTAGTAAGCCGCCAGTCAAGGTCGCTTGCCTCGCTTGGTATGGTTCCCCTTACTCATAAGCACACTCTCTTCAACCGAGAGAGGCGGATTACTGATGCCATCGCAAAGTCGCACCCTTCGCATCCGCTGCGACGGACTCGAACGATGCGGCAACTGTGTCGCCAGAGAGACGCCATGCTCGTATGTGCCCAGTAAGCGCGGGGGACCACGGATCCGGAAGCGGAAGCGGCCGTTGACACCAGTGTCTGGGTCGATGGATACGTCGTTGAATTCGATGTCGAACGACGAGGTAGAGGTGGATGGGCTGGGTTTTGGATTACCAGGGTCAAGTTCGGGGTCGGGACCGTCGTCGCAGATCTCGCTGTCGCAGGAGGAGGATGAAGGTACGTATTTGGGTGTGTAGTGGTGTAGGTGTGTAGGCTAACAGGAGTAGTCTGGCTGGACCAGCTCTTCACACTAGGTGCTCCAGGAGCAGGACTTCGAAGTATCGAGAGCTCAGTGTCAGAGATTGAGCAAATCTTCGATGAGATTTTCGCGGAGGACAGCGTGCGGATACCGTCTGAGGTCGAGGAGGAGCCCGCTGTGGAGCCGGACCTCTTGCAGACGTATGCGTCGGATGATGATATGTACGTGCCATTCCTCAGATGCGCCGAAGGCGAGCTGACGAGAAGACTAGACTGGACGCATACTACGTCTTCATTCATCTATACTGCCCCCTTCTCCCTCCGCCTGAGCGACTCCCTGTGCGCAACAAACCTGTCTACGGCCCGGCGACCTACCGACCGTCCAGCCCGTTGGCGCTTGCGGTGTGCGCCATTCTAGCCTTGATACCTCATCCGGAGGTGCGACAACCCTCGAAGCCCGAATGCGTCAAGCTCCGACGAGAAATGGCACATTCCTATGCGCAATCGGCTTTGGAAGCTGTGGAGGCGGATCTGGAACTGCTGGATTCGGCGTCGGATCCGTCGCGCGCGCTGTCGGAGGGAGTGGCGCAGTGCACACGCGAGCCGTTTCACGTGAATGTGCCGGTTGGGCTGGAGGCGGTGCTGGCATTGGTGTTGCTGAGTAGCTATGAGTATGCGCAGCGGGGGAATATCCAGAAGATGTGTAATCGGGCGGGACAAGCTTTGACGGCGGCGATGAGTGTATCATTGCATGAGACAGTGGAGGAGGATGGCTTTGCGGAGGCCAGGCGAAGGGCCTGGTGGATGACAGTATGTTTCTTTCTTGCGGATTGGGGATGTGTGCTAATGAGTACAGTATATGACGGTGTGTCAGGGATCGATTGTGAGCGGGATGGTACGTGTCACTCACATTCTGGGCTGGCCTATTGCTGACTGACCATATTAGCCTCCTGTGATCAACTTGTATGACCCTCGCTTTGTGACCCCATACCCGAAGGTAAGTCTTCTCCCAGAGCAGTCTTCTCAGAGTGTTGAATTCAAACTAATAGCTCAGGGCTGGAAACTCCTCATCGAAGCCCAACAGACGATACTCGAAGCCACAACCTTCGTCCACGACCTCAACCTCACCATCAAATCGCAGTACAACGCTCCATGGATCTCGAAGCGTATGATGGACCTCGACAGTCAGATCACCTACCTTTTACATCCGTGTCGGGCGTCATCTCCCTCGATACCGCGGTTTCCATCCACCCCCACCGACTCACCCGAGATAAAAGCACTACAGAGCATGAAGTACATCGCCGAGATCAAGCTCCACAGGTGGGACCCTTACCCCAACCTCACGACACCCTCATCCAGTATCCTAACACAAAGTAGCGCCCGGATCAAGACCCACCGCTTCTGCGCCTTCCAAGACGCCGCGATCTTCCGCCGGCGCCACTGCGACCTCCACGCGACGACCTCTTCATCCGCAACGTCAGCACCAACCTGCTGCAGCATGCCTGCCCCCCAACCTGCGAGCCAACCCCTAAACCAGTCGCGAAACTCGCGTATCTCCTTCCCGTTCTCCAGCCACGCCTCCTCCAAGATCTGCCTCCACGCCGCCCTCAACATCACAAACCTCCTCGACAACCTCCCGTACCCGAACCCGACCAACGAGATTCCGCTCACGCGGCCGCCGTACCTCGCCCGGCATTCGCGGGTGGAGATTCCCCGGACGATGCCCTCGTTTGCCTGCTGCGCGATGCAGGCGAGCTATGCGATGATGATGCTGGGGATGAAGGCGCGGGGGAGTGTCAGCTCGAACAGCAGCGGTGGCACCGGCGGTGGGGCAAGCGGAAGTGGCCGGTCGCTGGACGGATTCGTGGAGGAGCTGCGGCAGAGTCTGCGCGGGGTGTGGAAGGTTCTGGGGAATTATGCGATTGCGTTTGAGGCGGTGGGAGGGATGAGAGGTATGTTTCTTTTGCTTTGCTCTTGGTGTCTCGTGTGTACGGATATGGATGCTGATCTGTGTGCGCTGTAGATGAGATTGGGCTGTCGATGGGGTGGCTGGAGTAGATTGATACTCTGGCGGTTCGTCGATGGATGGTGGATGGAGATGGAGATGTGTCCTTGCAGGCCTTGGAGGTCTAGCGGAGATATTCTGTCAGACGGCAATCACTCCATGCGATGGCATTGACTGACATTCACCTGGCGGAAGATGAAAGAGCTGCCTCCAGTGCCCATGGTTGAATCAGGACAGTTCCAAAGCGGAAGGAGCGACGGTGAATAACAACAGGGAATACCGGCAAGTGCCGGTGCCGGCTCCCTGTTTGTGTGAAGCAATACCGCCAAACACCAGCGAGCTATTCACGGACTTGCTCTAGTCTTTCAATCCAAGTTGACACTCGGCCGACCTCACAATCCTTACACAGTTAATGGGCATCGGGGCTCATCTTTAGCGTTTAGCTCCCACACATATTTAAGCATCACTTCTCATCCTGTCCTCAACCACATCCTCAGAAGAAAGCATCTTTCAAGATAACAAGCTTTCCTATCAACAAATCAAACGTCTCCTCAGCAACTATCAACCATCCACAACCGTCGAACAAAACTACTCGCTAGCATATACCATGGCGCAAGCAACTACTCCGGAGATCAACATCAAACTCGAAACCCCACCCTACTCGCAGCAAGACTACTTCCACCAGCTGCCCGACCACCAGCAGCTGCATCCACTGCCGCAGGAGCAGCAGCAGCAGTCTATTCCGTCCGCCGCGCTCGACCCGCTTCTTCTTGGCCCGGCCGCGCAGCCGCTCAGCCCGCCGGCCCAGAAGCCCCACCGCGTCCCGCTGAGCTACTGCCAGTTCCACGACCGGGTCCGCTGCACCGTCACCACCGACGGCAAACGCTGCAATCGGCAATTCGACAACGAGCGCAACCTGCGGGCGCACCACCGCAGTCTGCACGAGAAACTACTGGAGCCGTGCCCGTTCTGCGGACAGGGGTTCTACGGGCAGTTCTCCTGGGGGTTGCACATGGAGAAAGATCATGGAGTCTTTGTGGCGGGCTGCAAAGTTGAGGAGGGCGACGAGGTAAAGATCATACAGTTAGGAGGGGTTGGGGGGGTTCTTCAGTAGGAAGTTTGGAGGTATCTCATGGCGCAGGTGTTCTCCAGCAACGGAGGGGTTGATACCTGGTGCATGATGCATCCAGGGTCAGTAGATAGATCCACACCCTGCAGAGAAAGTTCTCTTCGGATGACGAAAATCGATATCCGATGTACTCGAACAATGAGAAAACATGACATTGTGTCAAAGAGGAGATGGAGATCCCGTCTGTCTATCACCATGCCAATGGGACCGGGCCGATGGAACCAGGCCGGTCTTTGTATGTAGCCTCAACGCTCCCTTTATCCGTCCATATAGCAAGATGAATATAAAAAAGTCTACATGACACAATCAGTTCCAACATCCAACCCCCAATACAAATTGGTGGTACTGTAGAATCATGGCGTCCCAGTCAACCGCACCAAACCGCACCTCGCCACCCGGCGAGGAGCAGGCAACCGCTACAGCTCCGGCTACAGCCATCGCTATAGGCCCCCTTACAGCCCCAGCAACACCAGCAGCCGCTGTCAACCCTATGGCCTTCACCCCCGTGGGCCGCCCATCCACCCCCCCATCCCAAACCCTGCCCACCACCCTACCAACACCATCCGCCCCGGCCTGTCGCAGGTACAGACTCCCCCAAACCCTCCTGGGCCACCCTTACCCAGCCCCCGAAACCCTCACCCAGATCCTCCCCCAAGCCCTCACCCAAACCTTCACCCAAGCTCCCACCCAGACCCCCGGAGCCCCATCATCATCATCATCATCATCATCATCATCATCATCATCATCATCATCAAAGCCACCACCCACCCGCCGCGCGCGAAGACACCGACCCCTCCTCCTCCCCGCACCCCCACCTAGACCGCCACGACCGCCACGACCGCCACGACCCCCGCGAACCCCCCGAACCCCACGATCCCCAGAGCCAACCGACCCCGAAATCCTCGCTCTCTCGCCCGAGATCCGCACCCTCCCCGCCAAATGCCCCTCCGGCAAGGGCCCCGACGCCGGCAGCCCGATCAGCTGCCTCTACAAGGACCCCGGGCGGTACATCTGCATGTCGCCGCTGGGCTGGGCCCGCCCCCACTGCCAGCGGGTGTTTTTGTCGCTGGTCTACCTCCGGCGGCATCACCGGGTGATGCACGGGCCCAAGACGCAGACCTGCGGGCGGTGCGGGCAGCATTTCTACGGGAAGTTCTCCTGGGACCTGCATCTTGTCCGGGTGCATGGGATTTCTTTGGGGGGGCCGGGGATTGGAGATCTGAAGGAGGATGGGGAAGGGGTAAAGGTAGAGGTTGAGGACCCGGTCATCAAAGTGGAGGAGGTGGAGGAGGAGGAGATGGGGCTGGATGGGGTGAGGATGGTGGTTGAAGAACCTGAACCAGAGATCAAAGTGGAGGAGTTGGAGGAGGTGGGGGAGGTAGAGCTTCAAGGTGTGCAGAAAGAGGAAGAAGATGTGGACACTAACAGGGTCCAGATTGAGGAACCAGAGATCAAAGAGATGGAGCTCGAGGAGGGAGAGATCCTGGAAGAAGAGATGGATCTTGAAGAAGATGGGGTTGTGATCACGGCTGAGCATGACGCGGCCCCGACTCCAAGGTTTTATAACCCGATCTACGGATTTTATCGCCCGACGTTCAGTGAGGAGACGCTGGACAAGGCCGAGGGTAAAGAGATCCAGCCGGCTTGGCCTTAGGCTTTGGCTTCGGCTGGGAGTCCTTCTCCACCGATCATGTTCCTCCTACTCTTTCTTCGTCAACAGCTTTAAGTTAATTAGGTATTATCATAACTCTACGAATATTCCATGAAAGCGTAACATTAATGTACTGACCAATACAAAACTGACTGGCGGAGTGACGCCTCGTGTAAAGATACGCTGCCAAAATGCTGTATCAAAGCAGCAATGCTAACAACACTTCCTCGAGAAAATAATCCCTAAGCAGGCAGAACCCCCTGCGGATTATGAAAAACATCCCCCGGATCCACCGCCGCCTTGATCTGCCCCAACCGCTCCAAGTTCCCACCCCAGTACGACCGCCGCGGATCCTCCAGCCTCGGATCCACATAACCCGGATATACCCCATCTCCAAGCCCCGGCGTATTATTCCGGATGATCTCATTCACGCCATCCAGAAAATCATACGTGGTCTGCGACACCTGGCCCAAGGTCACCGCATACGACTGCATCCAGAACAGGGTATCCCTGTGCGCGAACCCGGTCGCATCGTTGGGGACGTCGTTGATGGCGCCGCCCTCGAGATCGAAGATCACGAACCAGATCAACGAGCCCGTGCTCGCAGTGTCCAAGTACTCAAAGAGCTGCTGCACGCCATCCTCGGTGATCTGCGTGTCCTGCTGGAAGGCCAGACACCGCGCGTAGAAGTGCGCGGGGATGTCCCCCGTCAGATCCAAAATGCTCTGCTCGGCCCAGTGGGCGGTCAGGCCGAGCCAGTCGGTGAACACGATGGCGGAGGAGTTGCCGTCGGCGCCGGGGAAGCGGGCCGCCAGGCCCAGGGCGTCGTACTCGGCCTGCGAGCCGAAGAAGGTGCCGGAGATGACCACCGACCCCGCCAGGATGGTGATGACGCTGGCGAGCTTGCGCGTGAGGTCCTCCTCCGTGATGAACGTTTGCCAGTCGCTGAACAGCTGCGCGCGCGAGCTCGCGCTCTCCAGCAGGTTGAACGTGTAGGTGTATTGCACCGCCTCGGTCGGGGCCGCCTCGGTGCGCAGGACGAACTCCGTCACCACGCCGAAGCTGGCCCCCGCCCCCTTGATGGCGAACAGCAGGTCCGGGTTCTCGGTGTCCGACGCGCGCACGATGCTCCCGTTCGCCAGGACCACCTCCGCCGACAGCACGTGGTCCAGCTCCATCCCCCATTGCCGCGCCGTCGGTCCCAGCCCCCCAATGGTCGCGTGGCCCCCGATCCCGATCTGCGGCGACGTGCCGTGCGCCACCGCCCGGTTGCCCGCGGAGACCAGGTACGTGTCCAGTTCGCCGTTCAGCATGCCGGCGCCGACGGTGGCGCGCTGCGTGGTCGTGTCGTAGGCGAAGGATTTCATGTTCTTGAGGTCGACGACGATGGCGCCGTTCGTGCCGCCCAGTCCTTGGTTTGGTTAGTGTTGTCGCTTGTTAGGGGTAGGGGAGGGCAGGGAATACCGTAGTTGGCATAGCTGTGTCCTCCACTCTTGGCTTGCACCTTGTATCCCAGTTGGTTGGCGCACTGCACGATCCCGGCGACTTGCGTGCTGGAGGTCGGGAAGGTCACCGCAGCAGGAGTGACGGGGTAGTTGAGGTTGTAGACTTTCACAGCGAGGGTCTGGTACAGGAGATCGCCCTTGAAGGCGGCGAGCGTGCTGTCATTGTCGACGGCAGAGAGGATGCAAGACTGCAAACTGGTGGTGGCTGCCGCGCTTAGACCGAGAAGGCACAAGAGGCAGACCATGAGGGCTGGTGAGAAACCCATGTTGGTGGTGGTGGTTTGTTTGTTAGGGGTGAGACCCAAGGCAGCGCAGCGCACATTCCAGGGCGGAGGGGCCGCGAAGGGGTAAATAAATAAAAGCTGCGGGTGGTGGGATGGGGCGGCTCTGTCCCACTCAGTTCTTTGTCCAAGAAAAATGTGTCACTCGGCTGATCTTTCATTGCTTCTTCAGGAGGTCAGCAGAGAACTGACTCGACAGGGTTCCCGGAGAGGGGGAAATTTGTCACTTTTACGAGGGATCGCCAGCGATCGGCGGGGCCAGCAGATTAGGATTGGCCGTGCCTGGCGATCTATTGAATTCAAGGATCCACTCATCCAGGCCGGCCGCAATCAGCTTACCACGCATCGTACGGGAAGTCTGGTTGTAGCTTATCTACTGAAGACAGGTAGACACTAAGAAAAATCCAGCAGATAACTTATCCGTGGTGGGTCCCGTCAAGGTCTGATTGTGTCGGGAAACCGCTCCTGGTGCAAAACACTTACTCGAGGTTTACTGCTGTCTACCATGCACGATGCCATGTGCATCCGCGCGTATATATGGCCGGTCCAGTAGGGACGTATCTTTGCAGCCTATACTTGTCTTGCTTGGCTTACCGAAGTACGATGCCCTACAGAAGAAGACACTTTCGGAAGCCCCGGAACGGTGATGCGTTGCTCAAGAGTGACCCGGACCAGTATCTCTATCGGATTTTTTCACCACCGCTTAACCTCCTGTAAGCGTTGCGCACTCGAGTCGACTAATACATTATCACAAGACATATGACCACGGATAATCATGGGCAAGAGGGTAGATGACCATAATTGCTAATCCGAACTCCAGAACCATGGAACAGAATATCGTGCCGATATCACCCGGCCTGCTATCCAAGGAACATCCCGGTTGCACAACGCGGACCTGGACGGGACATACTACCTACTTCCTCCTCTAGGCTGCCATAAAGCAGCTCAATCGGAAAGCCTCAGCTGATGCACACCATCAACGCTACATCTAAGCCCCATTACTGTTGAAGCTGATCCTCCCCCGGGTAGAAGTCTATCTTTCCCCCCTCCTGAATCACCCCGGTACGATCCAGACACGTCCTTCCTCTAACAAACGGATCCAATGTCCAATACTGCTTGCGCCAGGCCGAAATAGCCTCTGTCCGCTGCACCGCCACGCTCTCCGGCTCCGCCGCACCCAGCCACTCCTCCGTCAACTCCAGCAGTTTAGAGGCCAGCTCCTCGCGCTCGGCCAGCAGCCGGTCGCGCGTGGCTGTTTCGGTCATGCGCTCGTTCTCGCCCGCTACGGGCTCCACGAACTCATACTCCCAGGCCTCCGGGCCGCCGAGCTCCTTGGGGATCATGTCCGGAACGAGGAACTGCTCCAGGTCGGCGACGGACCTGGTGAAGTGCACCTTGGAGACGATGATGGGGTCCATCCAGGATTTGATGAGTTTCCAGATTCCTACTTGCATCAGCCCAAGTGCTTTCTCAAAATAAGCCGCGAAGAAGGCGGGCCTCACCCGAGAAGATCCACGGCGCATTGTGGAACAGCATTGCCCCCAAATGCTCAGGGTAATTCTCCTGAAAGCAATCGATGACGAATCGCACGGGCGCATATTCCTATTCGCCGTTCAGTATAGTTTCCTACCGGTCATCTGTGGATGAGAAGGGATGAACTCACCATATTCGACAACGAAAACCCCGTCAGGTCGATTAAGACTGTCTACACACCGAACCCGTCAGCCCCCATTCCAAATGACACACTCTATGAATCCAGGGGAGAGGAGAACACACAGCCGTCTCGACGGGATCGACGAACGTCAAGCGCAACGCCTCAATCAAATGCAGAATGAACTTGGTCATGACCTCCTCGCTCTGTTGTCCGGGCTGGTGCAGCCGCGCGCGCACGAGGAGGACCGGCCGGCCCTGGCGATCCGTCCCGTGGACAAACCCCTTCCCCATGCGCAGTTGGGCCAAGTACGCCTGGCTGTCCGTCGCGGTGGTCTTCACGGTCGTCGCCCCGATGGCGCCGGGGATGGAGGGGGTCTGCGGCGGTTGCGTGGTGGCCTCGTACACGGCGTCCAGCTCGGTGGCGGCCAGGACCCGGGCGTCGATGCCCTGCGTGTGGCGGAAGTGGATCGAGGAGATGAGCATCGCAGTCGCGGCGGGGACGGACCATTTGCGGGCGCGCAGGAAGCGGAGGAGGAGGGTATCCGGGGAGTCGTGTCCGGCGAGACTGAGGAGGCCGGCGCAGAGGGAAGGGAGCGGGTGGTCAAGGAGAGTCTCGAGGATGGGTTGGACGGTCTTGAGTGGGGGTAGGTGGTGGGCTGCGAGGGCGGAGGTTAGGCCCGCGGCTGTTGGGGTGGTGGTGCTTTCGGCGGTGGTATCATCGTGGTTGTTGATGAGGTAGAGGATGATACTCCAGGTTTGACGGAGCTTGGTGGACTCGTCTGAGGTGAGGTTGTGGATGTAGCCGCTTGGTGGTTGGGTAGGGGGACGCATGGTGGGGTGAATTATGATGAAGGAGAAAGAGGGTGGAAGTTATCTATGAAGAAGAGGGGGGACCGGCCAACACAAACTGTGGACTAGCCCAAGACCCCGATCCCGATCGACCGGGTCCTGGTGGGTGATCTCAGAGGGCGGCACTGCACGGCCCGCGCTCCTCTGTGGGGAAGCCCAGAGTTGGAAATATCAGCTACAATTATGACAATGGCTAGCTTGATAATGAAGCTGGTGGGATTTGGAGAGCTTTCAGATAACTTTCACTAAGCTTTCACTGAGCTTTCACTTTCACAAAAAATTGTGTTTAGAAGTGAGGTGAAAGTGAAGCAGAAGTTGGTTAAAATAAAAAGAAGTCACAATAAAGAAGAATCTAAGATAGAATGAGTAAGAAAAGATACACGATGGTGAATTCAATACATGATTCTCTAACAAATAGACCGAGCGAACTGATTCAGAAGAACAATAGGAAATATCAGCCTATTTAAACCTAAATTCTTTGTTTATTAATCTCCTGATTAGGAAGCAAGGGTTAATGAGGAAAGGAATGTAGGGGTGGAATAGCATTTAGAATCATAGTGAGCTCCCACTATCAAGACACACAAACCGCACAACCCTTCACCTGCCCACCGACGTTCCTAAGATAGTAATCCCGCCGGACCAACAATAATCCGCGGCTCCTCCCGCCCACTCCTCCGCCTCCCGATCGCACCCGCAACCACCTCAAATCCAGTTAAGTTGTCACCACCAACCACCACCGCCAAATCAGAGACTTATACCCCACACACCCTCCCCCTGCAACATTGTATTGTATACAACCAAGAGATAAAGAAAAATGGGCTTCATCGACTTCCTCAAAGAGATCCTCCGCCCGGGGAACGGGATCGACTACCCCCGGAAGGGCGACATGGTCACCGTCCACTACCACGGGTATCTGCATGATCCGACGCGGTCGTGGGGAAGGGGAAGGCGGTGAGTTCTGTCTTGCTTTGCCTTGCTTCGTACATTCGCTACGGGCTATCGCCGCTTGTATATTAGACTACGTACCGTCGATACTTCTGCAGGAAGCAGGATCGCACTAACGAGATCAAACTCTGGGGAGCAGGTTCGACAGCAGCATCAAGCGCGGATATCCTTTCACTTTCCAGATCGGGATGGGGACGGTGATTAAAGGTGGGGCTGTTTCATCCCCACCTGGTGTATATCCACCGAAAGTTTTGAAGAAGCTGATTTCAGGACTATAGGCTGGGAGGTCGGGATTCTTGGGATGAGTCTGGGAGAGAAAGCGCTGCTGACATTCGGACCGTATGTTTCCCTCTTCCTTTGGTACGGGCTGGGTGTGCTGATGATAAGAACAGGCACTATGGGTACGGGGAAAAGTACGCATCGGAATCTTGACTAGGCCGCCGAAAGATGGATGCTAATGTAGACGACCAGGGGTGCTCCGCCATTCATCCCCGGGAATGCGAATCTGGTCTTGTAAGTTTCTCCTCGAGTCGGGGTGGACGATGCTAATCCTGTAGCACGGTGGAATTGTTAGCGATTAATGGGCGGGGCCTGGATTCCGGCAGTGATTCAGAGTGAACACGGCCCTTGTAGGTTCAGACGTCTGTATGATATGTTGGCTTGAACAGTCGAAGGAAAGGTCTATTGTCTCGTATACATGACCATGCACATTCGTAATATACACCTGGAAAAACTAATAATACAGCTTCACCAGACTCGGCGTCACGACATCCCACGAGGTAAACGAGCAGTGACCATACGGCTCATCCCCATCCGTTCTTTCCGCTGCCCACGGATACTCTGGGGTCGGCATCGTCACCCGTGTCTCCGCCTTGCGCGGAATCTCCCCCCACATGACCGGTTTACCCGCCGCCATATCGTCCCCCTCTGGCGGATGGCACGCTGCACTGATCGCTGCGCTACAGTGTGTTGCCAGCGGCATATGGGACTTGAACCGCCGCGCACCCAGCGAGACAAGTAGCCCCAGAGCCAGGATTCCCACCCACATGGTGATGAACATTGCCATGGGAGAATAACAGCACCCCCGCGACGAGTTCCCCTCGTCCTCATCGCCGTACACGTCGTATGCCTTGATGTTGACAAAGAAGATACTCTGCGAGAGAAGCCAATGCAGCGTCGCGGATAGAATCATCAGCGGAAGGCTGTATCGGTATCGGAGGCTGAGGTAGTAGGATGACTGCTGCTGGCCGCGGGGCCAAGAGACGCGCAGTGGCCGCCGGTGCAGTGCGTACTGGTCCCATTCCTCGGCAACAAGCATGCACGTCAGAAGACTATTGGAAAGGAAGTAGAGGATGGAGAGGATTATCTGGGGCGTGTTGGCGAGAAGGACGAGGGCGATCATGTTCGAGGAAATATACTGGATCATGGTGGTGGCGCTGGTCTGCGCGAAGCCGAGACTCATGGCCGTGCTGAAGCCTTCGGTTTGGCTGATGGCGTAAGTGGTTAGCCAGATGGCTGTGACTATGCAAGCGATAAAGCTAATGTGGGTTAGTTCTTGCAGCGAATCTGTTGAGGTCGAGCGGAAAGGGCCCTACAAGAGAAGAACCAGCGTCCAACGTTGCCAGCTGACCGCCTGGTACCATCTTTTACGCAGGGGGAGAATGCTGGGGTAGACTTTGGTGTCTTTTGTGGTAATCGTCGACGAGAGATTGTCCAGCGAGTGTGAGGTTGGGCTCGGAGCTCTTCGTTGTAGCGTGTATCCTTTCCATGAACCGATAACAATGCCAGGGAGGGTCCATGCTTGAGGCCCCCGAGTCATTTGCGAGCGGGAGAGCAGACATCGGCCACGGGTAGTCGGATCGGGCCGGGTGAGAAATGAGGCCAGCGCATCACCTACTCTTAACATGAGGTCCGTGCGCTTGACCCGGGCAGTCAGCAGCATACAGACGACTTTGATGATGTTGCATACAATGACGACAATCGCAATTGGGGGACTGAAGAACAGCTGACAACGCTGCTCCTCCTCCTTAATCAGGCAGTGTGATACAGGGACCTCTCGCACGCCTGTCTGATCGATGGTATAGAAATCAGACATGGACCCGGTACCTAGCAGCTCAAAAGTCACAGCCGCTGCCCAGGAGCTGTTCTTCCAGTGAGAAGGGGTGTCCAAGTACACGCGCAGAGCTCCGTAGGACGGATTGTAGGCATAGTTGTACTCCGCAAGGGTGTACAAGTCAGCACTCAGGCTAGCATTACCGCTCAGGACCATGTCTTCGTAGGCAGGCCCCACAAGATTGATATAAGAGACATTCCCATCTAGGGGATCAGGAACCGAATAGTTCCAGATGCGATAACTCCAGTACTCGCTGGTCAGCGTCAAATTGCTTGCATTGGGAGGCGGATTGCCATCCAAACCCTGCATGATCTCATACACCGATGCATATCTCTCAAAACCTCCAAGCTGAAGACTGCTAGTGTTGTGAAAGTGTTGTCGACCTGCGACATAAATCAGTGTACCATACTCCGTATTGTACTCGACATTGTATTTGGTGGTGCAATCCTTCGCCGTCGCATTGACAAAGGTCCCGTTGAAAATCTGCATTCGAACGACATCTGCCTCGGACCCAACCTCAGACAGAAACGAGTCACGACTGGTAGTGTCGTTGCCAATCAAAGTCTCAGTCGGCGACAGATCATCTGGTATCATAAAAATTCCGTAGTCGAGGGTCGAAATCGATGAGAAGATGACGGAGTTGTAAATCATATGGATTGGCGTCGAGCTGACCATAAGCAGCAGCCATAAGATCTTGCGGCGTCGGTCCATAACCGCAAAGTTGCGAAAGCTGAAAGTGCCGACGTCGAGCCATCGCGACTTAGCATGAGCCCGATCGATGTCTGTCCGGGATGGTGCCCCCAGGCATTGCATCACGTAGTTGCTAGCCCCGAGAAGAATCGTGCTGAATACGTTGATGATCACGTGTAGCCCTGTCGCCCAATGGCTAGAGCGCGAGCACTGTCCACTATACAACTCCGCCATCTGGAATTGACCTCGATTTGTTTTCCATTGGCCACGGTATGCAATGACTGTTGCTACAAGCAGCATGATGATGTTGACGGCTAGGATAGTGCCTGTAATCCAGGTACATATCAGCGCGCCTCTAATCCACTCACTCCCTTCCTCGGTCTTTCCCAGCAGTTTGAATCGAGATGAGAGGTCTGCCCATCGTCCTTTTTTGCCCTGGGTCTCATCGGGAATGCTCGAATAGCGAAACTGCTCGCGCCAAGCAGATGGCGGGCGGGACCCCTCCACGGTCACGTGTACCGGATCGCTGTCTACACCCATCGTGTTGGGATCCAAGGCATTGGAGAGGCTTTTTCGACGCGTAGCACGCTGTAAGGGAAACAGAAACAACGAGCGGCGAAGAAAATTTGGGAGCCCACATATTGGTAGCCAGGGGTTTTTAGACCCTGCGGCCGGGTCCGTTAGTACGCCTTCTAAATAAGGGGACTGGGTCAGAGCGGAAAGTGATTGCTTCAGCCTCGTGGTTAACACCACTTAGCGTCTGACTAGCAGGCCATCGCTCCACTTGGCGTGCTAGCACCGCAAAGTGGTTGAGACAAACCCTTTCCTTCTATCAGCGCTGGACCGCAGTCAGGCTGTAGATGGCTTGGCAGTGGCAGCAGGATTTTTTCACTGGTCCATGGGTCCCAGAACGGAGATCCTTCATCATGATGTGGTCAATGGCACCCGATCGGCACTTGAAGGATGAGGATTAAATGAATACGAGAGGCGTGGCTTCGTCGGCGGCTCCTTCGCCACCAACGCCGTTATCTTTGGACGTGGGATGCCTGTACCTGTCAAATCGTCTTCAAGAAGCGAGAGCATCGCCCCATATGTGAAATTGGGCGGATGACGCACGGAAAGGCCGTTCCTGCGCGTCTGACAGGGTACAGTATAATATCAAGCTCAATTAAGGTCAAGCTGTTGTCTCAGATCGATTGTGAAATCGAATTGCCTGCGATCCAAGCAGTCTCCATCGATTCGAATCCTTTCATTTGTGCTAAGTAAGGCGCAGCATCACGGCGGAAGGATGCTCAATTTATATGATAGCTCCTCTCATACTCAAAAATGGGCTTTCTCTGATGGACTCGCGATGATGTCGACGGATGCATGTTTTTGATTTGCTGATTTGCCCCGTGCAGGAATTCCTTTCATCTCGGCCATACGCATTGCGCGGTAGGTTCATATGATTTGCTCATGGTTGATCACAATTAGCGTGCGCACCAGAGCATCATCTAGCTCTTCGAAAGACAGACAAAGTGTATCATCAGGGAGCGCGGCCATCGCTTGAGAATAGACCTACGTAGCGCAGTCAGTGCACTGCCCCACATCACTACCCCGGACAAGACACCTACCTGGAAGAGGCTCGATCTATCTCGTCTTGAATTATTCCGTACGATCGTTTTCGAAACGGCAGATGAAGCCTTGTCCTGGTCCTCTGCTGTTCTGGGTTGGTTCCGTCGCTGATCACCAGTCCATGCCACCGGCAACTTCGAGTCTCTGCAATGACTTATGACGGTTGCATAGACAAGAGAACCGAATAAGGAAGAAAAGAGGATGACTAAATCCTAGCGGTGGGTGTAAATTTGTAATATTATAGAGTGTGGCAGTAACGACTCATCTAGTCAGATTTGCTGGTCGTCCAGTCCGCGGTCGCAAATCCCTAAATTCTGCACAGTAGATTTCTTTACCACCTCAGACGACTCGAGCGCCAGGCATCGACAGTAAGAAACTAGTTCTGTGTGTAGACCTGCACTGGAACAAAAAGTCGGTCTTTCGGGAAGGGCTGAAGCGGTCGTATTGCAAGTTAATCGCTTTGCAACGGTACAGTACCCTCAAATATTGTAAAACGAGACTAGTCTTACAAAACAATATCGGTAAGTTTGAGCTTCGAATTGACTAAGAGTCAAAGCTAACAATGCATCCGCGCAGCATTGCAGGCTTGTGCTTGCGCAGCCCGGCAAGTTGATTTCAGGATGTAAGCCTTGCGTTACGCCCGGCGTGTTCCTTCCACGTGAAGTCCGCGGACTTGGATTCGGTCTTTTTCAATGCTATCGTTCAACGATCGAACCTCTGGAATGCAGAGCTTGGACATATAGTCAAGAGGCTGATTTACTGACCGATGTTTTCTTTCGGCGTAGGTCCGGGTACGCGGTCGGAACGTAATCCATCGTGCACAAGCAGAACTCTCAGCAGGGGAACGCTTGATCAAGGTGCCAGGATACTCACCGGCTCTGCTCTGCCCACTCAGTAGACCCCAACTGGGAGCTGGACCCGCCCGTGTAGACGGGCCTAAGACTGATGTACGCAGTCGAGCATCAGCAGGGGTTTCGCACGTGATCGGATCCCGACCGCGCGATGGAACCTGTCGCATTGGTACGCAAGACGCCCCCGCGATTCATCGTGGAGGTGACAGCGCATTATCGCCTATGAGGGGTAACTTTCTGTGGCGCAATCCTTCCCGTAAGCATCGGCTCATTATGCGAACGAACCATGGGAGTTGTGTTGACATTTGCACGGACTGGTAACTGGAACCGGCGGGAGGATGCGATCGGAGGGTCCTCGGCTCGCCCCGCGACTCTGGTAAAGTGAAACCGGACGCGGCGTTGGCGTTAGCGATTGCGATATGCTTCATGCATCATGGCGGATAAAGGATGCCCAAGATCGTTCAGATTCCAAAGTGAAAGTGCCGCTTGTCATGGAATCATAATTTCCGGGTTCGAGATTCTCAATGAAACCAAAGATGGATGTTTTGGTTGATGCGGAGAAATGAGGGGAAGAGATGGGGGGGGGATTCACCACTGCTTAGGTACAGTACAAACGGAAAGTACTGCACAAAAGGCCGCGAGTGTTTGCGCAGTCGACTATCTACACCTCTCGTCCATATTCATATTCGCTCCAGCGCAGCTGCATATGGCACAGCAACGGTGCCATTTACGCGTCACAATTTCTTCGATGTCGAACTTGCAGTCATTCAGTAGCGCAGACGATCATGAAGCACACTAGGAATGTTCTCCAAGGGTCCTGTTCACCCGTACCTAGTCGAGTTACTAACCTCCAAGTTACGCACATTGCAACCTACTATCTCCAGCAGGCTAGACTTCAGATATTAAAGAACAATTCTCAACCACAGCAATCATATTGCAGCAACACTAAGCTCAATTTTCAGAGGCAAGCCCCTAACACAATCAACAAAGCACAATCTCAATCAGTGACAGCATTCGCTCATTCTCGTCTTCATTTCCAGTGATCTCATCCCGTTGAAGCCCAGGCGTCCGATATCCCAAAGGACCTCCAACCACCCGGACCGCTTTCTCGCATCAGGCCCGCAAGCGTCCCGTTTAAACATACTCGACGGTGACGGAGCTGCTGGTGGTCGAGACGGAGGTGAGGACCTTGTTGTTCTGCTCGATGTCGATGATGGTGGCGCCGGAGGGACCAACGCTGGAGCCGCTCTTGGTGGCGGAGGCGCTGGAGAAGGTGACAGTGCCGAAGTCGGCGAAGGGGACGAGGGAGTCGTCCTCCTCGAAGTCCTCGACGATCCACTCCGCGTTGTACCTGTGACATGGCATTAGTGATCACGACTTCTATATAGACGAGAAAAGAGAGATTAAATTAGGAAACATACTCGCAGAGATCGCCATCAACACCACCGCTGAAGGTGTGGGTGACGGTGGTGCCCTTGGTGACGTTCTCGACGGTGGCGGTACCGGCGGTCTTGCTGGTGGCGTCGACGGTGACCTTGACGACGTCGCCGGCGGAGAAGCTGATACCGCTGAAGTCGTAGGCGTAGTCGGGGTACCACTCGTACCAGGCGTCGTAGCTCACGGTGCTGCCTTCGATACAGAAGTCGAGACCAGTCTGCAGGATGGCGGTGTCGCAGGTGTCACCGTCGATACCAACCCAGGCGGAGGCACAGTACTGCTCGCGGCTGGAGGCACCGGAGGGGAGAGAGGGAGTGGGGACGGTGAACTCGGCGGTGACGGCAGTGTAGCCGGTGCCGATGAGCACGGCGCCGGCCCAGTTGGACGAGTACTCAGTGTTCTTGGAACCGGTCAGGTTGATGGCCTCGCTGGTGCCGGGCTTGAGAGGGGGGTTGCTTTTGCGGCCGGTGCCACGCTTGGCAGCGCGAGCAGCTGCGCGCTTCTCGGTGAGAGGAGCAGCAATGGCAGCGGTGGCCAACAGGCCAGCGGTCAAGAGAGCAGAGGTCTTCATTTTGTCCGAGTTGTTGGGATGATGAGCTTGAGAGAAGAGCGGGAGTCAGCGAGATTGAGCTTTGAAGATGGAGGATGCTTGCTGATGGCGAAAGAAAAGATGAGCTCGAGGGGATTGAAGCTATCTTTATATCTTTCTTTTGCCCCCTGGCCGCGTATCATCAGGTCTAGCCAAGACACTTGCAGACAGGACTCCGACGTATCTCGCTGCAAAGCAATTTGGAGGTGATAAGGCCATACAGGCCGAAAGGACGCGCACGTTCCTATCACAAGGCCAGCACTGAGATTGATGCAGATAGTGGCTGACGAGCCAAGACGCTTAAGCAACGGGTTAATGAGGGCTTAATCACTCCTCCCGCTTGGCCTATGCTTGGTGGTGGTGGTAAACATTGGCATCCTCGGCGAAAGCTTCAGTCGACTCAACCCTGTGGAATAGAGAGTCCGTTCCTCCCAGGGACCGAATGAGACGGCAATTCAAGCTCATAATGTGCGAACACGATCGTCCTACTACTGTGTAGAGCTCAGAGGGTAGATCTGACTAGGAGATCAAACGCTTCAGACGATCTCCATCTCCTGACTATCAGTTGAGTTACTCCGCTTTCCCCTTACCAGGCCGCCGATTAGCCTAAGTACGCTAGTCTGCAACAGGAAGTCCAATGCTCTGATCAGTCTTTACATCTGCAACCTCGGCCTCATGATAAGACAGGGTCTGCCCATTGCTCTCGGAGCTAATACCTGGTTGCTTGATGACTGACCCTGTTGGGGTAGGTTGGTGCGCTGATTGATGGGGAATATCCACAAATACTACGGCGTAGTATCCCGTGTCCTCCTAGCAAGGCCTATCGCCCCTCACATACATTCTATCTTTCCCAAAGACTGATAACCTTGACATTTAGGTTATGCACCCCTCGTTCTGCCCGCACCTGCAGAATCATCTCCAGCCGCCGGTGCTCAGGGCGGGCCTCCGATGGAGGGCGCATGAAGACAATTCTCCCATTGGACTGGCGGCCCGTGTCTGACATTGCCTCGGAAAAATCGCAGTCCTTGCACTCTCGAGATAGCCCTTCCCCTATTGCTGTGAAGAAATTCAGAATGGGAGCTACGCAGTGAACGGCACTATAGCCAGCAGGCCGAAGTCGGGGACTAACCCAGGGCAGGCCAAAACCCCGCGGCCGGACGACCGACGGGATCACCGCCATCCTTGCCGCCCGCCCCGCTCTTCCCCCTCCATCATCCACCTCTCCTCAGTCGGCCTCGCTGCTTGATTGTCCAAGAATGGCTGTCGCCAAGAAACGATCTTCGTCACATCGCAGTCCTTATCAGCGCTGACCTTCGACGTTCATATAACCTAATTGCACCTGAGATTGGAGTCCTACAGGCCGGGCTGGTTGGGGATAGTGGCAGGTACTCGCCTGCTTCAACGCAGGTTGTTGGGTAGAGCATACTATCTGGACGCCTGTTCTTTAGCGTGCGCATATCATTGTAAGCTCTTGACTGACCGTGGTGTGGTACGTTACAGAAAATATATACACTCTGATCTTACAATTGTTTTGGGCGGCAAACAATCAGATACCACTCATCAATCCTGCCAGCTAGTAAAGCATTGCGTAAGTGGGCGACAACTAAAATTGGCCTCGATACCACTTCGCTTAGTCTAATCCCTGTTCACCGATTTAGTCGCGTTGGAGCTAACACAGGTTCTGAGTTGTTCGTCGCTCGTTGCTCTGTAGACGCCGCTCAATCTAGCGCCCTGCCGATGACGTAGCTGGCGCATGGCTCGGGGATAGATGGTAGTTCCACGCCTTCAGGACCGAGTCGGTCTTCATCGAAACAACAACCCTCCGCTCCGAGCAGGGCCAACTCAACCACGGGTGGTATTGAATAGTTCAATGGCCGGTTGAGACACGGTGTCTACCCTCTTTAGCTGGCTCGATTTACATTTCGACGAAAATACTTCGAATACTTTAGAGAATTGTAGTTATTTTTACACTCGGATCTTTACACTTGGTTAAGGAACCCACAAAAAAACTCTCCTTTTATATAGACACAGTTGAGCATCCTAGGCTTTCTGTATCTTAACCGACCATCACTGAGTAAAGTTCTTAGCAAGGCTTAACTTAACTATCCTGGGAAAGTAAAAGGTATTCATTGGTCGCTAAAGGCAGAGGTTCGGCTAACCTGAACTCGCCTCGGAGATAGCCTTACACAACGGAGCTAGCTGTTAACTCATAAAATGGAGGAAATACCTGACCCATGACACCCACTATCATAGCCCTTCATTGCAAAACTTCCTTGGGAGCCAATTTCGTCTTGCTTCTAGGTTAGCGTAGACCAAGCAGCAAATTCATGCCCCAACAGGACTCTCCCGCAGCAAAGCCGCGTTAAAACAGCAGGTCAAAGTTAAACTTACCCCCCGGCCCTGGAAGTATGCGATGTATCATTACATACGTAAGTTGTTCTAGAATGTCTGCAAAATCCCGTACTCTTGGCAGATCTGGAATCTTCTGTTCTACATGCATTCTGTACGGTATGATGCAGGACCCGTATGATGCAATATCTTGCAGTAAGCAGTCATACCCGATATATAACCCAGTTTGAACATGTTGTCTGAGCGGTCTTGCATACCTGGATTGGAGATAAGGGCCCGTAGCGACTTTTCATGACCGTCTCCAGTTCACCTGTACCCCTTTCTCTATAGGTAAGATACAACGCTCTTCCGCGAATACTCATCCTAAGCTACTCCAGTATAATAATACCTGCAGATCTCGTGTTAACATATCAGCTCCACTGTTTACTACATTCTGTGAGGTCCCTATTGATTATAACAATGCCCCCGGTTCATTCTAATCTTCTGCATGGCCAGCTACACTACCACTCCGTCAACGTTTATAGTTTCCTCGAGAATTGTCAATTAAACGAGTATATTCCGAGAGTCCCCCCTAGAAAGAGTTTTCTCGTACTTGTATGCAAATATTCAAGCTATAGGTTCAAGATATTAGCCCTCGATCACTAAGTGAATTTTCAAGCAAGTTGTAAATTGGCTGGCCAAGCAGAAGGAACCTATGTGATGATCACGTGACACGTCGATGAGTTGACCATGATCCACCTCGACTGCTGCAGGCAGTCCAACTTTCGAGTAGTGACTTGCAGACTGTATTGAGACTTACCTTGATTTTAGTCATTCTATTGGTCGTGTAAGTTGCCAAACTCAGAAGGTACAGTCTCTACTAAGAGTGTACTGTAAGCACTTGGGGAGCATCGGGATATAAATATATCATATGGACCCATCAAAATCATCATCCCAGAATCAACTCCAACCACCGAACCATAGGACAACAAAAGTACCCAAAGTTTCATGAAGCCCAGGGATGGAAGATATGAATGATAACTTGAGTTCTCGTTATTTGGTTAGCTGGTTGAACCAGCTGAGATCTGAAGATGGGCAACTCGCTTTTGGTGAATTGCCTCAAATCACATGACCTAACACCTAGGAACGCCGACCAAAAGTAGAACACGCAAAGACTCATAGAATAACGAATGCTTTTGATTTCAGTCCCTAGGCCATCTTGAAATGGAATAAAGAACAGAGCGGGCGACGGAGAACCGATACACCCGAGTCGTACTGCTTGCTACCTGCAAGGCCCACCAGAATTGAAGGAGAGACGTGTCTATTTAACCTCTATAACTCTACACAACACCCGAAACACCAGACGAGAACCCTCCCCCGAGACCACTTCCCCGAGCTTACTTCCCCTTTTTCCCCTCCAGATCCACGGGAAACTTCTCCCGAATCGTCTTGCCATACCGATTAAACAGAATGGGCACCGGCACAAACGCCAACGCAATGAACCCGAGCAGCGAATTGCCCCACCCCAGCCCGAGGGCATCGAACATGGCCGGGCCCGCGAGGGGCAGGAGGGCGCCGACGAGCGACCGCGTGGCCGTGAGGGCCGCGTTGGCCGACGCCGCGTACGCCGGGTAGCAGTCGATGACGTAGGTCTGGATGGGCATGTAGATGCCCATCATGCCGATCCCGAAGGGGGCCATGCCGATGATCGGCACGATCCAGTGCACTTTGTACTTGGCGGACCAGCCGTACCAGAAGAAGCTGATGGGCAGGATACAGCTGAAGAAGATCATGGTCACCAGCCGCATCTCGGGCTCGAACTTGCCCTCGTTGCGCGCGGTCAGCTTGGCGACGATGCGGTCGCTCGAGAAGGCGATCAGGGCTAGTCCCGTCATGAAGCCGATGCCGATCCCCAAGTAGGCGAGTCCCGAAATGCCCGTCGACCAGCCGTAGTCCTCCTGGAAGACGGAGGAGATGGTCGTGAAGAAGAGGTAGAGCAGGCCGTAGACGAAGGCCATGTAGACGGATAGTAGTAGGACGATGGGGGACTTGAAGAGGAGGAGGAAGGGGCGGCTGAGGCCGAGCTTCAGGGCCTCGCTGAGACGGGGCCCGCCTTGGTTGGTGGTGGTTTTGTCGTACGCGCTGCGCAGGTCGCTCCGGTTGAGTTGCTTGGCGAGCTTCTCGGTCTTCCATCGGATCAGGACAGGGGCGTAGGTCTCCCGGTTGAGAACTTCGATACCTGCGGAGATGCACCCGCCGGCGATCAGCAGGATCCAGAACACCCAGCGCCAGCCGATGGTTTCGCCGACGAAGCCGCCGGCGATGGGCCCGGCAACGGGGCCGATCAAGGGGCCGAGGGCCCAGATGGAGGTGGCCATGCCACGTTGTTCAGTGGGGAAGAGGTCGGCGATAACGCCGGCGCCGAGCGTGAGACTGCCGACACCGCCCATACCGGCAAGAAGGCGGAAGACAATCAGAGCGGAGATGTTGGGTGCGAGGGCGCAGCCGATCTGCCATACCACGAAGAACCAGTTGGCGCAGCTGAGCACGATACGACGACCGTAGATCTCACTGAGAGGGGCGAGGAAAAGGGGTCCAATCTAGCGCAAGGTATTATAATTAGATTAGCTATGAAGGATAAGTCACCGGGTAAAACGTACCGTATATCCCAGCAAAAAGATAGTAACACTAAATGACAGAAGGTATTCGTTGGACACCCCAAAGTCTTTGCCCACGTAGCCCACCGCCGGAGAGAACATACTCGATGCGAGGGGTGAAATAAAGGTGATGGAGCTGATCAGGGCGAGCAAGCCCCATTTGCGCCCACTGGCGAAATTCTGTGGATTGTGAGGATCATCCTGCCCATCCCATCCCACAATGCCTTGACTGAGGTCGGTTTCGGGAAATAGTGGACGTGTTGGTGTAGCGGTAGCCGGAGCAGTTGTATCTTCTGTTAGGGTGGGTTGGTCGTTGGATGTGCCCGAGTATGCAGATTTCTCTGAGAAGCGCCGTTGGCTTTCCACGTCCTCCATTGTCCGCCTAGTGAGTTTCCGCCAATTGGCGAATTAGTCTTGCTAAATATTAGAGTCTAGAAAGAGGACGATCGCTGTTGGCGATGAAGAAAAGGTTAACGAGCGGATAAAGTGAGGTGATGTAGACGAGACTACAACGGTATTAAAATATATACTAGAAAGAGAAATGTTGGTGAGAACAGAAACAAAGACTGCAAAATGCAAGGTAAGGGCGATGCTTGTAGATTATAAATGGGGCTGTTGACGATGGGATGGGGGCTAAAGGTTGCTGGCAGCATAAAAGTATGCATAAACCAGGATGCTCTCGGCGGTTTCGGCTGCATATTGACCTTATGCATAGGCACAAGTTATTGTGCTGAAGGTCACAGCGGACACTCTTGAAGGGTGATTGGTTTGACTGGGCGAAGGATTGCAAAATCGAAGCAAGCCAGCAGTAGAGCGGGGATAGTCGTTAAGCGTCAAGTCTCTTGAGCCGATGAATTCTGGTTTGAGGGCAGTCCCGGGGAGGAAGCGCTGAATCAGTGCTAGGATTGTGGCCCATGGTCTGGGCAGCTTCAATTTGGAACTTATAATTGAACCCGGTTCACACTGAGTCAGTGGCCCACTTTCGGCACTTGATTTGACCAATCCAATTTGTCGCGCTGCTCTTGTGTTGTGGCCTGGCCACCGAACGTTTCTCGTGTTGCTGAAGTTGATCTCTTCCCAGCATGGAAGCAAGATGCATTAGCTGGAAAATGTCCAACCAACCCTGCAAAGTGTTTGTTTATGCTTGCTGAAAATGATGACAGAAATCGGCACGATATCCGATCGCACGTGGATGGAGCCGGCTGGTGCGACAGCCCCCTTGCTTAGAACCTACACATGTGCTAATTTACATGGTTCTCAAGATGAGTCTTTCGATGATTGCACGATGGTTCAAAATAGACATTTCTTCACGTAAATCTCTTACCATCGACTCGTATTTTTACAACAACCGGCTTGTGTTGGAGGCATCGAGTGTTGACTCAGCGGGCAGCCTTGGGCATCCCCGCTCTCACCACGCGGCGACCCCTGTCAACAGGCGTCACAAGACAACCACCCCACTTTACTTGGCACAGAGAGCCTTCCGGACATCCTTCAACCATGCAACCTGGGACTTTGTTCTGCTTACCTATACAGTATGCTGCCGCATTCATGGCTACCCCTCACGGCACTACTTCCGTCCTCAAATCGGCCGGCCAAACCGGTGAATCCACTCCGTTACCCCGCGTCCCCACATTATACCCAAGCTCCACGGCCACCCCCTCGAACTGTGCAACGGGCTTCACTACCCTGAAACTCGCGTCAATCGCACCTGAGTGACGAGTCTCAAGGAACTCCGGGCGGAACAGTGTCTGTGCGTCGTGCTGGTGCAGCAGCTTCATCATCTCCGGCAGTAGGTAAGGCATGGCGTGGTAGTGGCGGAAGACGGGCGAGCCGTGGCGCGTCCACAGCTCGGACCAGACCTCCTGGTCGTAGGTGCCGCACGAGCGGACCAGCCATTGCGAGTAGTAGTTGAGAGAGACCTGTACATGATACAACTGATTAGCTGGAGCTCTTCCAGTGGGAAAGTGCGGGGAAAGTGCCCTACATTAATACCATAGCTGCCTCCGTGGTCTGCTCTTCTCACCAGTGCTTCAAGGATGGCGGCCACTCCCGCAACGCCAGTACTGGATGGCATCCACAGCTGTCAGCTGAATACAGCTAGAACTTAAGGCCGACCGAGCGAACTCACCAATAATCCGAGTTCGGGAAGACTGGAGTTACAGGTTCATCCAAGCCCATCGCCTGCCCAAAGCTCATCGATACACCACAACACTATTGCAAGATTGCAAGTTAGCCGAGTGAGAGAAAGAAGTATTGGGTAGGTGTACCCACCGCATCACTGATTTGCTGCCACCCACTCCGGTGGCTCCAAGGCCCATGCCACCCATAACAGTTCTCGCGCACATGTAGGATCCCATACGATCGATCTTTCACGAGATCGAAAACTTCCCGCCGACTGAACCCCAGACGGTCCATCACGCCGGGCCGATACCCGTCCACGACCACGTCCGCCTCGCGGATCAACTGCCGCAGTCGCTCCCGGTCAGCCTCCTCCTTCAGGTGGAGTGAGCAGTTCCATTTCCCCCAGTTGAGGTCGGGGTGCAGCACCGACATATCGGTGATGTGAGGCGAGGTGACCCGCATGACGCTCGCGCCAAGCTCGGCCAACCCCCGGGTAATGGAGGGGGCGGCAATCACTCGAGTCAGATCTACAACCTTGAGGCCGGCGAGCGGTCGCTTGGGTGATGAGGGCAGGCCGGGCTGCTCAGGCCACCAGGACGGGGGCTGGGCGGCGTGCACATCCTTCTCGATCTCATATAATCCCACGTGGCTGTTTTGGCGACCGTGCTCCGAGGCGAAATACTCGTCCGAGGTCCATGCGATCGTGCCGGCCTGGCGGGATTGTTCGTTCATTAGGTGGTCCAGCGTGGTGGAGTCGTGCTGGGAGACTGCTCCTTGGATGCGCTCGACGGCTGACAGGTAGGTATCTTTTGCGGGTCCCTCGAGGGGAAGGCCCAGCGCTGTCAAGGTTGGCTCGGGGTTCATGCTGCCTGCATGCTGTGTCAATTCGATGACTCTCCCTGTTTATTGCAAAGGACTTTAAAAGGACGCCACCTACCATGCACATGGTAGAATCGACCATCCTGGGTCTTGTAGATATTGGTCGCGAGACGCCGATGATCGCCATCGGTCGCGCGATGTTTGTCCTGCTCGGGAAACAGCTGAGCAATGCTGGAGCCGAAGAGGTTGATCGGGTTTGGCTTGCCATCGGAATCAACTATCTGTGCAATTAACGGACTCATAAAATACAGCGACGCATGGTCTCTTCGATAACACAAATCGTCAGCTAGATGCAGAGCCTGCGTTTCAGCTAGGTGTGAACTCACGTGTTGATGGTGACTCCGACCGGGTCAACCTGGTACTTTCGTGTCATCAAGTAATTGACCATGGTCGCTTCCAATGCCTTCAGCGCGGAGATACTCTCTGCAAATCTCCAATTGATGGGGATGCTAGGCTGTGCGGAGCCCTCGAACTGCACATATTCAGCTAGCTTCGGCAGCTCCGGGGGAAGATGGCTGAAAAGTGGATTTTTCAGGATGCCAGTCTCGAAGACTTGCTTCGATTCTTGGGGGACCGAGTATGTGAATGCTGATGGCATTTTGCTTATTGGGGTTTTCTGTTAAAGCAAGTATATCGGTCGGCAACTGGAAATTCGAAAACAACACACCGGGGAGATCGACGCGGTTTATGAAGGGGAACCTTACGCTTATCATGCTTGACCTCCACATGAGCCCATTCTACGACAAAACAGCATCACCCTTGTCTCGACCCCACTTTTTCACATCAACCTGCTTGGTTGCACAGCATACGATGGTTGCGTGGTGGGTGCAGCGGCCTAGCGGTCAGTCTCCGGTCGGCGGACACGCAACCCCTCAGGACTGATCGGCAGTGTGACCCACTGCGGTTATGATGGGGTTGCGTGGATAGTTTTGTGCTTATGCAGACTTAGCTAGACATTATTTGCGAACAAGGCATAGTATCACTCGTCCAAGGAGGTCATAATAAGGTTGGTGGCAACCGTCTATATTGCAGGTCGAGATCTTGACCCCAGCTCTATCCACACTACTTTAAAACTGCGCAGAAACGGGCAAAGGCCTGGTTAAAGTATACGCAAGGTAAAATTTCGGAGACTATTGAACGTGATAAATCTCTTAGATAATATTTTTCTTCACAGCAAGACAGTTTAAAATCAATGAAATGCAAGTACAAGATAGAAAAGGGATGTTCCATCCGGCGATGTCGGACCGACCACCTAGAGCTCGATCATCCCAGAAGCCTTGCGCTCTTCCCAGCGGTTGAGGATATCCTGGATGCTCAAATCAATCGTCAGCTCAGCCTCATCCTCGCCACTATTCACATTCAGTGACAACTCGAACGTCCAGCCGCCGGGTGGCGTGAGCTGCACGAACTGCACCCGAAACTGCCGGGGCAGGTCTTTCTGAAACTTAGCGCCATAGTCCTGCGCCTTGCGCAGGACAGCCACCACATCCGGAGAGAAGAAAACCTCCTCGAGGAGGCAGTGCTCAGTCTTTTGCAACATATCTGCGGGCGTGGTAGTGTCTTCCTCCTCACCGAGGTCCATCACATGGTCGGCCACTTGTTCCAGCTTGGGCAGGAGGGCGCGAACGTCTGGCGCGAGGTCATCGACAGCGCGCTGGAGGAGACCCACCGTGAGCTCAAGATCGTTGAGGTCCTCCACCGTGGCCTCTATGAACTCTTCCACCAGAATTGCGGCGAGCCCCTTGCCGAACATGAGATCACAGACTTCCTCAATCTCCGCGAGATGGTCCTCCGCGCGGCTGGGAAGGAGCGCCAAGAGCCCCAGGACAACATCGTTCATCAGACGCTCGAGGTTCGTCACGAGGTCGACGCCGAGAGCGTACGCCTCGGGCTCGGGTTTCAGCACCATGATGCTGCCTTGCCCGCGCAGGTATCCCTGCATGACGTTGTCCAGCAGAATGGGGTCGAAAGCCGCCGAGTGCGGATTCCACATCGCGTAGGCATGAGGCGCCTCGAGCTCCACACCGGGATCAGTACGGTTGGGTATTCCCATTCCAATCACCGTGAGGGCGAAGAGAAGGGGGTAGACGAGCATGGCAGTGATTCGAGACATTGTCACAAGGTTAGACAAGGGTAGTAAGGCTTGGGTAGATAAATAAGATTCACACCGTGACTGGTGTCCGTCGGGTCTGGTAATGATAGACGTGACCGTGACGAATGAGCCAGTGATGATCTTGGAAGTTTAAATTTATCGGCGGCGGCTGTGGCTTTATACCCGTTGACATTGGCATTGTTTGTTGGATGAAAGAATCGACAAACACCACTTTAGCGTAGAATCTCTGGAACACTACAGCGAGGAGTCTCTATGAATGCCAGGTCTTAGGCAAGTCTTTCAACATCCTTGGGTGGAAAGGTTTGATTTTCCTGCAAGAGCTGTTAAGCTTAAAACAAAGAATTGTTCTAGTTTGTACAAGCTTTTGAGTTAAGCTATGTCTGTGCTTGATTAGTCTTTCTTTGTTCAAAGAAGCACGCTCATAGTCTTAGCAGTGATAGTCTATAGATACTCATTATTTATTATGGCACTTATGGTCACAATGCTCTTCCTTTGTTATATCATCAATTGTCAAAAAGGCTTATTACAAAGACTACAAGTCACTAAAAAGGTTTAAAACCTGAAGTGCTTTTATATATGGGTATTGAAGGCTATAATGCACTCTTGGCCAATATTGATGACATAATCAAAGAATTATCAACTGTGATGTTACGTTTCGTATAAGATTAAATTATGCATTAATCTAGTAACGTGAGACCAAACAGATATGACTTGGAAAAGCATATCGTACTGTGAGGATACAAAATCAACCCTAGACCTAACTTGTAGGCCGTCCGCCGAATACACAGCCCAAATTACATTAGACCCCTAAAATTTCGAGTTATAACTTAAACTTGTGTAGTCCGCCCGCGCCTGGAGTTCGGAAGGACGTAACCCTAATCGCAACGGTTGGATCCTTTAACAGCAGCCCAGGGTTTCAGCAAGGCGATTTGAGATATCAAGAGCAAGTTGTGATCTATCACTGAGTGAAAATGTTCGAGCAGCAGGTAGTAACCAGGTACAAGATCCTGATACAGAGAGCCACAGAAGGAACCCTCAATCTTCTGTTCTCTGTCACTTTCTCCGGTCTAATCAATATAGACAGCTTTTTAGGACTGGGGGACCCAGGGAAGGAAAAAAGTCTCTGTAAAAAAAAGCTTCTTGTTTTCTTTCTCAACTTCTTCATCCTTCCTTCTCATCTTTTTCTTTCTCTTCATGATTCTCTCTTCACGTCGGCAATCTTGCCGAACAGAAATCTACAAGAGCAATATTGCCGACACCTATCAGCCCTCCTCAGCTCTCTCCAGCCCTCTCCAGTCCCTCTAGAACTGGAACCCTGCGAGACCTTCAATCTACCAAGGCTGCGGCTTTCGACATTGACAAATCAACATCCAATACCTGGAACAAGCGTTGTGACCAACAGGCAAAGGTAGGAGAACGTTTGCGGGAGCTCAACAAAACTATACGCATGCACCTCTGGGCCCTCCCCACCCCTTCCCGGATTCAAACTTAGTGCTGGGCTACCTACAATTGCTGACTCATGATACATCCAGAAACATACCCAAGCCTTCACTCAACCGTGACTACCTCATTCAAAATGTCAATCCCAACCCCAGGTCCGTCCACCACCCTTAGCGTAGAGTCCAGCCTCCAAAACCCCAATCACCAAACTGACCGCCCCCCCCGGCCTACATCATTACCACACCATCTCCACCCCCAATTCAGCCCTACACCTAGATCGGCCTCTCAACCCACAGCGCCGACTGGGCTCGCGCCATGAGATAAAACCAAAGATACCTCGCCGGCGCCCGGGGCCTCCCCACCAGCGCCGACCTCTGGGACCTGACCCACACCGACACCCACCTCGCCCCAGTCCTCCGCGGTTTTATCTCCGCGAGAGGCACCTGGTTCGGCGCCGACGGGTTCCTCCGCCCCGCCCAGAAGCAGGTTTGTTTTCATACGGTCATGAAGATCGTGGGCGACCCAAGCCAGCACGTGCATTTTCTTCTTCCCGACACCCCGCCACTCTGGGCGAGCTGCACGGCGAGAAAGAAGTTCACTACCTATGCGCTGCTGTGGTGGGCGATGGAGGTGATGCGCGCGAAGCCACTGCTGTTTCACCGGACGGATTTGACACCGGGCGCGGAGCGGGTCGATGCGTTTGAGGTTTTCGCGGCGGCGAGGCAGGCGAGGCCGAAGAAGGTGGTTGCCGCGCTCGGTCCGGTGAGGATTGGCTGAGGTTGAATTGAAGGGGGAGGTGGGTTGGGATGTTGGGTTCTCTGGTGAGGCTGTTGGAGGACTGGGAGTAGCCATGGAGGGTAAGTAAGATGACGATGAAAAGTGAGGAGGGATAAGTGACAGGGAAAATGGCTTTGAGTGTACTTGACAAAATTCGTGCTTTGTGGTCTAGATTGAAGAAATAGTAAATGAGATGCGATCCTCTGTTAATAATTGGCCCAGCACAAGCTCTGCTCCTCAGTCGGGTTGACAGATCTGATGACTGGCAAATTTGTGGGCACGCTTACTCTGGAGGGTAAAATGGTTGGTTCTGGCTGAGTCCCACTGTAAATAAAGAGACCAAAGTCTGAATTCGACATGTCTGAGGCAAATTACGTGGTTTGGGAGAACATCATGGATGTTTTCGGAAGAGATCCTGGGAGTCAGACAGCACATTCAACAGGGCAAGGCATGATATCCTGCTCGTATTATAGCATCGCATTGTGTGGATATAAACTCGATTCATCATATTGAGAACAGTCAATTTACGCACTGATTATTGTCATTTTGGAGACCCTGACTATTGGTCTGCTGCTACTTGAATCGAAAAGCAGACTTTAACGATGCTCCCGGACGCAGACGACACCTGGAGCTTATGTGACTGCCTTCTTACGCTATCGTGGCATGTTTGGCAAAGGCTGATTGAAATTCTGGCCGAGAGACGGTAGTCCAGACTCTGGTGTAGTGGTCGGGTTCTGCGATGCCTGAACCTCGGATCGAGGGATGTGCTGTTGCTGTTGCTGTTGCTGTTGCTGCCACTGTTGCAACTGCTGTTGTTGCAATTGTTGCAAGGTATAATTGTCGGCAATGCTGTTGTTGCTAGGTAGGCTGATTTGCGGTTGCACTGTCAGTTGTGGATTTGATATTTGTTGTTGTTGTTGTTGCTGTTGTTGTTGTTGCTGCTGCTGCTGCTGCTGGAGCAAGTGTTGTAGGGTATAATTGTCTTTCAGGCCATTGTTGCTCGGCAGGTTGATTTGAGCAGGGAGTGTCAGTTGTGGGCTAGGTTGTTGCAATTGCAGAATGGAGGGCTGACCCAGGGGCACAACTGGAGGGGCCTGAATACTGGTCTGGAGATTGCGGGGGTCGCCTGGATAAGGCTGCCCACCGCCGCTCAAACTCCCCATTTGTGGTTGGTTCGAGTTCCCAAATGGCGAAGGTGTGAACTGTATGCCTCCTGGCGCGTATAGAGGCTGCAACCCAGCAGTCAATTGCTGAGGAGGCTGCAGATTGAGCACCCCCGATCCATCATAAACATAGTCGTCTCGTCGCACCATCGAGCCTCGATTGCGTTCCGCGTCGTCTTGCCTGTTCTGGGTCGTCCAGATATATCTGCTGAAATTATCGGAGACCGTGAAGACATTGACAAAATAATTTCTCCGGAGCTCGATCTGGGCCCCCTTCTCCGTGTGAAATGCGGCCAGCGCGAGGGCACTCTGGAAGGCATTGCGGATCTGCCGGCCGTTCCAAACAGGGCCTGATCCCGGGCGGGCTTGCGCGTAGAAGATTTCATTCGCGAGGCTGGTCAACTCCCCTTTGTCAGCAACGACCCCGGCCTCGTTCGCCACGTCGATGTGACTGGACCAGATTTCGTAGGTTTGCGGCCAGTTCAGCGGCGGGTAATACAGTGACATGTGGATCCGGGACTTGAAGGCTTCATCGAAGACTCCGACCCGGTTGGTGGTGAGGAATAAGATCCCCTCGTAGTACTCCAGGGTGCGGAGGAAAACTGATCACTCGGATGGTCATTCAATTAGCGAGCATGTACCTTACCAGTGATGCAAGTTCAATCTCACCAGACACCAGCGCATTTCTCTCCACGTCATATGCCCGGCGTTGAGCCAGGAACACATCCGCTTCATCCAGGAGCATGATGCAGCCCCAGTCCTGGGCGAGACGAAAGACTTCCTTGAGCTTCTCCTCCACTTCGCCTGCAGTAAGTCCAAGATCACCACATGTTACAGGGAGTAGAGGTCTGCCGTTACTTATTGCCGCGCACTCTGATTCGAAATTGTCAGTGCTTGGACCTATAACAGACTCAAGAATCTTGAGGACATACCAGCTGTCGACGTTTTCCCGACGCCCGGGACCCCATGTAATAGGATCGTTACTCCATTCCCTACCCCCAGCTTTTAGCGACGACATTGAAAGGACAGGTAGAGGGGTCAGGAACGGTTGGCATACCTTTGTTTCTCAACAAGTCAAAGTGAACACCTCCAGATTTCTGTTTGGCAAAGTGCGAGTGGATCAAGGACTGCACCAGATCCTTGTGGCCATCTGGAAGGCGTAGTTTCAACCAAGGGTTGTCTTTTTTGGTCTCTCCTGCAAGCGCTCGGCGCCATTGGGTCCACCTCCGATCCGAAGACAAGCTGTATGGGCGGCCAACCCCGTGTGAATTAGTGAAAGAGCACAATGCAATTGGGGCCAATCTCCACCAAGTACGTACCCCATCGTCTGGTCGACAGCACGAAGGCAAAAACCCGGTCGGGCAGAATCATCAGATCATCGCCAGTTGGCCCGCCTCCAGTCTTGGCCCAGGAGTCCCACATGCGGTTCTGGGCGTCCATAAAGTCATCCGTAAACCGCTTATCCCAGGTCCCATCCTTCTCCGTCCCGAGCGTTGTGTCTGTCTCAGACGCTGAGGTTTCCCCAAAGGTATGATCCACCGTCACGGGGCGCCACCAGGGGATTTCCCCCAAGGCACGGGTGAAGTCCACAATCACATCGCTATCGATCTGTTCCGAGTAGCAGGAGGCGCTCCGGGGGGTCTTGTCGACCAAGTCGGTCAGTTTGCGACCAGAGGGGTCCAAGTAGTGACATCGGCCACTGTAATCCAGATGCAAAACTTTTTGGGTGCAGTCGACGAATTGCTTTCCCCGGGCCATTAGGTGCGCCCGGTCCGTAAACCCTTCCCGCTCAGCGACCGGGAGCGGAAGGACGGGGAGCGACTTGGCGGCCTGGACGCCATCAAAACCACTGATTTCGAACTGACGGAAGACGGGAATAAATCGAACGCCGTCGAAGTCCAGATAGAAGCAGTCTAACACGAGGGGAGTCCAGCTACCAATGCTTTTTTCGTCATTGAACTGCTCCGAGGTCTCCAGGATTCGACGGCCGCCGGTCCGTTGCACCACCTTCCAAATCTTCTGGGGAGGGCTGCTACCTTTGATGTAGACCAGAGAACCTTGAGCAAAGACGAACCAGAGGTCAACGAAGCGTATCATGTCTGGAGCAGCGGCCAGGTGCGTTTGTGCTGGACGGAGGGTATCGTCCATGAACTGCACCAAGCAGCGACAATCCATAATTAGAGCCGTCAGCTCCAGGACCCCGAGCTCTGATATATTATCTTTCGTATAACTCGTGTCTGTCACCGGAGAATCATGAAGAGCTTGTATATACTCCTCTTCGGATGAGTCCTGCAGTTCTTTCCGAATCGCTTCGAACTCCGCCACCTTAGACCGAATTGGCTTGTCCAGATAGAGCAGTAGTTTGAATGGTCGGAGAATTGACAGGGGGGTCTGACCATTGTAGGGCAGCTCCCCGCCGCAGAACTGATAATCAAGAAAGCTCTTTAGCCGATGACAATTGAGGCGAATTCGTTCAGGCATGGTGTTCAGCGGCAAACGGTCTGTGACTTCTCCGGCGGGGATGGGTAATTCCATATCAGAGGCCCAACCGGCACGAAGCTGCTGGACATCGCCAGCCGACGGCTCATTGTACGGAACCTCAATGGCAAACCGCCTGGGGGGCGGAGGCCTGAATAGGGCCACTTCGGCCCAAGGCAGATGACGGATCTGTGCCACAGAAATCTCCATTTCCGCGGTATCTTCTTCCTCGTCTTTGTCTGACTCCTTCTGCTCATCCTCCTGTTCCTCGCCTCTATCGTCTTCGTTCTCCTTTCGCGGTCCGTCAAGTAGCGTGGCCAGCGACCTGTTCATTTCCCTTAGCATCTGCATCTCTTCGAAGAGACTGTGAGAGATGTCTCGTAAGGCATCTTGCCAGTCAAAGCTATGGGCATCCACAACTTTCTGGGTCCGGCTTTCCAGCTCCTCAAATTGAGAGAGCGAGCGTTTACTGGTTTCAAACCACTCCTCCACTGTTGCCCGTGGGATTGCATCAGGCGGGGTTTGATCGGTCTCTGACGATTGATCCTCGTGTCCCAGTTGGAGGGTAAGGCCAACCTCCGTGGTAGCCAATGTGGTCGTCATGATTCCAGGTATACCTCAGGGGTACAAAAACAGTGTTAAAGATGGACAACCGAGTAGGAGAGAAGCCAAGGATCTGTCACCATCAATGGCAGCTTTATAGTTCAGTGCCTAGTCCAGAAGCTCGCTCAATATTTCCAGCTACTATAGGGATGCTCAGCTGTGCTCAGCTGCCGCATATACGAAGCTGTCAAATGTAGCGATTGGCGGTCGACTAACATATGCAGTGTGCCGGTGTGACCGGACGTGCTGACGTGCAGATTCATGCTGAGATATGGGAAATGGTTCGTCCGCTCGGACCTTCTCCCGCATATGTGGAAGCAAACAATGTTTAGGCAGATATGCATGCGTACGGTGCCGGCGAACTCCGGCGAACCAGGTGGCATGCGAGTATTGTCCGCGGGGTTGACGAGGAGCACCCATCTCACTTGGACCCCCCACCTCCGCAAACCAAGATAGGCCCTCATCTGAAGCGGACAGCGACGGTCGACAATCTCAGCTCTCAACCACAACATGGGTCTATGAAACAGTTTCGACGTATCTACCCAAACCATGGAACCCGCAACAACAACCGTCACGCCCTGGATTCAGCACAATGCGCCCAAGATCGACCCAGCTTGGGCGTTTGCTGAAGCACAACGTCTGAGAAAGCAGAAGATCCCGGAGCCCCCGGCTCGGTGAGTCGTTCGTCAAGCTGAGTCGTGGTGAATGTGTAGCTGAAGGCATGTTCTGTGTACACCTCCAGTGTCGCAAATCGAAAGGAGCGATTCAAGACCACCATGCGGGCATTTTTCAAGACGACGGGTGACAATCAGGCCCAATATATCTTCGAACACACCCATACATGGGAAGAGGTCCGGAGCGAGGCACAGAAAGCGCTGGACCTACGCTACCGGCAGAACGGGAAAAGAAATTTCTTCCGCAAGTCGATTCGACTCGTGGGGGACGTGGCTTCCCGGCTAGAGTTCCTGACGCAGCTAATCCCCAGCGGTGATTATATGGGAGTTCTCTGCGGAGGGCTCAAACTCGTCTACAATGTGCGTCCGGCTACTGCCGCGTGTCCCGCTTTTGAGCCTGGATTGCCCGCACCGGCGTCCTGTTTCTCTCTCACGATACTGATCTTTCTTCTATCCAGGCAGCGAAGCGCATGAGTGCCGTACGCGAACTCATTCTCGGGTCGTTGGATAGTCTATCGCAGCCGATTGAGGATGCCTCGCCCTACCTCTATACCTACGCTTGGAGCGAGATGCTTCTGGAAAAGGCGCAGGACCTCTATATGAGCGTCCTAGACGCGGTCGAGGATCTCACGCAATGGATGGCCAAGACTAGAGGAGGTAAGAAATGCGTTCTTGCCATTCTGACGGCGTGTCTCACTCCCGCGCAGTGGTGCGAGGTACCTGGGAGAGATCCAAGGCGCTCGTCCAGCAGGACGACTACGGGCGAGATCTCGAACATCAGATCATCACTCGTGTGGGGGAAGCAGCGAATGCATTTGAGAAAGCTGTCAAAATCTGCTTGAACACCGAGGTACATGATTTGGGACAGAACGTGGTGCGTTTGGGGAAAGGACAGGACGAAATGAGAGACGAGATGAGAGACGTAAAGCGGATAGCCGCAGGATCGTGGGAGAGAGTTGAGGCAATTCTGCTGGAAAGGTGGAAGCAATTGCAACCGAGTGAGTCCAACATGTGCCTCATTTCTCAGAAGAATTGACCTCCTTGGTGCTTGCTACTGATCTTTTTGTTTAGTGGTTGATGACTACAACGCCGCCAAGGCTGCTAGGGCCGCGCGGGTGTCCATCACCATCGAGCAGCTCCTCACTGCGCTGCACTTCGCGAATCCATTTTCCGAGGACGATATCGTGGATCACACGGTCAACATTATAGCCACTGAGCGAACCACATTACTTCTTTCCGGTAGACTCTTAGACGACGAGGCCCAAGACCAGGTGGCGGGTGTGCTGCAGGATTCCCGGTTCCGCAGCTGGCTTCAGGACATGCGCTCCGAGGTCCTGGTTGTGTCACGCATGGAGGAGGATATCTTGGAAGAGGGACCCGTCTCGCCATTGACCTATCTCTGCTCCGTGATGATCAAAACTCTTGCCCCAGCCGAGCGCGTGATGCCAATGGTATTTTTCTGCCGCCAGCACTGCGATTCTCAAGATAGCTTCACCGGTGCTGCAGGGATGCTACGGTCGCTCATCTCCCAGGTGACCCTCAACCTCTACGAGACTCACAGACTCGATCTCACGTTCCTGGTTGAGGAGCACCTCCATACAATCGCGACGCAGGATGTGTCCACCCTGTGCCATCTTTTCGCCGAGGTAGTCAAGCGGGCCCCCGAAGGGATCGTTGTATGCATAATCGACGGGGTGGACTTTCTGAGCAATCAGCTTAATTTGTACTGGGTGGGTGGGGTGATGCGGTTTCTGAATAGCCTTCTGGGGGCCGTGGCGGGCAGCCGGTCGGATCTTGTATTCAAGATCCTGGTGACCAGCCATCGAGGAGCCAGTCTAGCGTCGCAATGGTTCCCTTATCGAGTGGAGCTGCCCATGTTTAGTAGCGAGACAATGTGCGATCTTGGGCATGCGACTGGAGAGATGCAGTCAATTTTCTAACAGTGTTGCCACTGCCACTGTAAGAGCAATTTTAGTCGCAACACGGTGGCGGATCACACAAAGATAGAATAAGGCCTACAGATAGCTTCTGAAGTGTCCATGCAGCGGCGAGACAAGTTTTAACATGAATGATAAGCTTTCTGTTTCTTTTTTTTTTNTTTTTTTTTTTACTACTTTCGTAGGTGCAGACCCATTCCTACGAGTCTCTGATTCACGTCCTTCCGCTACCAGCAGCCGCACGAGCTTGAGTCAGAAGACTGGTACCGAAAGTCGACTAGGTCTGAGATAAGCAATAACATCCTCTCTCACAGACCCGTCGTCTGATAAGCATTGGTAAGCATGCGGCTCCCGACCGGTACACGCTAAGGATTATAGGCTTTGAGCATGTAGAAACCGGTATATCCGGACTGTCCAGTGAAAGGCAAACCTCACTACACGAGTGACAATAATTATTCACGTAAGATTACTACACCTCTAGCTCAACTAGCACATCATTTTTATCGTGGATGATCCATTCGCCCAGCCCCTAAATCACCATAATGTCAATTGAAGGGCGCTAGTGCGCGGACGTCAGTCGAAGGGCGCGCGTCTCCGGTCTACTTAAACCCGTTGATCGCCGTGCAGCACGATACGCCTCATCTTTATCTGAGTTTCATTTGAATTGATTTTTTTTTCTACTACTCCACATCAGATTTATTCACCATCGATTCAGAACAACTCCGCCTACACTCCCCCACCTTCCCATCCATCAAACCCCTGCCTCGAGCTCGTGATGGTCCACTTCCACTTCCGCCTCGCAACCGCGGCCGACGCCCCGCGCCTGCGCGACCTGATTGAATCCGCCTTCCGCGCCGCCGACACCCGCGCCGACTGGACCGGCGACCTGGCCCTGGGGGCGCGCTTCCACGTCCAGCTGGACGACATCCTCGCTCGCATCGCCAACCCGGACGGTGCCTTCCTCGTCGCCACCACCACCACCACTGAACCCCAAGACGGAGACCAAAAAGACGAGGGGGAGGAGGTAGTCGCCTGCGTCAACATCTTCAAGAAACAGCTCCCCGATCGGGACGCCGTCGCCCGCCTGGCGCTTTTGGCCGTCGATCAACGCCATCAGCAGAGCGGGCTCGGGCGGCGCGTCGTGGTCCAGGCGGAGAAACTATGCCGGGAGATGTGGGGGGTGAAGAGGACCGCGTTGAATGCGCTGGATACGCGCGTTGCGTTGATCCGGTGGTATGAGCGCTGTGGGTATGTAAGGACTGGGGAGGTGACGGTTTTTCCGCTTCCGCCGGATGAGTTGAGGTTTGTGGAGTTTGAAAAGGAGTTGGGGGTGGAAGTGGTTGTTCAATGATGGATTTAAATATGTAAGGCTATCTGAGCTGATTGATCAGTGTGGGCGTGTAGTGTGTGTGGTGGGCTGATTGTGGTTGCGTGCTACGATTACAGGGGATTTTGGAAGGTATCAGTCGGTCGGAGAGAGAGTGTGTGTGGTGGTTGATTTTGACTCGGTGTTCTTAGAGAGTTGCTGGTGGACGGACAGCATTGGGGGTGGTTGATATGTCCAGTGTCGAGATGAGCATCTGGAGACTTACCTGTACTTGTCACGCATATTCGACTCTCGGAGGCCCTGTGACACTATATAGAAATGGTTGATGACTAGGATAATTATGACTACGAGTGGACTTCATGCCGTTTGGGCGGGGCGATAAGTTCTTAGAGTCGATGGCTTTCTCCATCAACATGAGTGCTGCACAGACCAATGAATACTATAGACATTATAAGATATTTGGAAGCACCATAAAAGATGATAGTGTTCTTCGTTAATTAAAGGCTAAGTCTTACTGAGTACAGCAGAACTTGGGTCAGTCTGACTGGCAAGGCGAAGGATTCTCTCAATAAGGGATGAGCATTATACTATTGACAGAGAGTAGAATATTGACAGAGAGTAGAAGATTTGACACAAACATGAAAACATTACTGCCAAGCAGGCTCGCACATTTACAAGAAAACCTCTGCGAAGCTCCCGCAGGTCAGATTCCAGCACGCAACACAAAACCAAAGAACAAAAGACTACCTCGTATCCACATGAACCAGATATCACTGTTTATCAAACACTTCAATAGCAGCTAGGGCGGTCGACGTCGCACTCGCCGGGTTCTGCCCTGTCACCAGTCGACCATCCACCACGTGGAAATCATCCCAAATACCCGCGGACCGTTCGTCTATTCATTCCCTTTTAGTCAGCCTCTTATGCAGAATTGTAGGAACATGAATGCAAGAAACTTACACTTCGCCCCCAGCCGCTGCGCCAGCTCCTCGACCATCTCAGCTCCAAGCCCGCGCAACTCCGCCATAATCCCCATCGTCTCCTCGGCTTCAGTCGTGAACCCCGTGATCCTCCGCCCCTGAATAATCGGAGTACCTGTCGCTCGATCGCGCAGGTCCGCAAAGATAGCGGGCCCGTGGCAGACGGAGGCCACCACGCCGCCGGCCGCCCACACCTGCTCAGCGATCTGCTGCAGCGCCCGAGCGGTGGGGTAGTCGATCAGCGCGGCGTGGCCCGCGGAGGCGTAGAATAACCCATACTCGGCCGCTGAGTCGGCAAGGATCTCGGCGGCAGGCCGCATGTGGTCGAGCTTCTGTCGGAACTCGCTGTCCAAGTCGTTCCAGATGGCCAGGTCCTCGCCGTGCAGGAAGTCGGGTTGCTGCGAGAGCCAGTCCGCCGTGTAGCTGCCGGTCTCCGAGGCCAAATCGACCTCGAAGCCGGCGGCCACGAGGGCGCGGTAGGGGTGCAGGGCCTCACTAATGAAGAGGCCGGTGCGCTCCTTGCCGTTAAATAGAGTGGCGGTGGCAGAGGTTACTGCAATTAGGGCTTTGCGGGCAGGCATGTTTTCGATTGAGTAAATTTGTGAGGGGGAGGAAAAGAAAGATGTGTTCTGTGTAGAAGATGCTGGGTATTGTTGCTTTGTGCTTCTGTTTCTTGTTGATTCTTCCTTTCCAAACGAGGGAATCTTCCAGCTATTTATGCTTACTCTTGCTGAATACGAGGAGACGCGGTTAAGGCGTGCGACATCCGGAGTTGCGGAGCTGAGGAGTTGCGGAGTCCAGCGGCGGCCCGGAGATTGCATGTTATCGATAAGGATTCGCTTTGCATCCTCCCGCAACTCCGTCGCCCAATTAGTACTGAAAGCTCATTCACGTGATGATGCACGGATACGGACAAAGCAGCACCGCACTCCGCTGACAGACACCATCAATCCGCGTCAGCATCTCACCCCTCATCGATCCTGCTAGCACACCAATTCTTGAGTGTCAATGAGCACGTCCCAGACTTACCAACAGTCATGAGTGCTCTAATCACCAGAGTGCCTAATACCCATCGTCCTCGAAAGAGCCAGCAGAACCAGCAGCAGCAACAGCAGATCCTCCAACGGCGCAAACGGGCGCAGGTCGCCCGAGCGTGCGGCAATTGCCGTGTCCGCCGGATCCGATGCGACAACCAAGTCCCATGCTCAAACTGTGCCCTAAGCCGGACGGTTTGCAGCAACAGCAGTGCGCCCATCGCGCTCACCCTGTCCCAGGCCAACCAGGAAATCGCGTTGCTTAAACAGAAAGTCCAACAGCTTGAAGCCGAGCTCGAAGGCTGCACTTGCAGCAATGGAGACAACTTTGCACCCGACTTAACCTTGCGCGAGCCACCAATCGAGATCCAAGTTGGACAGGGGAGTGAAAACTATCGAAATGCTCCCCCGCATCCTCCGTGGGGAGGGATCCATTTCCGACCGGCACGTTCACCCAACAGTCTGTGGCTGGGCCCGTCCTCGCTGTACTCGTACATCCAGCGGATCAGTGGCTTTCTGAGCCTGCAGTTGGGCCAGGAGCAGCCCGCGCACCAGCTGCTTCCGATCTCTGCCAGTGACAACAAGCTTCTCGACCGACCCACCACCGACCCGGCGAAGAGCCTGAACCCGCCTCTAACTTCCACGACCTCTGTCTATCTGACTCCACTGCAGGAGGACTTTTTCATCAACTACTTCTGGCAGACCTACCACGTTTCCCTCTTCCCCATCATAAATGAAGCGCACTTCAAGCAGCACTACGCCAGTCTATGGACGGCCGGCGGGAAGGAACGACGACCGTCGGCGCTCGTGGATATCGTGGTGGCGATGTGCATGCAGTACCACATTTCCACCCTGCCGGCGGATTCGCAGAGCGGGCTGTTGGACGGCCAGGACGCCCTCGTGGCCGGCCGATGGCACTACTGGCGGGGCCAGACGCTGCTGGCCTACGAGCTCGAAAGCCCCTCCATCGCCACGTTGCAATGCCACCTGCTCTGCGCCGTCTACCTCTGCGGAGGCTCGTTCCACAACATGATGGACAGCACGGTGAGTCTCGCCGTGCGCACCGCGTACGTCTTAGGTCTGCACGTGGACCCACCGGCGAACCTGCCGGAAGCCGACCGCGAACTGCGGCGACGGCTGTGGTGGGCGGTCCATGTAATGGACAGCAGAGCGGGCATGAAACTCGGGCGCCCGTTCATGGTCCCCGACCACGCCCGCCAAGCCATGCCCCAGCTCCCCAGCGACTCCCTCCCTACCGCAGCCGCGTCTGGCTCAGCCTTTGTACCGATCGGCGAGGACGCGACCTGGTTGAGCTTCAACCGGTACCAGACCACGCTGTACATCGCCATCCGCAACGCCTACAATGCGCTATATACCGCCGATCTCCATTTGAACGAAGGCCAGACCGTCTGGGATGACACGGACGCGCTGGAGACCGGCGCCCAGATCTTAGCGCAACATACCCCGCGCATTACCGAGTGGGCGGAGAGCGTCCCGCGCGCCCTGCGGCTGCAACGCGAGGGTACAGGATCGGACCGAGCCTTCACGACCAGCGGCACGCGGCTGGTGCTCGAGCCGTTCACCCCGCCCTGGCTGCAGCGGCAGCGCGTGCTGCTCGAGCTCACCTATCATCACCAATGCACCAACCTGTACCGACCCGCCATCTCCTTCCAGTGTCGCCCGCCACCGGGCGGTCACGCCGAAGGGCTGGCTCGGCGCTGCGCCGCGCACGCCATAGCCGTCTCCCAGATCCTCCGCCAGGTGATGGAGGAGACCTCCATTTTGAACGGGTGGCACGAGGCGTTTTACATGCAGTGGAACGCAGGAATGACCCTGCTGGGGTTCCTGATGATCTACCACCACGGTCCGGTGGCGCCCGAAGCGCGGACCGCGATCGGGCAGGCGGTCGCCGTGTTCGAGCGATTTCGCGCGGGATTTCCCGTGGCCGGCCACGCAAGCAGGATCCTGCAGGGCCTGCTGCGCCAGGCGGATCTCGTCGCTCGAGCGGGTGCGGAAGTCCGGCAGCGGGAAGAACAAGGGCGGGCCCTCGGGGACGGCGACCCGCGCCCGTCTGCCTCCGCCTTCGATGCTGCTTGGGACTTGCCGCTGGATCTCGATGCGGATTGGCTGAACCTGGCTGGGGATCTGGACTTTTGGAATCAGATCGAACTGCTGTGGCCTACGGCTTCGGATCAGTTGGAATTGACTACGTTCGAAGGGGGACTGTCGCTAGAACAGCCAGCTTGCCAGGGAGTATTAGAATAGTGTCACGAGCGTTTGCTGGGTCCGTGCAACATGTCCAAGAAGCATTGATTGAAAAAGTGAAAAAGAAAAGAAAAAACATACAACAGAAGGGATTCGCTGGTGGTCACCCACCCAACTACTAACCTCCCGGCGTGTGGCTTAAGTACGGCTGAGCGGACGGGAAGCCCTGTTTTCCACACCCTGTGGTCGTATGTACTGAATCGTTTTGGCGGACTCTCTATGGCGAACAATATCTGAATCGGCGTTGCATAACAGACACAAGCTGTAGTTAGCACTCACTTCTTTGAAAAGAAGGGGTTCAGAGCACTGCGACAGATGCGATGTAAGCTGTGGGACGAAGTGTTTATGGTCTTCAGAAGATATCAGCAAGCTGGGGAGTACTGAACCAACCGCAAAATCAGAACCAAAGCTCTCCGCGCAAAGGGGATTGCTATGAACCGGGGCGGAGCGCCAGTGACCGGACCACTAAAGTCAAGGCCGGGAACGGGGATGTAAGCACTAATTTCTCACCCCTAAGCATCTCCCTGTGAACACAGTTCACATGAACTTTTCTTTGTGTACACGTGGAACGTTCCCGCGGCACGTGATGCCAAGCCCTTTATATAAGCAGGAACGTTCCACACGACCCTATAAATTACTGTTTTTTATTATTGAAATTCAACTTCCTCTTATATTTCTCCAAGTTCATTACACACTTTATTTCAAGCACTTACCAAGTACTTTATAAGTACCTACCAAGTACTTTCTAGACATGGATTTTCATGAAGTTATTGAACTTAGTTCTACGGAAGAGGAATACTCAACCCAGGTAATTTCCTAAGTAGTTATCAAGTACTTAGAAATTAATTTATATCTAGGAACCGTCACCATTAACCTTTCTGACTCAGGCAAAGGCATCACCTTTAACTACTCAGTTTATAGAGTATATTGATGATCTTCCTGAGTATCCAAAAAACTGCACTATGTGGATATACATATGTAGTTCCATCACATGGACTTTCAAATACTGAAGTCAGCGCTCTAATTAGTGATGTTAGTATATAACTACTT